TTTCTGTATGATACCTGCTAATGTTTATGGATTGTTGAAGCTGCACTATGAATATGAGCAAAGTTAAGAAGTATGTGACTTCTTAACAGTGGGAGAAGAGCAGACCTGCATAGACTCTTTTTAACCTTTTATCCCAATTGAGCAAAATGATACAGCTTGGGCTGAATTAGAAACAGTCTGTAATTCACAATAATATTGTTGTTGTTTTTATAAATATGTTATTAAGGTGAAATCTGCAACCTCAGTTGTATCCATTTAGAATACATATTTTTCACCAGATGACCCTATTGTATTATTTAAATTCAATTATATTAATTAAAAGACCAATGCTGAGGGGGCTCAGCTGTCTATCAAGGATTTGAATTCCCTATTGTGTCCAATCAGGAAGCTGTGGGGGCGGGTCTAACTGGCGCTTGCGTTCTAAAAATGTCTCTCCATCTTCACTAGTTGAAAAGTAAGTGACCTTCGCTTTAACCAGGATGGATTTGAACTCTGAAGTCTTTCAATTCATCTGTGTCTATTCTTTTACAGGTTTCGGTTGTCTGCACAGTCAGTTGTGGAGGATTTAACTCACAAGCAAAACAAACAGTTTGCATTATTAATAAGTCTTTTTAGCTCGATAACATGTGCATCTCTCTTTGGTCATGGTGTTCTGCCCTGAAAATCTCCCATCATCCTTTCCCTAAATTGGGATAAACTGTGTGTGAAGCTGCACTCAAGATCCAGTGCAGTCCTCAGTGGTACTGAGCCATTGATCACACATTCATTTTTCAGTGTTTCCGCTGTGTGGCCACAGCAACAATTGTTTATTAGATTCTAAACTTGCTTTGAAAACTCAATCGCTCCCCAAACATATAAATCACAGTTCAAAAACAAATGGCTTCGAGGGGCAGACCCTAAGAGTCGTTTACCTCCGGAAGGAAAGCTCCAGTGACAGATATGTTTGTCTTTTTCCACCTCATTGAAGGGTGAACTCTGCGCAGAGCAATGAGAAATGGATTACCCATTCATTAAACAGGGCTGTGACACTCCTCATTGAGTTGGACAAATAACAAATAAATTTCTATCTGCCTAATTTCTCCTAACTCTCCTCAGAATTTTGCCCCATAACATCAAATTACCGCTAATAGCTGAACCAAGTCCCTGAAGTTTTTACCAATTCCTTCAAAACAAAACAGCACAAAGACACAACCAAATTATTTCAAGTATAATTCAAAAAGTCTTACAGGGTAAACAAACAGTAATTGATTTTAATTCATAAAAAAGGACAAGCAATATATTTCTGTCCCAAATGAAAACATAGAACTTAAAATCTGGCTTTTTGTTAAGGTTCAAGAACAGGATATAAATGATATTGTACATGTTCTGATCATTTTTTACCACAACCCACATTATTTATAAAACGCTCTCTGGAAAATACTTAGACAATTATTTTTCTCATGAAATTAAAGGTATCTAGGGAGATGATAAAACGTGAAGTATTCAATTGATTGGTGTATCTCACTGTCGATCATTGTTCTCAGCACCAATCACACGTCCCCTTTTCACAAGTCTGTTTATGTTTATTATGTTTATTGCATTGATAAAATAAAAAAAACACAGAGTTGAAAAGGGAAATGTCAAAAACACTATTATTAAAGTATCCAACATGCAAAACAATGTATGGCTTGGATTACAAATAATATTCTCAAGGCAAAGCTGTCTAGTGCAGCATTAATGTATCGACAGGACTGTATTGATGTTTCAATTAGAGACACGTTACAGTGGTGCGGCCGGTAACACGTCTCCCGCCATCTGCTGCCTCGGAGCTGACGAACGAGGCACGAGGGGCTAATCCAGCTTCACCAGAGCCACTGGCACACATCTATAGGTGCACGCACACTTTCTGCACTTCGAGACATTTCATAGTGTAGCTCATACAACATTGAGACATAAGTGCAAAACGTGAAACAAGTCTCACATCTGTGCTGGAATAGTAAAGCTTGCTATTGTTTTAAGACTGACTGACTTTATATGGAATACAAGTAATTGACCCCAACAGCAAAATATTGGCTACTTGTAAAATCTGTATTATAGTCCCTCATTAGGTAGATGTGGAGATGCCCATAGTTTTGTGAAAATAATAATAACAGATTTCATTTAAGATTAAGATTAAGAGATTCTTTATTCGTCCCACAGTTGTGCAATACATTGTCTCAAGTCCTTCTGTCCATTCTGTCTCACATGTTTATATGTGTTCAGCTGTCCTTGTACATGTCCTGTATAAAGTCTTGTGTACATTTTATTCTTTTATTTGCATGATTTGTATTTTTACGTCTTTTTTTATTTTTATGTTCTTCTTTAACATCAACCTGCCAGGGGGTCTGCAGATGGAAATTAGCCTAAAGCAATTATTATTGTTATAGAATAATCACAATAATGCATCGGTTTTATATAGCGCCTTTTTGGACACTCAAAGACGCTTCACATGTGTCATTATTCATTCCCTCCATACACGGTGGTGATAAACTACTACTGTAGCCACAGCTGCCCTGGGGCACACTGACAGAAGCGAGGCAACCAGTATGTGCCATCAACCATTCACACACACACCAGACTCATTCCAGGCAATGGGGGTAAAGTGTCTTGCCAAGGACACAACGAAAGCAGACAGAGGGAGTCGATGGTGAAAGTCTTGAGGTGGACTCGAACCCAGTATTGGCTCAAAGGCCAATACTCTACCAATTGAGCTACTGTCACCTCAGAACAGTAGGAATGAGGAGCACACAAGTGAACAATAGCTATACTAATTAAAATAAAACAAAATCTCTAACTCTTGCATCACACATAAGTATAAAGTCTCTATATTGAACATAATAATAAATAAATATAAAAATGTATTTAATTATAAAAAATATTTCTAACACACCTTACATATGCGAACACATCTCAAGGTGCCACAGCAAGTTGAAAACATGATCAAAACATCAGAATTAAAACACAAACAGACAAATATAAAAAATAAAAAAATTACTACCAATAACTTCTAGGACTTAGCACTGGCATCACGCTGCAGTGGAAGGAATCGTGGTTTGCCAGGCTCTCCCTCGAGCTGGGACGGCCCAAAATAACAGCGTGTATTATGCTTGCCGTCATTGCCTGCCAAAACCGCACAAATCAAATGGCTCATTGTGTGGATTACCTCGTTAATCTGATGATGCCACCGAGTTGTATTGCAGGTGTGAATGCTCCAGTTTTGCCCCTGTTTCTGCTCTGCTTTGCTTTTATTGAGGAGGTGTAGCGTAATCTCTTTTAAATGCTTTCAGGGGGATATGAGACGTTGAGAGGCAGCCAAAAGAAAGCAAGGAGCTTTCTCTTAATGCAGAGAGAGAGACAAACCACTGACTGGCACTGACACGAACAGAGGAGCCACTTGTTGAAATATACCTGTGTGAATGTGAGAAATTGAAAAAGGGGAAAACAAAAATGTGTCACTAATTGATATCTTAGTGTAGGGAAAAGATCCATGCAGCAGCAGGAGAGGATGGAACAAAACATTTTGGAGAACTACTGCTGCTGTGTGTGGATCTTGCTCCAACAATTCATGCTGTTGAAATTTGTAGGATGGGAGTGTCTCTTTCTACATTACAAATTGATACCTACACATTAGTAGTAGTAGTAGTAGTAGTAGTAATGGTAGTAGTAGTAGTAGTAGTAGTAATGGTAGTAGTAGTAGTTGTAGTAGTAATGGTAGTAGTAGTAGTAGTAGTAGTAGTAGTAGTCCAGGTAAACTGTTCTGTTTAGCGGTGTATACAACTGAAGGATTGTATCTTCACTCTCTTTAATCTACAGTGATTATTTATTATTTTATTGCCTTGTGTGATCTTATTTGAGTCTTCTGTATGAATTGTGATAAATAAGTAGTAGTAGTAGTAGGAGTAGGAGTAGGAGTAGTAATAGTAGTAGTCAGAGGCGTCCCTTGTCATCAGGCAAGGCAGGCAGCTGCCTGGGGCCCCCGAAGGCCGACTGAATTGACACAAGAGGTCGACTTGGCTACAACAGCTACCTGCAGTCACGAGTTGGCGGATAAAAACTTTTCGTCTGATGCAAAACTTGCCACGTTCTTCATTAACAGTTAAAAAGCCTGCTTGGGGATGCTCGTATATCAGATGTAAGGGTGGTCTTTGCTTTTGGATTAAACTATATATATTATATTCTGTGACAGACTGCTCAAAAACGGTTAAAGAAAAAAACAAGCCGTTTTTTGCAGATCTTTCATTTGGCCCTCTGTGTTTGTATAGACTATAAATATATATTTATACCTGAAAACAAGAAGTGAGTGTTACAAGGTCTAAAGACGTAATTAAAATCAGGTGCTCTTCAGGATGAGAAAAAACATAGAAAAACAAAGATACCCTTTTCAAAGGAAAAATAAAGACAGGGTGAAATCCGAGGCACTCTGATAAAAGTCCTTTAATAGAGAAGGGACCAACGCGTTTCGGCCACACAGGGCCTTCTTCAGGGCATTTTTGTTATTCTATATATTTATACCTACTGTAATATAAACCTCTTTATGTGGTTATGTGGTCGGTATCGGGGCCCCCAAGGACTCTGTTGCCTGGGGCCCCGGGTACCCTTGGAACGCCACTGGTAGTAGTAGTAGTAGTATCCCCAAGTCCAATTAGGGTTTTTTTTTTAAGCAGGGGAGGCCGCTTTTTCCCAATTTGGTTAGTATTTTATCAGTTCAGAGTTGGAAAACTTATCCTTGATCAAGTCTAAACTTTTTTTTACAGTATTTACATTACATTGTATTACCTTTTCCTAAGTTGCACCAAGTCAAGCTAATTCTCTAATTGTTTGGGTATAAAAAATTGTACGACTTTTACGGTCTTGATTACAAAATTAACTTCTACTTTCTAGAGCTGTGAAACTGAGGTCCAGCACAAAAACGAAAAGATAAAAAGTGAGTGGACGAGTCAGAAAAAAAGAGGTATAATCCTTCCTTTTTCTCCTGCTCCCAGGGGTGGTCTCTTCATCCCCGGCCTCAAAGCTCAAAGGGGGACAGAGCACACCCCTCGTCGCTATAATGGAGGGGACCCACAGGAGCTGCAGCTATCTGCCGTTCTATGCCATGGGGGTGCAGGTTTAAGCAGGTCTTTGAGTGGCCTAATTGCGTTGGAATACACGGGTTTGAGAGCTGGCTGCGGTGTCGGCGAGCTGCTGCTCTACGGACGCACTCGCCAATAGAGAAAACGCACAATGAACACAATTAACGCTGTCCCACTCGTTAACTCGCTCCCACTTTGAGTCCTCTCCAGTTTCCTTTCTTCAGGCCGATATGTCCCTCTCCTGTAAGACCCCTCCCCCTTCTCTCTCTCTCCCCATGTCGTCACTCGCCCGCTGTATTATTCCTCCCATACAAACTGTCAGTCCGCTCCCGATCGCTTTGATGCACACAACAATTACAGTAGAGATGAAAGCTGGAGGGCCAGCGCGGGGCTGATTACGTAAGACACCTTGATATCTGAACAGCTAATCAGAAATGAAGCCTCAATGTCTTTGTTATGGCTTTGAAATACACTGCCCTTGAATTGAAAGCAGTGGAAGTTTTAGCTCTGTGCATGCAGTCTTCTTGGGCAGGCTGTAAAACACTAACTTTATGTCTGGATTTTGATGTCTACAACACTGTACAATGCAGAGACTTCTATGAAAAATACAGGTTAAGCACAAGAGAATGCTTTTAAACAAATATATGAAGTGTTTAAACCTATTTCTATATGTCCATTGGCCAAATACATGTGAAGAGGAAGCATAGTACAATACGTGGTGCGGTGAACCCCTATAATAACTTCTACAGTACGAGCTCAATAAACATTCTTTCATTGATAATAGCCTCTGTGTTGATTTGTTTCTGTTTGTCACACAATACAAGTTAATATCCTTTTAGCAGGGATTGTTCCCTAAAGCTGCTTCTGTAATAAACCAATAATGTTCCAAATGGGACAGTTTCTCGCTCTGTGGCACTTAATACTAAGCTGTTAAACATCTGATTGTGTAGCATTGTGTTTTATCACCTGTAATAACCGCCAACACGTCCCAGGATGCTGTGGGGCCTTTTAACCGGTGTCTGTACAATGCCTTCTTATTCAGTAAGTGTATAAAAGCTACCGTTTCCCCCTTATCCAGACAGTGGTCTCTGTACATACTGCTAACGATGATTCTGTCCCAGGATAAATTGGACCCAGTGGACTGTGAGTGAAACTCTTTAAAAACATATCATACTTACGCAGCCCTGCCTTTGATTTTCTTTATTACTTGAGCCGTGTCTTAATAAAATCTAATTATTTCCGCTTGTAGGATGCTTGCTGGTGAGAAATTGGCAGCAGGCTGAGTTGGTACAGTACAGGGAGACAGTCGCCTAATTAAAGGCTCAGAAATTGAATCTTTACAGCACACGGGTCATATAATTATCCTAATGTTAATTTAATGCTTACATTCTCACTGTTCATTTGTATTCCCTTAAATGTAGTTTGGCGGCCCTCTCATGCTCATGACTCCAGTACAGACATACTGTAGCCCAACAGTGGCCCGTGTGAGGGGCTGACCCGGGACCCCGCAGTCCAAATAACAAGGCACGCATCATTTATGCATTGTTAAGCCATGTAATTGAAACGAGCCGTAGTTTGCATATTACACCATTAAAATAATGTGCTTTGCGTTTCTCCCAACACGACTATTTAAGCCTGTGTGGCGATATGGTAATGCCTTGAATTACAGTCTAATTACCACAATGTTCTTTTGATTTGGCCGATTTCAGTGTTACGCCACAATAATGTTCAGTATTACCAGAATGAATTACTGAGCCATGCAGAAACTTTTCTTACTCAGACTAAACCAAGCACTTCCTTTCAGTGCAGCTATGTTCACATCTAATGGGATTATTATCAGTGACGAGATGCATTTAAGGCCCAATTAGAGCTGTAAATCAATGCCGCAGTATTACCATTGTTTTCACTTTCTCGTGAGGACTTTGGAGGAATGTGTTGTCTGATTGTGAAGCAGAAGACTTGTGGAACCAAGTTTATTTGTAATATCATTTAGTTTTGTTAAAGCTGCCATGCTGTTGTAACATTAAAGAGACAGGATGTAGTTTTTTTAGATAGTGAGGATCAAACCTGCTGGATTTCATCAAAAGAACTGGCAGTCCTCATGACGGATTCTGTTTTTGGATTGAAATACCACAATGTGGCCATCGCCCTTATTTGTAGTTAGGAATGAATCCTGAATTTTGCGCCTGAGGACAAAGATACTGAAGGTAATTTAAAATTACAATTTGGAAACAGTGTTTTTAATTAATTTACCAATAGGTTGACTAAAATGTAAACTAGCATTTGCTTTGCAAAGTTTTAATTTAAAAATAAGTGTGTATGTTTGCGTCAACATATTTAAGCACATAAATTGTATTCTTTATTTGCTAAATGTGTTTCAATCTTTTTTAAAGCTTTGCATTGAGTTTTTAAAAATAAATTATTAAGGTTCAATATGCATTTTGTCTGTCCTAGTTTTTCCTTAATTTACCAAAAACATCTCTGTGATAATTACTTTCTCTGCCTTTAATTTCATTTCTATAACTTCATGTTATTGAATAAAAAGGTCTAATTACACTTTAAATCATTTCCGAACATATTTCCTAAGTCGTGAATTGTTGAGGCTGAAGCTCTATCGTCACTGATGCATTGCTTTAATTTGTGGCCAGTGTCTGCGTCTATTGGATGTAATTGTTCTGTTTAATGTTATAATTTGCACTATAGGTCTCTCAAAAGTTTAAAGGAGTATTGGCCTTAAGGCCAGAAGGTCGTGGGTTCAATTCCCACCTCTACACCTTCTCCACCGACTCCCACTGATGACTGCTGTTGTTGTGTCCTTGGGCAAGACACTTAACCCCACTTTGCCCAAAGCCCCTGCTGGAAGATCTCAGCTCCTGTGGACTCACCACCTGCAGAGGGTCAGTGAGGGGCTGGTGCTATGAGATTTGGGTGGCATCTCTGATTGCCACCCCCCTGACCCAGAAATGGATTAAAGGGTAGAAAATGGATGGATGGATATAGGTCTCTCAAAAGTTTACTTTTGTAAAGGTTTAACATTTATTATTTCAACATTTATTATTTGCCTATCTCTTTATAGTCCTAATGTTCTCATTTTAGGCTTTGTTGCACAGATTTAAAAGATCTCTCATCTTTTTCAGGTTTTTGGGCCTCCATGCCTCTGAGGGGTGCTTGTCTTCACCCCTCCTTCCTCTGTCCCGGAGAAGCATTGTCCCAGCAGCAGTGTCTCTAAATAGAGGTCTTTAGACTTTCCTATGCAGGGGGAGCAGCCGCCACACCAACGCCTTCCTTTCATTTATACCTCTCCCTATGGCAACCAGCAGTGCCTGGCCAGGAATGTCCCCTCTCTGGACAATGTCCTGTCCTCAAAGCTAACGCTGGGGGGATGACAGCTGCCCCGCTCTGGACTGGTCTGGACTCAGGGCCAGTCTAATCCGCCTCTTCACTTCAGTCTGTCCCCTCTCTAAGGATGAGCTTTAGGCACATGCAGCAGCTGGGCCGGGCTTTGGAAATGTAAAGAACCATGGATAGCTCTCAGGGGTCCTCATAACAGGCTTTGATGTTGTAAACTGTTTGTAAAGTGAAATAAAAACACTGAACATTATAAACTTTGTTCAGTGTGTTTCATTGCAAGTACATCATAGTCGTGTATTTTCAAGATTCAAGAATTTATTTTCCATTTTCAGTAAAACCACATAGGAAAAACTGTGCAAGACTACCCCAGTAGTCTTGCTTGTTGATCCAGTTTTGTGAATCCATCAAAAAGGTTCAGCCAGTATATTCATTGTCATATTGAAGTGGTTTGAAATAAAATAAAAACATTGATAGGTGAAAACAAAAAGTGAATTTAGTTCACCATTAACCAATACAGAGGAAGGACCAGAATCCAGATTTGTCCTATCAGATCAGATAGTCCCGCAGCTGGTGCTGGACACTGACATTAAAAGAAATCAGCTGAGCCTGTACAGCTCCGTGCGCTCCCAGCCTCTCTCCTCTGGAGCAGCACCTCTCCAACAAAGACCCAGTGTTCGCGGAGACATCACCGCAGCCAATCGCCACCCGGTTGCCCCTGGTAACCACGTCCATCATCCTTGAACAACCAATGATTGTGAAGGAGGAGGGGCTCGATCCAGGTGCGCCTTGGCGTCCGCTTGGCAGAGCGCCTGGGAGCCGCCTGTGGCAGAGAAGCTCTGTCAAATGCGACGCGGCTTCCGTACGAGCAGGCAGTCCGGCTCCGGGAGTCATGGCGACCGCAGCGTCTAACCACTACAGCATCCTCACGTCCAGTGCGTCCATCGTGCACGCGGAGCCCGGCGGCATGCAGCAAGCCTCGGCGTACCGGGACGCACAGAGCCTGTTGCAGGGAGACTACCCGCTGCAGACCAACAGCCACGCGCTGAGCCATGCGCACCAGTGGATCACCGCTCTGTCCCACGGAGAGGCGACTCCATGGGCAGAACAGGACATCAAGCCCACGGTGCAGGGCGCCCGGGACGACATGCACAACACCAACACCAGCGCCAACCTGCAGCATCAAACGCGCCACCTGGTGCATCATGGGAACCATCATGATGCGCGCGCGTGGAGGACCACTACCGCGGCGCACATTCCCAGCATGGCGAGCACAAACGGCCAGAGCTTGATCTACTCACAGCCAGGCTTCAGTGTCAACGGGCTGCTGCCAGGCAGCGGCCAGACGATGTCCCATCACAACAGCCTCCGAGACGCCCACGACGAGCACCACAGCCCGCATCTGAGCGAGCACTCGCACGCGCAGTCCCAGCATCAGCACCAGCACCGGCCGCAGAGCCACCACGAACACTCCGATGAGGACACGCCGACGTCAGACGACTTGGAACAGTTTGCCAAACAGTTCAAACAGCGCAGGATCAAGCTGGGCTTCACACAGGCGGATGTGGGTCTTGCACTAGGAACTCTGTACGGAAATGTGTTTTCCCAGACCACCATCTGCAGGTTTGAGGCCCTGCAGCTCAGTTTCAAAAACATGTGCAAGCTCAAGCCTCTGTTGAACAAGTGGCTGGAAGAGGCGGACTCTACGTCGGGCAGCCCGACGAGCTTGGACAAAATCGCAGCGCAGGGAAGGAAACGAAAAAAACGGACTTCGATTGAGGTAAGCGTAAAAGGAGCTTTGGAGAGCCATTTTCTGAAGAGCCCAAAACCAGCAGCGTCGGAAATTATCTCCCTGGCGGAGAGTCTCCACTTGGAGAAAGAAGTAGTTCGGGTTTGGTTTTGTAACAGGAGACAGAAAGAGAAACGCATGACGCCCCCGGGAGGAGCGCTGCCCGGGACTGAGGATGTGTACGGAGACACGCCGCCGCACCACGGGGTCCAGACTCCGGTCCAGTGAGCACGGACTCCAGGACTCGTCCTTTGTTTTTATTTATCCCTCAACGTTATATATAAACCACTGGACTATGACTGAAATAGTGGGTGTTTTATAGACGCAGTAAATCTGCCGTGTGTTTGTGGGGGACACACGCTGGTCTCTAAGGATATACATGCCCAGCACTGTGACTTCAGTCCAGTTTGAGCTGTTGCCCCTTTGTGCGTCCACTAACCAGGGAGGGCAGTGTGCTGCTTCACTGAAGGTATAGGTGCGTCGTGCGTAAAAGCGAACATGGCGATATCCGTCTGTGTCGTCCAGCAGTGACCGTGACAGAAAGAGTGAAGACAAGGTACCGAGCTGAGGGACAGCGGCCTATGGTCCTGTATGTACAGGAGTACAGGAGTACAGGAGCAGGGAAAGAGCAGGGGACAGTGCAGCTCACTCAGTCGAATTATTGTTATTGTTATTTTTAATAAGAATATCATTGTTACTATTATTATTATTATCAGGCTGCTATCATTATTATTATTATTATTATCATTATTAGGCCTATATGAGTGACAGGTCACTATGGCCTTTCCCAGATCAAACAAAAAGACCACTATACCTTCACGCCACAAAGCCTTGAATTGGCCCCTCCCTGAGATTGATTGAATTATTTGGAACTTTTTCACACACTTGTGCAGAGGGACGTAGGGCTATGGAAACACTCAGAGCATCTGGATTTACTTTTGTAAATATTGTATAACTTTTAAAAAGTCTCCTTTCCCCGTTCCTTTTTTCCACTGGAGCACTTTTTAAATTTTCTTTACAACAATATTGTTTTTATTTTTTTATTCAAACTAGCTACCATCCCACTGCATTGTAGATTATTTTGATCTGCCTAAATAACCTTGACAATGTTGTGTCTTTATTTGAGGATTTTAAATTAATGTGACCACTTTTCAAACAGTCTGATTTATTTGTCATGTCATTGCAAATATGTTAGTTTACACAAACCTGCCAAAATGCTTTACGGGCGATAATAAATATTATTTATGCAATGTTATTGCATATAATAAATGGAAATTGCAGATCCTTGCTGTTACAATTCATTATGCATGGGCTGTCAAAAACACACCACTGAAGCGATTGAAAAGGTTTGAATAATTCTTTATATTTTGTATTAAGGCCTAATAATTGCTTAAAAATAGATCCATGTTAATTAATAATTTTATTGAATATATAATTTATGCCTAAATTAACCGTGGATTGTTAGCCTCCCCCACGTAAAAAATAAGGCTCTAAATAAACATCCATAGACCATTAAACAAATATGTCTTAAATATATCAACATATACATTTCTGCAATCCCATTGCAGTTTTGTCAGCTGGGCTATAAGCTACAACGCTGACCCCTCCCATGTTCCACCTTTTGTAAAATTGTAATTTATTTCATTGATTTTATAAGTAACAGAAATATTTGAAATAGCAATTCTTGTTTTTTAGAACAGAGAGAGACAGCTATTTAATTTAGTGCTTTATGATGTGATCCATTCACATGGAGTGCCACAGTTCAATGTATATACATCTTTTTTCTGGAGATTTTATTTGTTTTTTTGCGCAGAAATCATGGGACAATGTGACACAGCCTTTGTCTTTGTCATCCCCTTCAGACACCATCCTGGATCCTCCGTAGCTTTAATTAGAGCCCGGTTCAGTGGAAAGTGTGGCAGTAGCCGTAGCAGTCAGCGTTCGCTTTGTTGTTTTCTGGTTTGGGCTCCTGTCATGATGAACTTGGGCAGAAGCACTGCCTCTTCTGCGCGCACAGACTGAAGGACTTGCACATTGATGGGTTGATATTAAACAGCTTTTTCCAACCTCTACCTTTTATGATGTTTATTTACATGCGGGAAGCTCAGTCCGTGGCATCTGCAGCGTAAATCTGCAGGATCCAGTGATGAATGGCCGTGAATGACATGTTGTACCCGGGATGTGTGGTTCCTGCCGCGGGCTGCGCGCTGAAAACAAGCGGGGATCTGTGAGGTCCACGGTCCGAACAACCCGAGCTTTTATCAGTCGGTTCTTATGCAATTAAAGCTGACCAGAGACCAAGTTGAACCTGGAGCAGTTCAGATGTAAGAGATAGGCCGACAGTTAAAAATACAATAAAGGCTTGATGTTTTCCCAAATGCTAACGATATAAACCAAAACGACAACAGAAACAGGACTGTAAATGCATCTCAGAAACAAAACAACAGGATATTGCCATATACAATTCTTACCACGAATTTATAGGATTCACTGGACTCTGTTCATTCATTAATTGTAGATGTAAATGCATTTACAACTATCAAACTACTAATGCTCAGAGTCTGACCACGAGGCATAACTTTTTTATGGGACAAAAATGACCATTCTTTGTATGGACTGTTCCCACAGCCAATGGCATTGTTGTTTCCCAAATGCTTTGACTACACCAAACTGAGAGAAGTCATTGAGTGGATGGAATTGGATATTATATTTAATTTGATGTGATGTAGGCCTTTGCCATTAGAATGTGATCCCATAGGCTGTGTGGTCTCCTCAGTAGGACACACCAATAGGCCTGGTTCAGTCTCCTATAGGCCTAATAGGCCTACACACATTGGATGTACGGGTCTTAATCAGGCATGAATGTTATTGGACGTTATTACGAAGGGCACGTTATTTTTCAATGATACTCACAGGTTTGTTCTGGACCTGTATGTTTTCTTCCTTCTTCTACATCATAGTATTTTAGTATTTAATGGAACAGTTGAGGCTCATGTGGCTGTTTAGCATCAGTGGTGGTGTTTTGGCTGTAGAGTTCCTCAGAGTCCTGGTGCCCAAACCATCAGTGATGCAAGAGCGCGATCCACAGCTTTATTGCGGACACATTCCCTTATAATAGATCCATGCCTTTCCATGAGTGTTTCACAGGATACAGTGGTTCACAAGCTGAAACGGGCTTACCAAGGGCTCTAGCGCCATCTAGTGGAAACTAAATACAAGGTTTGACGGTGTTTTTTAAAGGACACATTAAAACGCCGCACATATGTTTGACATTAGTCAGACACGTGGATAGCTATAGAATCTCATAACATTGGAAAATGATATGGAATTACATCCCAAGTTCTGAGCTTAAGTAACAAAATACTGAATGAAATTAAGCCACTATCAAAATATCTTTGAAAAGACATCGCCTAAGTGTCAGAAATAAAACGGACGATGTTGGGCATCACATTTGAATCAAAGGTTCAATCCAAAGTACTAACACATTTAATCAGGTTTACGATTAAAAATATCGATAATAATGATAAATGTATAATTCACTTCATATACATGTATATAAAAGAAAGTAAAGGTCTCAAAGCCATAATCAAATGTAAAAAACAAAACTTAAAACGCCACATTTTTGCTCCATGTGTATGAAAAAATGTGTGGTTCTATGTGTCTATTAGTATTTACAGTCTATGGTCTATAAGATAAACGTTATCGATCTCACAATTGATATATAGCCTGACCCCTTTTGATGTTATTTCTCAACACCCACTGTGGTCTAAACTCTCGTAATGGGGATTGCTCTGCTTCTGTCTTTTTCATTACTGAGTGGCAATCTTGCAAAATTGGCCTCAAAGGAACTATATTATAAAACATTAATGTTTATATCACATATTTTTCATAATCAAATGTTCCCAATTAAACACAAAAGCCAATGTCAAAACCAAATAGCAAAAGCCCTATTTTTGCCCTCTATTTTTTTCTCTCCAAATTTCAAGCCCACACTGCATGGGCTGAGCAGTGTCTGTGGTTGTCTGTGCACACACACATACCAATATCAGTGGTTAGTAATATGCATGAGTCTCTCCCCTCCCCCACACGGTCTGCCACAGATAACACTGATACAAGCTCAATATAATTCCACCATTTGACATTGTTGTTCTTCAATCTCGCTCAGATGCATCGCAGCTAATTACGCAGCGCACACTTAAGTACACAAATGCTGGTGTGCCTTCATTTGTAAACGAGTTATTGTTTAATTATAACTTCACATGAACTTTGCTGATCACTGGGGCGCGTCGTGTCTCCTCTTCAGCACCTAATTATTCAGAGTATAATTGTGCAACGGCCTGTTTGTGATACATGCTCATCTTCTCTGGCACGGACATTAGTCTGCCATGGCGTCTGAAGAGAGAGCTCCAGGGACTTAAGCAGAGTCATCTAAAATGTTTGCAACAAAATATGACATGGAAACAAGTCTGGAATATTTTAACAATTTAATCCATTGCTATATTTGTTTTAGAAAGTGTAAAGTATCGGAATCAGAGAAAAGTAATCCAATATTGTACTGGATGAGGCGGAATATAAGAGAGGTTGTTATTCTAATCAGATTTGGAAATGGGATTTTAAAAAGAGTACAGTACAATTATTAAAACTATATATCTGTGCAGTAAATAAGTCATAAAAGGTTCACTGTGAAGGTCATTAACTCAAAAGGTCTCCAGACAAAATGGTTTTCCAAAAATGTAGTACTTTTGCACTGGTTTATTCTTCATGAAATGTCATATTCCAAATGAATGCAGTCATTTCTTATTGAGACACATTCATAACTTTTCCTTGAATTACAGTCTCCACTAATATAAATACAATGCATTTTCCTCTATATATTCTGCAAAACCTTGGTCATGAGAAGAAATCTGTTCCAAGTTATTGCATGCAATACAATGGATTTGCAGAAGCCACCAGAATCCAGTCACACTACACATTTGTAAATCAAAAGAGGAATTTGTGTCAGTAGAGAAACAACAAATGCTTTTAAAATGCCACAGGTTTTGCTACTTATTTATCTTACCACATACAACAAAGCAATCACAGATGTGCTTTAGTACAAAACAAATCTAAAGTATGACACGTTTAAATGCCACTTAGAAAGAGTGGGTGTTTGGAGACAATAAGACACAGGGCTGTTGTTTCTCAGATAAATCGATCTCAATCCAAGCCGTGTAAATGTTACAGGCATTATCTTTGTTGACAATTTCTATCCCTTTGGATTTAAACTTGGCCAAAAAGACACTGGGAAATACACTGGCTGATCTGAAGAAAAGCTACTGTGTTGTTTTTAATACAGTATCAGGTGACAAAAGGAAAAGGCTGATACACTGGAAAACTTAAAAATACAAAAGGGAATAACATTTTTACTCTTGCTGTGCTATGATAACGTGACTATATCAATAATAGGAGGTAAAGTTGTTCAAATATACTGGTTTGCTTTCTTGAAAAAAATAATTAGTTATTAGTCCATAACTACCAAGATTTGTATTCATAGGTTTCAGCTTCCAGTATAGTACGACTTACGATGACCCTTTTCCCCCACTCAACTTATATTATGTTCGGAATTGTCAACCACTATGACAACGATCTTCATTTCTCTCATTCTGAAACCCATGGATTGACCGACACCATGCATCAACTTCCCCGGAGCAACTGGCTGCTGCAGACCCCCTGCCGCAAAGGTACAGTACATGTCGTGGTTCATAGGCAAAATGAAGAGCGAGTGAAGAACCTTGTGCAGCCCTCAGCGCGGTCCCCAGTTTGCATGTAAAGTAAGACTGATTATTCAGCGTCTGTATTTCTATTCATATATTCCCTTAGCAGATCTAACCCGGCTTCTCTGTATGTGTAAGCTTGTTGAAAGACAAATAAAACGTTCAACTAATTGCCGCAGATCCCCTCTGGATGTATCAGGCTTGTAGAGGACCGTGACAGCCAGAAATCAAGCTGCTGTGAATCACGCCTTGCATCTGTAAAGCCACAGCAGCATAAGCAAGAATAATCATTGGGGAGGCCGTCCAAATTAATACTTCAGCCTCGTTCGCCGCGATTACGGCGCATTACAGGGCCACAATATACATCATTAAACCAGGCATAAACAATTCATTAAAAGGTCGTTAAGAAGACAGGCTAATGTCACTTCTCCCGCTGGTATTAATAGACTGTAAAATGGCAGAGGGTTAAAGGGAGAAAAGGATCATTCCACAACTAGTGAATCAGTCATGTTGAGAAACACACGGCTCGTTGTGAATGCACTTGGTCACTTGTTCACACTTACTGTTGTACTTTTGAAGCCATGATGTGTCAGAATATTCATTTTTACAATCAGTGAACGAGCTTTGAAGTGGAATAAACACAACAAGCGCAACTTTATTTCAAATCAATAGGATTCAGCAGCAATCATTGTTTTCTGTTTATTTAAAATCAGTGGCTTGGTTATACAGAGTGTACACAGTCACACGAGTGGGCAACTATAGGAAGGCCAATAAGAGTTAGAAATGACATTAGAAAGTAGATAGCCAAACAGAAGTTTGGTTCAAAATGTGATGATTCGATCATTTGTGCATGAAGATGATTACACGACCACAACAACAAGCATTCAGTCAAAATTTCCAGCAAACCCGCTTTGTTTAAAGCACATTACACAATTAAATGTTTTAATACAAACAAAATAGCAGCTAAATGTAGGAAAAAGGGTCTGAACAATTTAACAGTTTGTAAAGGCTCAGTATGACTTTAGCTGGGCAAATTCAGTCAAATCATAAATTGCAAAAGGAACAAAACAATCACTTTGAATCTAATTCTACTTTGAACATATTCAATATTTGTTTAAATTAAGTATCACCACACCAAAATAAATATACATAATTTTGCATACATAGCCACAAAGATCAATAACACATTCATCTTTGGTGAAACAGCGAAAGCAAAACACTACTGCAATTTCAACACTAAGAACAAAGACATTCAAAACATAAGGCACAAATATTGTTTTAACTCAGTTCAAGTTTTGTTTGAAAGAAAGAGTGCGTATACTTTCAGCCACATTAAAATCAGTGCTATATCTGTGTTGAAATAATGCCGCTCCACCAGCAGGTAAACACAAAGTGAACTCACGTCACCGTAATGCTCTGGTGATGAAGCACAAAGGAACTAGAAAAGGTGGAACCCCTGAGTATCTCAATAGTCTATAGTCTGATTCAAACTGCCATCGTGAATTTAAGGCATTTAGAAATTCAATTACTCCATGCAAAAGTAACAACCCTCCTAAAGCCCTCTTTATAAATGAGAATATGAACCACTAAAGTTGGAGATGTGTAAATCATTTTGTGTTTTGACAATGGTAAATAAACCTAAATGTCCTATTATCCTATTTCACACCTCTGATATCTACATGAATTATAATAGTGTATCTGAAGAAGCTGGTTTTAAAGTATGGAAAAGTGAAACAATTAGATGAATTACACACATAATAATTTAATGGAGATGAATACGCTGAATAAAAATGGTTGTAATTCAATTGTAACCGCCGCCTCACGCTCTCCCTGCCAACAGGCCGCCACTGTGAGGATGTGTCTATGTATATTGTATTACTGTCGTTGGGTTTCACTTTAAACACATTCTCCTTTTGGACAATCTTTTTTATCGTACAAAATTAGATTGATGCATTGCACAGGGGAAAGTTTGTATTTCAGGTGTTCTGTGCTGAAGGAGTTCACACAACCATAATATGACATATACAACGGTGACGCGAGGTGAACTATCAAACTCAATCTAGACTCTCACAAATGAAGGTAAATAATGCACCTGCTGCACAGATGTGAATCCAAATAAAACATATGACATTCTTGAATGAATGAGTCACCATTGAGTTTTCTTTAAACAAAGTAAATATGTCCTAGTAAGGAGATTGTCAATAGTCTTTTTCTAATCCTGAACCCAAAACCCATTTGTTACATTACAAATGATCTGGAAGAGTCAGTGGCGTTCAGTTCCAGTAAAACCAGAGGAGCCTCTAACAGGTCAGCCATGGTCCAGGCAGTGTGAGCTAACCTCCAGAAGTGTGGGTCACTGTGTGAAGCTCTTCTTTATGGACACGAGGGGGAACTGTCCGGAGAGCTCCTGCACCACGCGCATGTCGATCTGGGAGCAGAAGGAGACGTCCAGCAGGCGCAGCAGAGGACAGGCCTGGAGCAGTTTCTTCAATGCAGCGGCGCTCACAAGACGAGTTCCTACACAAATACACATTAACTCCTCGAGCACACACACCTATCCCAGGGTAGAGCTATATTTCACCTATAACTCAGGGATGTCAAAGTCAAATACATCACAGGTCCAAAAAAACAAATTTATCACAAGCCGAGGGCCGGACTGGTTCAATGTTTATTAAAACATATTAAAATGAGTGCATATAACTTGAACCAAGACACACAGTGCACCGCATTTCATTTAATTAATAAATAAATAATCCAATATTTTTGCATGGCTCTGTCAGTATTTAAGTGAAAACATTTTTCAACAGGCTCGCAGACAAAAACAAACTTCCTTCAAAGAGATGATAACTCTGTGCTGGCCGTTTCTAATACTAATCAAATATCATCCCGGGGGCCAAGATAATTAATTTGTGGGCCGGATCTGGCCCTCGGGCCTTGACTTTGACACCCATGCTCGAACGGATTATCATATCACATATTGCCCACAAATTATAGTCATTTATGGATTCTATGGAAACCACTGAAAACTAATAAGGCAAGCATATTCTTACAATGTGTAGAAGATACTGTACACTACTGTGATACCATTAAAACAGACTTGGTTTTCTAATGCCATTTACCGACAAGACAGGTCACAGGTGCTATTACTGTGCTGTTACTGTAGTCTTAAGAATGTTCGTAGGGATGTTCCGGTACTGATACCTGTATCTGAACATAGTTGTTACCACTTGTGTCTGCACATTACCTCAACTGGAATATAAGATAGAAAAGATGTTTATCTTTTTATGTAAAGTAGACCCAATTCAAAATATGTTTTACAGTGAGAAGATGATTAGTGCATTTCTGTTTGCCACTTTTCCTGATAACACAACACTACAGCAGCTTTAGTGTTGGTGTGATGTCATTACCGAGTATGTCGAGGAGCTGCAGTGAGGGGCAGCATCTCGCCAGCTCCTCAATGTCAGAGTCGCACACAGAGCGGTTTGCAGTGAGGAAGAGTTTAGAGAGCCGGGGCAGACTGCGGGCGAGCTGCTGGAAACACCCAGTGCTGCTCTGGAGAGTGGGACACCAGCCCAGGTCCAGCTCCTCCAGCATCCTGCCAAATACAACACATGCATTTACACAGGCTCTGCTCAGGGTTTAGTTACTTGTCTTTTATTACATTTTAAGAAGATCATTTTATTTATGAAAAGAAGATTGGTTTATCTTTTTAATGAATCAGAAAATTTAAGCAAAGACTGCAATTATAGTTGCATGCATTAACATCCTGCACTGTCAGAAGAATATGAAAGTATCTCAGACTTTACGAGATCCTATGAATGCAGCATCTGAAGTCTCATCCTCCTCCCAGTTCTTTTGCATTAACGGTGACTACGTTGCCCTTTCCGCTGGGAGTCTCCACTCCATAGCGATCTGGAACAGTTTTCTGGTTTCATATGAATTATAAATATGACTTTCTTTCCTTCAACACAAAAAGGTCATTTGTCTGAGCTCCACTCATGGAGACTTCCCCCCGACATGAAAAAGGTAAACCCCGTCATGTCCAGGGCGGGTATAGTGTGGTGTCATTGTTTTCAAATCAAACCGTAACATTTTCAATCTTAAAACTTTGCAAATAAGATACAAGTTTTGATTCGAAGCACAATCTAAAATTGAATAATCTGAACTCCACTTTAAAAAAAGAAAGTTCTTCAATCTGTGATATACACTTTATTGTTGGTGCTTCATACTTGCAGCCAAAGGCGAGTTCAGCCAGTCCTCGGTCTGTCAGGTTTCGGCAGCGCCAGAGGTCCAGAGAGCGGAGGGAGCGACAGCGGGCGGCCAGCATACTGGCAACAACGTCATAGTCGTCAATCTTCAGAAGAGAAAGGTGGCAATTAAAACTTCTGTATTTTACTGAGGAGGAAAAAAATAACTCTTTGAGAACGAAATTAAGCTGTCTGCCTTCACTTATTTTAGAGTAGAAGATATGAAATTCGTAGCGATTGCAACTTTATTAACTGCGTTGGCGAGTCCAAGGTACAATAGCCCTGTTCCAGAATTGAGAACAAAGCATTGAAAGGGAACACCTCAAAAATGTATTGAAAGAGATGTGTTTGAAGCAGCTATTGTTCTTCGATATCAGGGAATGTTATTATTTAAAAGCAGTAGTAATTACATTCTTACTATACTTACATGTATATAATTTGTACTTTTCATTAAGTTTGTATGCAAGTACATACCCTCACGCAGCTCCCAAGGTTTAAATGCCTCAGCTCCACGCAGAAAGTCAAGATACTTAGAAGAGCAGTTTGCTGCATCAGAAACAAAACAAAGTAAGTACGTAATGTTTATTTTTATAACGTATTTGACAGACCAAGGTCACCCAAAGCGCCTTACATTGTTCAGAAATCAGATATTGTTGCAATCACTCCACACACAGTGATGATGGAAGCGAGACGCCGAACACACTGGCGCATCAAAGCCCCCTCCATCACCATCCATTCACTCACGCAGACACAGGGAGAACATTCAAACTCCACTCAAAAAGGCCGTCAGAAAAGGGATTTGAACCCAGGACTATTCCATGCCGCCCAAAGTAAGTAAGTAAGTCATCTTTATTTATTTAGCGCCTTTCACAGACCAGAGTCAAAGCGCTTTACATTTGTTGTGGGCATTTGTCCTCTCACTCTACAGACACATTAACATTAACATTTTGATAAAGTAATAATGTAAGATTGTATACTAATGACTCCTTAGTGTAATTCTTTTGTAGTGCTGACTCGTCTAACATAGCACACAATGCTTGTCGCCCAATCATGTCCACAGAACACAGTGAGAACAGTACTTCTTTTACAATAATTACAAATAACAAAGTTATGTAATAGAACACAGTAAGTGGCACTGTCAGCCAGCTTTTGCCATCTTAGTCTGAATGTTGTAAAACAAATCTTGTCATTGGATTCCAAGATTGGTAATTTCAACCAGTCTTTGTGGTGAGCAGTGGGAGCAGCTAAAAAAATATATATATATATACAGTACAAATCCATGCCTATAACCGGTCCAGTCATGTCTGGTAAATGTCTTTTTGCCTCTGTTACAACCCACAGTTTTGTTTCACCTCACACATTGATATACGGCTCGGATAGAGATTTAGGAATCCAACTCTACAACTGCCAACACATGTACCTCAGTGGCAGAGAAAGTGTCAGACATGAAAGCAGAAGCGTCTCGTGTGTTTGCGGCGCACGTGGTGACTCCTCATAAACGCCTTTTTCCAGCAAAAGCCAGAAATTTAATTAGAGCAGTGACAGGGCAATGACAGTGGAGATGTCAGACACACAGGCTGCCTCTGTCTTCCTCAGTCTGGCTCCACCGCAGAAACCAAACACCACCTCATGTCCCAGCACCACAGAAATGCAACGCTCACCACACAAACCTGCTCCAGCCTGAACAAGTGAAGAGCCACTGAAATGTCACCCCTGATTAAATATGGAATCATAATTACATATGTTTACATGTGATACCACAACATAGAAATGCCCGTTATTATCAAAATAAATATGTCAAAGATATATTATTTGTCTAAATAATCCAAGATGAGCTTTGTATCTCCAAAAGTAATATTCCATGGCACCCAAACTGAAACAATAGAATTCCTTGCTTTGCCATTTTTTGAAGAATATTGAACAATTCTTAAACTTAATTTTATTTTGCTGGATTCTTTAAAAACGTTTCCGAGTCTTGCATCTTTTTAAATGTCTGAGATTTAGTGTGATTAAACTTACACCTACAAAAGTTCCATTAGGTTAAGAAGTTTATTGTACTCAAGGGAGCGACACTGTGGGACCCATGATGCTCGCCTTTGGTCAGGACTACTAGAGCTGGAGGGTTTTACCTATGGTGCATGTTTAGGGTTGTGGGGGAAACGCCACACAGAAAGGTCTGACATTTTTGTGAAATGATAAACAAGTAATAGAGAGCAGTAGATCACAAGATAACAGCGAGGGGGATAGTGCACGGGGGTCTGGCTTTCGGACTGTTCTACAATTATGTCAGAATGAAATGATGGCTTTTATTATTCATTTAAGTAGTGAAACACATTCTGCTCTCTCACCTCAATCTTGGTTCTGTAGAGCACCAGTCTGCGCAGATGAGTGAATTTACAGATGTGAGTAAAGGCCTGTGGGCTGAGGCGGTCACATGATGACAAGTTGAGCTCCTGTAACTGTGTGCAGGTCTGAGACACCACTTCCAAACACGCCTCATTCAAGAAATGACAGCACGAGAGCTCCAAACACACCAAGTTCTGCCCACACACCTTCAGGAAGCTGAACAAGGAAAGATGGAAGTTATTTATGCTCTCTTTTATAAGAATAAGTATAGATAACTCTTTATATATGCATTTATTCACAGCGTTTGTAATGGGCCTTCATTTACTTGGCCTTTTCAGTTTTTTAGTACTATCCAGTCCTCCAAAGTTATTTGTTGTCTGTTACAACAGACCTGCTGATGCCTGTGAGTGTGAGCGCCCCCCTGTGGCCAGTCCAGGACAGGTTGAGCCTCTGGAGCAGAGTGCAGCGGCTTTGCAGGTGTCCCAGCGAAGCATCATTCAGACGGGCCCAGTACGGTTGCAGGCTCAGCTGGGTGTACTGCAGAGGGTCATAGCAATGTTGCTGAAGCAGTTTGCTGCTCTGGGCCAAACGGCACAGGTCCGGCAGGCTCAGGTGGCTCAAGATCAGCTGGATGAGCTACAAGTGGAACAGGAGGAAGAAAAAAAGGATTAAAAGTCCCAATCTGAATTCTTCTTCACGTCAATTATCGACATGTGCATTAAAAGTAAGAGACACCAATCACAGAAAAAAAACAGAGCCTGCATGTGTGCAGTATATATTTAATCTTTTTATGTAAATGTATAAGATCACCCAGACCTAGATGAATTTTCTAGTAAAATAGGAGGTTACATAGAAAATATAAAATTTAATTACATGAGCTTTAGCATTCATAATTGTTTGACTAAGTTGACTTGGCATAACGCTACATATCAAACTTTATTTTGTTACTAGCAAAATTAACGTACTTGATACTCGATACCAATTTTACTACCACAGCAATAATTTTTGCTTTTTTTAATCTCAAAATAATATACGATATAGTCCAAATGTTTTTCTATGTAATTATTTTTTTAGATATATATATATATATATAGGGGCGACAGTAGCTCAGTTGGTAGAGCATTGGCCTTCAGGCCTGAAGGTCGTGGGTTCAATTCCCACCTCTGCACCTTCTCCACCGACTCCCACTGATGACTGCTGTCGTTGTGTCCTTGGGCAAGACACTTAACCCCACTTTGCCCAAAGCCCCCACTGAAAGATCAAGGCTATGCTCACACTCAGAGCAGCCGTCCTCCTGTGGACTCACCACCTGCAGAGGGTCAGTGAGGGGCTGGTGCTATGAGACTTGGGTGGCATCTCTGACTGCCGTCCCCCTGACCCAGAAATGGATTAAAGGGTAGAAAATGGATGGATGGAATGGATATATATATATATATATATATATATATATATATATATATATATATATATATATATATATATTTGACCTTCTCAGATTAGTAGGGTAGTCTCCAAACTAGCATTACTCAATGCTCAATGCTTTTTGATGCTTTTGACAACCCAGCTGTGCTTGCCAACAAGAAGATTATTTGGGAAAGCAGAATTGTTTTGCACCATGACTTTGCACCTATAAATTAAATAGAATTGCAGAGCTTGTGTGTTGCATTGAACTGGCAACTCACTCTGTTGAAAGGGGTTCAGTACCAGCTGAGAGATAATAGCTTTATTGTGTTCCTGAGACAAACACACCACAGCTCTGAATAGTATTGTTGATGGTTTTGGCTTGAAGCAGAAATAAGAGGATGAATAGCAGAAACACTGGTAGTGTTTTGAAGCCAGTCAACATATCACTATGGCATGAAAAACACTAGGATTAAGGGTCAATTAGATCAAAACCACAATACCCATACATTAGCAACATGAGCAAGTAGCATCACTGACTTTTACCTCATAGGGGAGTTTTTCAAAGTAACCATTTTGTGTTCTTTCAGTGTCTTTCCCAAACGGGACTCCCACATCTGTGAGCTCCTCTTCGCCGTCACTGAGGTCATTAATGTCAATAATAGGCAGCTTATAGAGAGCAAGCATCTGCCGCTCCTTCACACCTCGCAGAATAACAGCATCTAGCTCAGTGTAGTAGTCCAGCAGAGAGCTATTGACCTCCAGACGCAGCAGGTTTGTGGGGAAGTTTATGTGTTTGATAGTTGGGGCAAACTGCCTTGCTTGGGGCGTTGGTGCTTTTGTGGGCTCCCCTGACCACAGCACTTCCCACCTGAAAATCAAGAGAAAAGCCTTCAGGTAATAGGAATTCATATAATAGTCAGATTAATTGGTAGACCAATCCTTTACCAATAATATGATCAAATGATTACAATATAATAATATTATAATCATTTGTTTTTATTTTACCTTACATCTGTTGGTTGATTCTGAGAAAAGGGGTTATGAGAGCAGGCCAGGATCTGGACAATGGCTCCCGGGTAATACGTCTCAAATACTTCTACGGAGGTGGGATAAACAGGCTCCTCAAATGCCAGTTCAATGTAATCCTTGCTATGGAAGCCTTTAGGGATGCGCCTGAAAGGTGGCGGGGCACTGGCGCACTGTTTCCACCACGTCCCGTAGGTTCTAAACACGGCTGTTTGCGTAAAGTCCCCAGAGCTGGGGTACACATTGGGCACTCCAGCCAGGTTCCACATGGTATAAGACATGCTGTTCTCACTGCCATAGTGGGAGCTGAAGTCCAGCACCTCCTTGGCATACTGCTCCACCTCCACACTGACAGGTAACGCTGCCCTCTGGCCCGACTCCACAGCTCGCCGACTGGTCAGCGCCTCCCCACGAGTCCCACTCCTGGAGCGCCGCCGCAGACAGATATAGTAAAACATACTCAAAAGAGTTAACATAGGGAAAACGGAGGCACGTGATTGTGGAGAGAAAAGCAGGCTAAAGGAAGACCAAATGTGCTCCTATAGGAAGCACGCTGGCAGGATGGCTGCCCAAAGCACAGGTGAGGTGTCTGGCTGCATGCATGACCTATAAGGTTAGGCAGAAAAAAAAAACAATCAGAAGCTGAATAGCAATTTTGAGAATGTAGCTAAAGCAGCACTCAAGCATCGAGCTAATTTTAAACAAACCCCATATCCATGTTTATAAATGCCAATACCCAGTTAACTCCAAATAACAAAATACATTATCAACTCATAGACATATAAGCTACATAACTACATAGCTAGTGCCTCTCTACCTTTCAGGATATGTCGTTCTGGTGTTGTAATTACAGTACAACCACATATTTAGCGTTAAAGGTTGTTATTGCAGAAGCAGTGTTTAGTTACTTCAGTAGATTAGTAACGCTGGAGTTAGCATATTTATACACATGGAAGTAATTGTATCCACGCACACAAACGGTAACAACACGTCAATATCCTCTTTATATCATTCATGCCAAAGTATCCGAAAATATTACCTTGATTTTTAACATTAGAACCACATGAATGAACCTAGCAGACCTCCTATTGTGCTAACTCGCTAGCAGTTCACACTAACTGTCAAAACACTGCAGCTATGGCTAACCTCCGGAACTCATAATGGTACGAACCTCACAATGTGCGACACTGACTAGAATCACGAAAGGTGTATAAACGTTTTAGAAAAAGAAAGAATGCAAAAAGCAAACTATAATCCTCATGTTTTGGTAGATGTTTTGTACATTCCCAAGGTTTACTTCTGTTGACTTCATGTGACATGCGATAAAAAAACATACAGGAAACAAAACAACGGTTGAAAACTTGAAAATAATTATTTAATTAAAAATGAAAAAAATAAATGCATTATAAAATTATTTAAGAGCTATATTATAACATAAAATTGTAAAATCTGTTCAATTTAATAAAACGTGAGAGAAATCCTAAAACCAACGAAGATTTCCAAAGTACGTAAAAGCCTCACTCACATCCGCTGTGTTTTCGCGACGCATTATGGGAGATGCAGTTTTTGAACAAAAATGAAGAAAATACAAATTGGCGTTGGTATTTATTCAACAAATTTTTTTATCTACAATTAATTACATAATCTGCATCAATTGTTGTCTTTAATTTAAATCTTAAGATTAAAATGATCTTTTATTCGTCCCACAGTGAGGACATTTCAGACAATGATATTCATTCTGTAAAAATACCAGGGAAAACAGCGCACACACGGGAGAACATGCAATCTCCCCTAATAAAAACCCTGCCTCGCATTGAGTACCTTCTTACAGAGAGGCAACAGCTCTATACTGTACACTGCCAGTGTGTCACCATTCGAGATGACATTGACATCAGTGAATAGAAAAGTCCACATAATCTGTTTTCATGGATTTTCAAGGCCATGTCACTTCAGGTATCTAGAGTGACAAACCTACTCAAAATGATAATGCATCTTTAAATTAATAATTAAATGACCCACAAGAAAATTAAGATCATGTTCTGTCCATTTTATTTGCAATTAGCAATGAGTAATACATTTTTACATCATATTTATTTTAGGGGTGTGCCTTTTATTATAAGCCCTTTTGTATTTTTGTCACACTCCATCAGAGTTGTTTTATGTTTGTCCTTTACTTATACATGTATGTAAAAAATAATGTGTGAAAATGAATACAAATAATTGCAATTCATGCTGAATTCTTTCGCAGTTCCCTGATTTTTCATGGCTTGTAATCGACTTGTGTGGGCTTTAAAAGGTGTTTTATGGAAATCTTTTTAACTACAAAAGAAAAGACTTGGGTGTGCCTTGAGGTCCCAGCTTTGACATTTTCTACAATGTTCTTAGTAATGCTAGTACACATTTTGGTCACTTTTTGGTGATTGATGTGAAGCAGGTCCATTCGGCTGTGACACAGAAGCCCTATTAAAGCATGCCTCTCCTTTGATTCAAATACACACATAGACAGTGCATAAACAGTAGGCAGCTGCATGTGGAGTTAACAAGACGGGATGATGTGGGCCGAATGGGCATGCTTTATGATTGACAGGCCAAGGCGCTGTCAGAGCTCCTCGAGGCAGGCATCAGCGAGCAGCTCTCAGCCTCTGTCAGAGCTGTTCTGGTCCGCTGTGCCACACATGCATATGCACACATTGTAGCACACACGCAAATCCAGGAGCAAACTGACAAACCACACACAAAGGGATATACCATTACAGTTTAGGAAAAAAAGAAACAATGATATATAATACAATCATAATTGGGAATACAAATTATCATTATAAGTTTAATGTATAGACAAAATTGATTTCCATATGTCACACAAATTATATCTTGTGAGTGACACATGGAAATCAAAATGGTTGTGAAAGAAGAATTGGTGGTGTACATTTATTTAACAAATATATATAAATAATCAATGCTTTTTAAAGTAAATATTGCATCAAACGGGTACAACATTCTTAATACATTGTGTGTGCATTGACAGTCCTTCGGTATAGCCGAAGCTGTCAAAAGCCAGTTAAATTACCCACTCTGCGACTGTGTCCATACACTGAGCCTGGATATAGTTACGTAGCCTTTTACACACACGTCATTCCCAGCTGTATTCCAGCATGCCACTTGGGGAATTGTCTCTGGAGGACTGAAGAAAACACAGACATGGCTGAAAATCCTACATTAGATTGAGGCACTGATAGAAAACCTTGCACTCCAGCTAACCCCTTATTGCATTCTGCTGCCAAGGAAAAAAATCACGCATATGTTATTGTCCCAATTAATTCATCCTGCAATCTGCCACTATACGAGGAAAGATACCAAGAACTTATTAAGAATATATAAATCCTACTGTAATGATATAATTTAACAATGGCAGATCCATGTGGTCACTGCCACTATCAAAGTGACTGCCAGATGGCTCAACACAGATTATTCAGACATATTTAAATGTATCTGGCACCTTGGCATGTTTTATGCATATAGGTGTGTCAACAGTGCAGTGAGGTCCAGTGCACTGTGGATGATTGACAGCAGATGGGTCCTGTTGTTTAAAACTATCCAACAAATGTAAACCTACAGTCACAAGAGAAACGTGTGTTTATTATTATAACATAGATGGACTAAAAAAACACATTAAACATGAAAGACATTACATTTACAAGAATCAAAGAGAAGGTCAACATAGTAAATGCTCAATATCTCTCTTAACTGATTTTACAGTTTTTTTTAACAGTAAAGTTTTGAAGAAAGTTACAAACTCAACTGAATGCATTCATGAGACGGATCCCACACATCTCAACAAAGTGTTTTTCTTTTCAATTTTCCAGATGATTGAAAAACTTCCCATCTTTTTAGTCTTAGTGACATAATCTCCAAATATAATTACTTTTGCGTTGAGATAGTGAGCACATGTCAACTACTATTGTTTCGTTGTGCTCGTCCTCCATATGAACTTTAGTTTAATTGCTTTCAGTGTATCAGCTGTGAAGAGGAGTCATGACCTTGATCTTTTTGCCTGATAAATGCTTTATTTGTATTTTAACAAATGCATGCAAATTTGCTGTTTATATATGTGAGTGCGGTAAACAGATAGAGATGACCTGATTTTATTGTGTGCTTAGCGACTGATTACAGGCCTAATTAAATACAGTGCTCTGAGAGACAGAGGAGAGGCTGACCCCACAACTTCCAATGCCCCTTTGGGATCATCTGAACAAAGAGAGGAGATGCACTCGCCCCATAGACAACAGGCAGTTAGAGACTTTAAACAAACAAGCATCATCAAAGCTTTTATCACCACCACCTGTCCTTAACTTACTATTCACCTGTTGTCATAAATATTAATGGGAAGAGGGCAACATGGGGGTGTTAGATAATAATAAACTTCTATACAAGAGAGCGGACAGCAACTGCAATAAAAGGCATATTAAGAGTTGCAATCCTTCCCATCCACTTTCCCATGAGGCAATACTAAAACAGTGAGATAATACAGTTTCAGTATCCAATGACAAAGGTTTTAAATCAAATTCAAAAGAGTTCATTAATACAGCTACGCATCACAAGAGACACTGGGATTATCATGTTTCTGTTTATAATGAAATCAATTCTTGTACCTTCATAAAGTCTGACTTATCAGGGTCATCAGATCAAATAAAAAATATTTTACTTGCACTTGAATAAGCTGTAGAATTCACTAACAATCAAACAAATGGGGTAAAACAGAGACAAAATCTCTCAGCAATACGTAACCTTTGATTTCCTGTTCCTCTGAGATGAGAGGGCTGCTTTGCATTCAAACCCACCTTCGTTCCTTTCTCTCTCCCCCATCCCGCTCATCTTCTCTACCCCATTGGTGCCAACAATACCCCTTACTCCCTCTGCACCGCCCGCTCTCTACAGGCTTCTGTGCAATGTATTCAAATATTTTGACATTTCGCCTCCCCTCACTTCCTGAGCAAAAATGATTTGTGACAGCTGGAGATGGGCTCGCTCGCTTGTCTTTGTAAAGGGCCTAGTTTCTCTTCACTCCTCTACTTTATCCGCTGCAGCTTCTCCCGTCAGGGGCCTTGAAGACTCCTGCTCCACTGTTTTCATGTGACTCCTGAGTGTGATCGACAAACTGGGTGATATTCTATTTGTTGATGTTTTGTGCTCACTGTCTCTCTTACCTTTGTTGGCCTCAAACCTGCTGTTTGATTCACTGCTGACACTGGCAGCTCGCAGGGTAATCCTTCTGTGAAGCAGGCCAAGAGTTCACACTATACACTTTCATAATATGTCATAATAAATAATAGATAATGAATATAAATCAAGGCACACTGCAAGGTAAAAAACAATAACATTTTGAAAGTTATTCAGCAATAAGGATCAACATGAAAAACTGGCAGCGTAAGTAAAGCTAAGTAAATGCTTGTCCAAAGACACAGAGTCTTTTGACAATATCTAGCATAAAATAATCAATGACCTTGAAGCCAATTCATAACTGAGCTGGTCTATAATAATGAAATTAACTTAAATTGTGTGTGTGTGTGTGTGTGTGTGTGTGTGTGTGTGTGTGTGTGTGTGTGTGTGTGTGTGTGTGTGTGTGTGTGTGTGTGTGTGTGTGTGTGTGTGTGTGTGTGTGTGTGTGTGTGTGTGTGTGTGTGGTGTGTATGTGTGTTTGTGTGTTTTTAATTGTTATGAAAAATAAAAATAAAAGTTAAGTTAACAATTATTAATAATCTTTCACTCAAAACAAAATAATATTATTTTCCCCATATTTGCAGTTGGTGTTACTACAATGCAACGACCTCAGTGGAAGATAAATGACAGTGCTATGATCCTTTCCTAAGATTCAAGTATAAGACATGGTGAACATTCATGATTTGAAGCCTATAGTGTTCATACAGAGCTTCATGACCTGCTCTCACAATACTACTTTAGTCTAACTGTCTCTGCTCTGAAGCAACTTCAATGCTTTTATATTCTCATGCATCTTGTATCTTTCTCTTGATCATCTTTTCACTGACTTCCTTCAGGTACCACTACCTACAGTAGAGAGTTGGCACCCGCTTCAACTTCACGTGCAAATTGTGTGATGCTTGGTCTGGGGAGAAAATGTGTAATCATTGTAGAGGAAATAAAAGGGAAAGAGGACGCATTTGTCTTGTGTGCAGAGCATCTCTTTCCCAGAGCATTGATGGATGACAGCCTTGGTTTTAAGTGTGTGTTTGCCCATATCGCAGTGGTGCAAAGTGACCAGAGACAGGCAGCGACAGAAAAAGGCTCTGTCCTCAAACTAATGAGCAGCATTATTCAAATAGACTTTCTGTTGTCAGTGCAGTGCGCTGTGGTCCACATCCACAAATCCTACACTGCTCATATGCTAAAGTACGTCCCCAATTTGAATTACAACACCATACACACACACACACACGCACACACACAAACACACACACTCCAGAAAAACACAGAACACCAAATCAAATATATCCTGTAAGATCTGTACTCAAATAAAAATTAAACTGAGAGAAATATTACGTTTGTTTACTATAAACATGGTTCTCTCTTTAGTAACATGGACAGTACCAAGTATGCAATGTCAACAACTGCAGCAATATAAAATTAATTCCGTGGTCTCCGTCCACAATAATATAAATATCATTATTCATTTTATTAATATTATTATTAAGAGGGGGTTGTGTTCAACATGACCTAATACTTTGTGGAGACCAAACTCAAAGTTTTTTCCATTTGCCTGTCGAGTCGTTTGAATGGTTGATGAAGTGGTGCTCAGGAATCATTTTGATTTCACTTGACAGTTGTCTGTTACTTTGTTTTGGTCTTTTAGGGATAAAAAATTAGTAATAGTACTTTTGCAAGCCACTGTTATGTAAACAACAGGGGCAAATTTCCATTCCTGAGGATGTCAGGGAGACCATCATGAGTGATCCAGACTTGGTCTAAATTAACACTTGATTGAAGAAGGACGAGTCTATCATAAGAAATTGCAACATGACAGATTGTTTCAGGATGTTCCTTAAAGGTCAGTGTGTAATGACACAGAACTTTGGTTCCAGGAGACACTGTAAGGACTAAGGGACTTGTGGACACTCAATGGTTTTCAATGTTCACCTCTTGTTGGGTGGGTTCAGTTGTTGATTGTGAAACCACTGCTTGGGGAACCTCTTTTAAACTCTGACATGAATGTGCTGTTAGAAAACCTGTTTGACAATACAAAACTAATAATGTTCTTGGATCACTTTCCTCTTTGCCTCAGTGCACATTTGATATCTACATAAGAACAATAAGAACATACTGGTGACATTTATGAAGGAGAATTATAACAAGAATCTATGTGTTACCCAAATAAATATTGTGAAAATGAAGACAGATGCAAGGTGGCTAAGATCTGTGGAAAACCCAACTGCTGCAGCGCAACAGAGAGAATCCGTCATCTGCCAAGGACATCCGGAGCTAATAAGTGTGTAACATGATAGAAGGGAAAATTAGTTCATAGCTGTCATCGTCTTGATGAAGAGGCAATCAAAATTGAAAGTGAATCATTGTGTGAAGAAGATTGTGTTTTGGTATTCAAACAGGCAATGCTTCAATATGACAAATCAGCCAGAGTGGTGCACGTTGATTGATTCCATCCATGAAAACCTAATAGATTTAGCCCTGTGTGAATTTGGCTCTCATTAACCTCACTGCGTTTTCATATGAGAATGTATTGGAGCCATTTTATCCACCACTCAAAGGCAATTCACCGGGCGATAAATCCTTTGGCTTATCTAGCTGCAGGTGACAGCAAGGCAGAGCACGTTGGCTTCCAGGGCTCAAACACACACGAAAATACACTCAAAACGCACCAGCACCCCCCAACACTCACCATGGACACACACACACACTCACACACACACACACACACACACACACACACACACACACACACACACACACACACACACACACACACACCACACATATACACACATATACACACATATGCACACACCATGGAAATGTGGGAGGAAACCTTGTGATCCGACCGGAACCAAAGACATGGCCCTTGATCTGAGCAACCAGCTGCAACAGAAACCCTTCGTTCAGCTGCCTGTTAGAGAAGAGAAGAGGAAGAACGAGGGGGAAAAAAATCCGAATTCAATTACACAGTCGAACCCCACTCCTTGCCCTCGGGGACTGATATCAGCACCATTTAAAAGTCTGATTACTCACAAAACCAATAGCATTTTGACTCCTTGGCAATGGACCAGTAGATTAGAAAATTTAGATTACATTTAACTGCCTGTAGATTCTCATTAAAACGCCACCAACTAGTTAGAAACAATAGGTAATTAAGAGTGTAATGAAGCGGGCTACCGTTAGCACACGTCGGCTGTATGAGGCTCCAGTGGGACTCAGCCTTACTCTGCACTTATCCTGCAGCAAAACCATGGCTGTGTCTCATTTGGGCAATCCGACATATTTAATTAGATTAATGAATTTCAGTGGCGTCTCGTGGGGTTGGCTGTGTTGCTTGCAGTGACAGAATAACAACCGATTATATATTGGAGAAGAGGGCCTAGAGAGATACAGGCCGAGGTGGGCTGGTCCCAGGACAGAACTGCAACATGTGACAGTTTGGGTGCGTCCCGTCTCATATTCAGTTACTGTTACTAAAGCAAATAATCATAACTACATGTTTTGGGTGATTAAACTCTTACAAAAAACTTCAAAATGAAAGAAGTGATTAGTACAAAAGTATTTGTTCTATAATCCTAACTATACTCTGAATGTAACACAACATATTTTTACTTTTATTTATTTTTTATCCGTAAAAAGGATGGGAAACAACGAGTTCAGCTTTTACTGAGCACTTGCTCTCTGATGCAGCGTGAGGAACCCAGGACATGTGGGAGTGTATACATGGGTAAAGTCTACTTTAAGCATCTGTCCTCTGCATTTGACCCATTTTCCTATACACAACACACATGTCACAGCGGTCATTCTGTGACCATTTGGTTTATACTGCATTTTCAAATGAAATTGTGACACAGTGAAGCACTTTAAAACAAATTGCTTCTGGGGAATCTCTCCCAGAAAAGGTTGCACAAACGCACATAGATATAATTCTACCATTTCTTGTATATCACATGTATATTGTGCATTGGCCTCATGTGTCCCAATGACATTTGAAAGTGAAATTTCCCCACTGTGGGACATATCTTAGTCTTGAAATGGGTCTAGTTATGTCACCCCAAACAAAGTTACCAGGTCCATTGAACATTTTGGAGGCATGACTACAGGAAGACCCTCACTCACTCTATGCAATGTCTTTTGTGTCAGGTTCATAAAATTCATTCAAAATCATCCAGAGAAAGTTAGCACAAAAAATTCACAAGCAGGATTGACAATTTAGGAATTGTAAATGAACCGTTCATGTCCAATCATACCGGGAGATGATTATTTTCTTTTCTGCACCTCACTTTGATAGTCTGTGCTTGTCCTGCACATCTGACATGTTTATGTGCATTTTACAATGTTGTTATTGAGCATTTTTGCATGCCTTATTATTGCTTTAACGTGCTATTGCACCATAATGCTAAAGTAAATTAACATAAACGTAAATAAACATATTCTGATTGTGATGGTGGTCTGCAGGCACAGGGCATGGCAAAAGCATAAGGCCATACAGTATGCAGACTGAGCTTTCCAAAGGCAGGTGCAGCCTGCAGTTAACTCTATTTTGTCTCTGTGCAGGCCAGCCAAAGTCATCTGGAAACAACCACCTGCCAATGAATACAATTATGGCACAACTAGAAAAGAAAACAGCGCCGCCTGCTGGCTATGCCTCACTATGAACGCTCAGAGGGAGGACCACCTGAGCCCAAACTCAGTTGGCACATAAGCGAAGAATAAGCCAGTATTTAAAAAGGCGGACCACAGTGTGAGCCCTGTGTCCGGGGGCCTACCTGGCAGCACAGCACTCGCCCAGGGAGCCAGCAGCTGCCTGGGGGTGGAAGAAGGGGCACGGAGGGTCTTCCATGGTAGGGCCAAGGCGGGTCCCAACAGAGCAGAACAGTAGGAGGCAGATGGACCGGCCACAGTCACTGCCAGAGGGCCAGAGGGCCAAAGGGCCTGGGGAGTGTGTGCTCAAACCATCCATATTCTAACACATAACAGATGAGCTGTCCTGAGGCCTAATTGTTTTGAATCTATTGGACAGAGACGTTTCCTATATCTAATTGTTATGATTTGCACTATAGGCATTATTAAAACAACTGACGTCAAAGATAATCAAAATTAAATTATTTGCTCTGAAATTTCTACAGCGAACAGATTTCCTCAGACAACATTTAATCGCTTTAAGATTATTTTACCCCTCTCCTGCCCCATGCCTTTCTACGTCTGTCAGGCCCATAGAGGCCAGACCAGGGCTGCAGCTATAGTTGGCATCTGTCGTGATTTAATCTGCAACATCAAGTCGAACAACGACAACATAAGGCTAAAACAATGTAAAAGTGAAAGTTTTGTGCAGACTCGTTATCAACCTGCACAGACAGTATTGCATCATGTTGACACAATGAGCTATGGGCTGGTGTTGGTGAAGAGGATGCTGGAGTTGCTGGTTGTAGCCACCGGCTGCACTGGTCCAGAGCCACAGATGCTGCAGTGTTTGTGTGTTGACTGTCTGTAATTTGTTTGCTGTAATTTGTTTTGCGGTGCCAGGGGAGTTCCCGTTTTAATTTTGCTCTGTGTGTTTACTCCTCTTTGTGGATCGCTGATCTGTTAAGCGCGGCAGAGTTGGGGCGGGCGGATGAGGAGGAGAGGTGAGGGGCTGAGGGGGAGAGGGGGTGAGGGGGGTACATGTGAGCCAAATGAAAAAGGAGGCGTTCAGATTGTTTCAGGCCCGGCTGGCAGCTCCTCCAGCCCAAAGGCCTCGCTTAGAGCCCGCACCTGCTCCTCCCCTCGGGAGGGCGCTCCTGATCTGTGGACCCCTGGATCTTGTATTCATTCAGACCAGTGTTTTTACTGGGATTTTATTCACTCAAACATCACTGACAGAGAAAACATGCTATGGCTTTATGGCTAATCTCCATTCAATTAAAAAGCTTTTCCGTGTTTGAATTTGTGGGGAAATGTGTTGTAAGCAACTCGTGGCTGCTCTATTCTGCTCAACTGGTGATATCTACTGGTAAATATAGTTCGGTAAATAATTTAGAAAACAGGATACAATAGCTGGTTCCAGTCTTGGTGGTTTGGGTTAAGACAATTATTTTTTTTCAAATGGTAAATGTTTGTTCTTTTCCCAAATGGAAGAAACAGTCACCTTGAAATACAGTTTAGAATTGTAGCTGTAATTCTTTATTGGAATCCCCATCACCCAAGCCTCAACATACATACAATAAACCTGCAGGAATGTCATGACGTGCTCCATATAAAACAACACATGTCTTTTAATATGGCTTTATCACAACGGGTTTCCAGGGGAATCCCAAAGTCTTTTTAAATGTGTTTTTAAAATATATTTATATTTCCAATTTTGACAAATAAATAAATGTACAAAAACAATGTGATTGCAATCCTAAATCCTGAACATGAAAACAATGAAAATCTTAAGACGTGAACTGATTTTAGTGTCAGTGTAATTCCCATTGACAGACACACACTGGTCTATCGCAGTCAAACATATAATTGACATTTTTTAAAAATTACCAATTTTATAATCTCTCGTTGAGAGCAAATATAAAAATAAATGTTAAACATAGTTATATGTAAATTGTCATTAGAGCTAACTCTGGTCTCTAATGAAGCGTCATTGCTTCGTTTTCAGTTCTGCTTCCTCTTGCATCGGATTTATTTGGTGCAGTATGTGAAATGGATTTAGTTTACATGATGTAGAGTTATTTGGACCAAAATATAGTTTTTTCTTTACTTGAGTTTTAGATTTCAGAAGAACTTTCTGTTGCAGACCAATAAGACCATATTGTTATTAATTTCATTCCTGTTCAATGCTTATAATTAAAAGCATTGAATGGTTGTGTTACAGAGAGAAATAGTTTTAAGATTATAACGGGTCATGGTTGCCATTATTGCTAATAATAATACTTGCAATACCCTTGCGTACCCCTAGGGGGGATGTGTCCCTGGTTGTGAAACACGACTATTCCATATAGATAGTTGTACACAGGGAACGTCATCTGAGAATGAGAAGTAGGATACTCATGGTTAAATATCTTATGGGAAGGATATGACCTTGAAAGTGAATGTGATCCATCTGGGTTCTACCGCCCTCTAGTGGTTACAAGTAAAGCCTGTACATTTACCAAAACATGACTTCTTCAAAGACAGCAGTTAGAAAACATAAATAAATAGGCACAAATCCGTTTGTTCCTCACATCAACTGAAAATACCAAAATAATAAATTGAGAGCTTAATTTTAGATAGTCGGAGGAAATTCAAAACCAGCAAACTCTGAAAGGGTCGTCCTCCTTGAGGTTGAATAATTTTGTGAGTTTAGACACATGGTGATTATTTGCATCAGAACTTTTTTATACATCTCTCTCATTGCACTCTGATCCATATCAGCTGGAAACCCCCATCTTTAGTATCTTAGGACACAACATAAGGCCAAGAAAAGCTGCCACTGGAGCCGATTTGAAATAACAAGAAAGAACATATTATAATGTGTTAAAAAGATCTCTTCAAAGAGAACCTCAGTTCATTATTCGCTTTTCATGTCTGGAGTTTAAGAGTCTTTCAGATTTTCAGATTTACAAGAACCATGTGTATTCTATTCACTCCTTCATCATGTGTATTCTCTTATTCACTCCTTCACCATGTGTAGTGTATTATTCACTCTTCCAGATCAGGCATTGCTTCCTCTTTCAGCTGATTGTCATTATCAGATGCGGTGCCCACATCTGAATCGAAAAGCGAGTGGTCTGAATGCTGAGAGCGAATGTTTTTATGCTCTGGTAAACGTGAGCAGCTGTCGTTGCTGTCACTGTCGTCCAAAGTGTCCGTCCTGGAGAAGAGCCCCAAGTCCAGCAGGCCCAGGGGAGAACAGTTCCCACTGCTTTCACTGTCGCCATCATAAAACAAATCCTCCACCTCCACAAACCACTCGGGCCAAAACTTCCTCCTCATCCTCTCGCAGAACATTCCCAAGTTTATGAGCTCACCTGAAACAACAGCAGAACAAGAACAGGTTCAAAAATAATTACAGCAGTAGGAGGAGCCTCCACTGACTACTGATTAAAGTGACAAGAGGTACGGTCGTGTTTCTATGACACTACACGAGCGGGATATAAAACTATAGCATACTTCAGCATACTCTGGGAGAAATATCACACATGATAGTAGGTTAACACTGCCATCTAGGGGCCGTAAAAGAAAATAATTAAGAGAGGTGTACAGTGCATGTGCCTCGGTTTCAACACAATACCATGATTATATAAAAGGAATTATATAGATATTTGTTTAGTTTCACTTCAAAATCATGATTACAAAAGCCTTTTACTGTTAGAATCAGTCTGCTCTATGTCTTGGAGAAGATCAAGTCCAAAGCCTGATAAAGGAAACCTAAACATTGAGGTTATTGAGGATTGCAAATGGTCCTGGGTCAAAGCTTGAACCGACTACTGTTAAAATAAAAAGTCCAAGACGGATGCACACAACATTTGGAGCTTCACACACATGGCTAAATATGATTATAACCAAAAGGACTGCCAAGTGGTGATATCAGATGAACCAATATCACTGAAAAAAGCCAGTCTCCCTACAATCACAGCTCGGCCTGTGTTTCACAAATGGATGAAAATGTGTTTTATTTGATCATCAACTGCGGAAAGACCAAAAATAAAATGAACAGAGGCTTAACCGAGATCACGGAACCAACATCGAAGCCAACAAACTTTGCTGAATCTGCACCTATAGCAAGTACCAGTATTGAAGCATCCCTACTCAGGATCATGTGCAAAATGTAATTTAAGTGACTTCTTAGTTAACGACTGAGAATTCAGAATATCTTTTTTCAGGGGAATCCTAGTTCTAGATAATCTCTGTGGACAAATGCAGCAATCATTAGAATAGAAAATACTATAATGCACTAACAAAGACACTTTCATTTATTGTAAGGCCAGATTACTTTGACTTTAGCATCTGAAAGTCTGAGATGGTTTTCTGAGAGAATAATGTAATAACACAATAGCGAACGCTTAGACTATACAATACAATACAATTTATTCTTGTATAGCCCTAGGTCACAACAGAAGTCATCTCAGAGGACTTAACAAAACCATTGAAATCACCAACACAGATCAGAGAATCAACAGTTAAAACACATAAAGAATATAAAGCACACACAGAAGAAGATGTCCATACATGTCAAGACTATTATCTCATGTCTAAAACAAGTTGTGTTCATGTTCCACCTTTAGCGTTCATTAAAATCTAACCATAAAACATAATCAACTTACCTTTAATGAGCTGCTCTGGTCTTGTCCCTGGAAGCGTCCACATTGCCTGAGCTAAATGCCCGAACACTGTGGCATCTAATGTTGAAGCCTTGGAGCCCATAAAGTACTTCTTATCTCCTGCACAAACCAGACAAACACACACAAAGACAGCAAAGTAAAAAAAACCATGATCATCAAAAACAGAATGCATATCAGCAATACAAATCACAACACAACTTTGTTATGAGAGGGTATTTCAGGTCATGTCTCTGAATATATTTGAGGACGTTTCCCTGCAACATCCGGCTCTAATGCTGCAGTTTCAGTTCCGACATCAACAGAACGGTCTCACAGTAACTTTCCATTTTACAGCCACGCTTTGAAATCACACAAACAGATCAATGTAAATATGATCATGTTGGAACATTTCAGCCTGAGCACCTCGGCTCCTTTGCAGTTATCAAAGGTACACAAAGGGATGGATTGGCATATCATAGTAATTTAATTGTTCAAATGGCCAAATGTATTATGACTATCTCGGCTTCACAGCAGCACAGTGGCTGAGTGGGGAGCGCTCATGAATCGCAGTAAGAAGGTTGCAGGTTATTATTCTGGAAGCCTTTCTGCATAGTACTGTATATCACAATGTCTTCCTCAAGTGTACTTAGGGCATTTTATATAATCTACTTATCCATGTGCAGTTATACAGTGGCCTGAAAAAGTATCTGAAGCATTTGGAATTTCTTATATTTCAGAATAAAATGCATAAAAAAACATGGGTCAGGGTTTGGGTTTGCATATAAACAATGGCTGTTGGCGGAGGAATATAAAACTGAACCTTCGCATTTAACAGCTAGTTAAATGCCATAATAACTTCAACCAGACACTTCCTGTAGTTGCAGATCAGTCTGGAACATCAATCAGATGTCTGGCATTAATACTTGTCTCTAGGTTAAACATAAATAAATGTCTGGGTTATTTTAATTAAAGCAGACTTTTTTATGTGTGATTTTGAGAAAGATCAGATCACATTTGATGGTGATTTTCTGCAGAAATGTGAGAAATTCCCATCTCTTCAGATACTTTTTCAGGCCATTAGTTGTGTATTTAGGAAATGTCTCCAGACCTGTACTGGTTGGTTGCTCTGACTGCAGTGCCTTACCGAGAAGAGTGGCCAGTGTCCGCAGGTCTTTCTCCATTAGTGAGTACATCTCCTCTTTAGAAAAGCGCCCTATCCCATGACTGTACATCTCTCGGCGGATCATATTGCTGTTCAGGTGACTCAGGAGCCATTTTAGAGTGTCGCTGAGAGGGCCTGTCATGGAGAGAAGCTTCTGAGTCTCCTCCAGGTTATCTACCCACTGACAGTACGCAATTGTCCTGAAGGGGAATACAAATATCCAAGACATTAGAGGCTGAACATCCTGGATCATCACTTTCTCAAAGACTGTAGAACTTTTACAACTGGGTGGTTTCTTGTGCTTAAGGTTGGGTGAAAATGATGCCAGGAAATTAGATGTCAATGGTTGAATGAAAAACATGGTATGGAACTGGAACAGTTGGTTTCAGCACTCGCTTCTATTGGTTTGTTGTGTTTCGTGGATCTATGTATTTCACCTACAGCTGACTGTAGAGTGTATAGAGTGTGAAAAGCAGGTTTGCCAAGTTGGAAAAAGCTTACAATTTTTATTATTGTTCAAATGTGAAAAAGAAGTCAACATGACTTATATAATCGAGATGACTCTGCAGCACGGTGGTGCAGTGGTGAGCACTTGCTCACAGCAATTTCACTGAGTGGAATGAGAGGACAAATGTCCACAACAATTGTAAGGCACCTGTCACAGACTCTGGCCTGTGAAAGGTGCTATTTACATAAAGATGACTTACTTACTACATACATATTCATATTTAAAAAATATATCTAAAATTATTATTTTCATTTCACTTTCAGTGACAGTTTTTCACATTTCTTTCCCGCTAATCTTTTCTTTCTCCAGTAATTTAAAAGTCATATTCATGAGAGCACCACAGTAACTGAATGTATTAACCTTTTGTATGCGCTTCAGCAGTCCCTAATCACATTTCAAAAGGAGGAGAGTGACATCATGGTTAAGTCAGACCTGTGTCTTCCACCCGCCACTGGCACCGTGGAGATCAATAATGATTGGATTACAGCGTATGGCGCTCACTGGAGTCGGGCGTTTGCCACATTCTACAGTAACATGGTTTCAGGCGCTTGATCAGGATGTTGCTGAAGATTTTCTTAATTATAATGTGACACCCTGGTGGTAAACTCCCCAGGAGAGGGATGGTGTTATAAAACAGACATTATATAGCCAAAACTATTATTTATATTCAAACAGGTGTAATTCCATCAGAAAGTCCAAAATAAATAAAAAATAAAACATTGATATTGATATTCTGTAGTATTAGTCACAAAAGTTGTTGGAATAAGACTGTTTTTCTGATGTCTGTCATTTCTCAAGAGTTTAATAATGAGGAGATAAGTAATAGATTGAATACATACATCAATTATACATTGAAACATAAATATATAAACGTTGTAGTATGCAACTGAAATAAATAGAGATACGCCTAATCTTTCCAATAATGTGTTTTTTTTTATCTTGGCAGTCACTCAAAGTCAGATGAGTAAGTGACTGTTAGAACTGTTCTATCTAAAACGCTGAGTTTATGTTTGATGATGCAGATAATAAACTATTGTGAGAACATAAATAATTCAATAACTTGGTCTGAAAGAGCGTCTGAGCATCACACAGAATACTTGTAAAGGTGACAGAGAGAGAGGAAAGGGAGGAGGAGGTCTCTGGTTACGTTATCAACTTCATTTGTTCTTTGAGTCAAGAAATCATAAATCAGCGGCTTGAAATGGGTCAGTAAAGAGTGTTGACTTATTAATTGAATTGGTAATGTGTTGGCCGCGTCGGTTCTGAGAGGCAGCGGAAGATGGATGGTGCTTTTAGATAATGGAAAGTCTCTATGTTCGCTGAGAGGGGGACGTGGTCAGAGGTTTCCAAGCAGCAGTCGTCTGATTTCACCGACAAGAATAAATGCCTAGCAATACATTTTCCCCAATAGGTTACAATCATGTTGAAGAGTTTTATTTCAGTTGGAGGATGGCAAAACAATGAACGTTGAAAAATAAAATGTCCAAATGATTTTCCAGACCATTATTTGATCATATTAGATTCTAAAACCTGCCATATTATTCTTTCTACTGGCCAAGGTCAGGCAGTTCTTTGAGTATTGTCAAAGAACTTGTAAAGAAATCTTCATGAATGCTCCAGGTCACAACAGATTTTTCATGTGGACTGGCCCAGGAATTACAGAGAAAAAACCAGAAGTCTCCTGCTCCTTCACCACAATTTAAAATGTGAAATCATAGGGATTTGGAATGCTGTGATGTTACATGAAGACAATCTCTATGGAATCACGTAAAAGATGATGTCCGCTTTGTACAGCATTTACTGTATTGGGTGAATGATGTTAGAGAACAGCAGATTGTGAACCATGTCTTACCAATAAAGGTGCTCCTCGACCATTTTGGTGACAGCTCTGGACACAGCCTTCTCCTCCGCTGTGAGGTTCTTGTTGAGGTTGATACCAAATTTTTCCTCTAAAAAATCTATGATGAATTCAGACCCTGAGACCTGCTCATGGTTGTACTCTATCCAAGGCATCTTTCCCTGCGGTGACAGCTTCCCATCAAAATAGTTCTGTAAGAGAAGTTCCGTTTGACTGTTACACATTGTGCAAAGTTCTACTAAGCAGGTATAGATTATCATTTAGAGCTGGCTGCTCCTGTTTACCAGAATGACAAGAACACTATTGAGATATTTAACACTCCACTGTGGTATTACAAACCTGATATGGCAGATCCACCATCCGCAGATATGTCTCTATTTTTAGGCAGAAAGGTGAGAGGCTGGGAACGCCATTCTTTGGCCTGGAGAACTGATGGAGTATGATGGCATCTTTAGAGTCCAGCTCTTGCTCTTTCCTACAAGAGTTAAACATAGGGTTTTTTGTCGTTTTTTTATGTCAGGAAAGAAATTGTGAAAATAATAATACAAGTATTCTTTCCGAGCGTTAAACAGTAAAATATCAAGTTCTGAATGTATTATGTTTACATGGTCTATAGTTTCCCTTTTCCATCACAGGGTCACATCAAGCAGACAGACTTTCCCAGAGGCAGAGCTAATTCAATAAGAAATACTGTATTATAGCATGTATGCTTGTCTTGAAAAGTGTACATTCATAAGTCAATGACAATAATCATTATGTCATCACTACGCAAGAGAGACAAAACAGTTATTTTATTCTGTTACTGATCTAGCTTTATTGTTAACCAATAAGGCAAGATCATTTTTGTACAAATGAGCTGTATGCACCCAGTCACATTTGCTAATCCCCCGATCCCTCATTAGTGACCTCCCATCTTTAGCTCTGAATAATTTAGTGCAACATACTGATGCTGTATATTTATACTCAACACCTTCATAGAGAAGTGGTTCCCAAAGAGAAGGTTGGGAGATGCTTTCCGGAATCTTTTCTAAAATGGCTGCATAAAATCTTTACAATTAACAAACAAAGTATTTTGAGTACAAGCTTTCAAGCTTCAAATTGTAACTACTGTAAATGTCACTTTCTTCAGTGCGGGCTGCAATCAGTTCCATTCTTATTTTGGCGTGCGGGCCTGAAAAGTTTGGGAATACCTGTCATAGACTGCGGCATCAGAAGCTAAGAACTTATTTACTGTGTGGAATAAGCAGAATCAAGGAACAACCACATGCTGAATCAAATATTTGGTCGCTGTCCACTAACATGTGGTGCTGAATAATGTACACACTCACGTCAATAAATAGGCTCGACTTTTAGGACATATTTAATTTAATTGAGTAATTTCAATCACTATTTTTAGATTACTCTAATACAAATAAACAAAATTAAACATTTTTGGTTTATTTTTTATATCAATAATCCACAGTTTATGCATTTTTTATGAGTAAGGTATACACACTCTAAAAACTAACAATGATTAGTGTATCTAATTCAAATAGATAGAGTATATTTTTTCATTTACTTATTTAAACCAATTTTTAAAAAATCTATTAAATTGTAAAAATTAGAACTATCACACCATCTTTGTTGGTCACTATGGTAACATTTGGGCTGAATTCACTTCAAAGACGTTATTCAAACTTCTTTTATAAGAATGATCTATGTATTATACAAGAATAAGCTTTATTAATACACAAATGAAAATATATCAACATTTGTTTGTTTGTGTTAAAATTATGGAAGAGTGAATGAATCTATGCATCAATTAAATTAAATACAGCTTAAAAGTTGTGCCTAAATATTACAATAGTGATATTAGTGTTCCATCAAATTCTATACTCTCATGACTAACTTGCCTTTTATACAAAGCAAATGGGTGAGCGCAATACCTGATATGAGACATTTCATATATGTGACGAATCTATGACTGTTGTCAGTGATGCTGTCGCTGTCCATGGTACTGAATATTTACGAGCACTGAATATAATCAGTCCTCTTGGTTTCTGGGTCCACCACGCACATTGGAACTAAAGTCTCCCTTGAACGCATGCCACTAAAAACGTTTCAGACACATGGATCTGACACAGACACACTCAGGGCCTGAATGCGGTCCAGTGTGAACTCTGCCAACATCACATGGCTTCCACAGATGATGCCAGCAGGCTGCACGTGATTCAGCAACAGCAGTGCTCTCGAAATATAAGGTTACGCACACAGATTATCAGGAAGAGAGGGAGGGGGGGTGTAGTAGCCACTGATACAGGATGTATTTACTACAGCAGTTAGGACAAGACACAGACAAGGTTATCCTATCAGATCAAATCCAGAAGCTTCACCTTCCGGAAGCTTCTGTTTTTATTAATGGGCCAAATAACTTTGTGAGTGTAAAATATTTGTGAAACCCTACATCACAGGCATATGGTACATTACCAGCCCGGAACAGTTGATCTTTGGGATCAAATTTAGTTTTCTCTCTTTATTGGACAATTGCACACATTTTACAATTAACGCCTTTGTATTACACTAGTCCAAAAGACCTAACCATCACGCAATACAAGAAACAATGAATATTAAAATTAGAAACCAGTGTATGTTGAACACTATAGACAGCATAAAGGCATATAAAACACAATTACACATATGTTCACCCTTTGAATTAAAACAAGGTTCAATACTTGAACACAGTTATTTTTAGAAATTAACAAAACCATTGTTATTTTGTTTGGAAATGTGCACGTGAGTCATGGACGTGATGTATGTGTGTTCAATATGAGGTCCATTGAGCAGCGGCGCGTTACGCACAGCTCAGGTGACGCGCCATCTGCACGCGAGCGGCAAACGAGAGTACGCGTGACTCCCGTTTTATTTATTTATTTCTTCCGCACCCAAAGTCGTGTCCTTGCAAGGAAGTAGATAGATGCTTAAACGAGAGTCTTAAAATTGAGATTTATGAGAATACTGATGAGGGGGCGTTTAACAATGACTGTAAATAGCGCGTATTACCCATAGACTGTATGTATTACCTGATGGCCAAAAGCTCATGCAGGAGGTATGCAGCGGCCGCCAGCAGAGCCCCCCCGGTGATGTACAGGGTCTTCTTCCACCAGGACTCGGAGCACAGCGCGGACATGATCCCCCCGTAGTCCTGTAAGGGAAGGGCGATAATGTATCCATACAGAGAGGGGTGCTGCTCGGAGCTGCACAGCCCGAGAGGCAGACTGTGGTTCCTGCCCAGATCCACCATACACGGCCGGCTGGAGGCGAACCCTGCGGCCCAAAACATGCTGCGCCAGTCAGTCACAGCTGCCCCGCGTCCTCCCCGCCACCTCCGCAGTCCCAGGCCGGCCTCATGACTACGGCATGACGGCCAGAGGAGAAGCGAGTTCGCCCCGAGACACTGGAAACATCTCCGTGAAGAAGCTTTCTCTGACAGTGACTTCAATAAGTCAACACAAGGAGCAGAATACTACATCCGGAACATCAGACCATTTCAAAATAATAGACAAAAGAGTACTATGAAAACCAGTGTTTGTGAGAAAACACACGAGAGTTTATTAATAATGTATTTAAATAATGACGTGCATAATAATATCTTTTCCAAACAATATCTATAGCCCGGGTTTGTAAGTGTTTTATATATACCGCACATGCACCAAACCAACATATCCGGATTACCTTGACTGAACTTTGGGTACTTGATGTTGCCATTGTCCATTTCAATTACCCCGCCCCAGACCAAAGACGAGCCCTTCAAACTGCTGAATGGCTTCTTGTGTAGTTATTGGTTACGAGGAGTAAAATATGACATTATATGAGAATATTAAGACTAAAAAAAAATAAAAGAGTACAAAATATATGGCTTTGTTGGATGCGTTTCGTCACACTATAACGACTACGCAACAGGTCAGACACACAACGCAGAGTCAAAAGGAATAAATGTCCAAATTATTATAAGGAGATGACCTTGGAAGCCAGGGCACTTTACTCCCCTCTTGTTGACACTGCTGCAACTATGTCACTTCGTACAGTCGCACACCTAAAAACGTTTAATGCTAACTTTAATCAGTGTTTCCTCCTGGTTGTCGCAATAGACAGGACAGAAGCAGGATCCCTTGATGACCTGGAGGAAGTGTCTGGAAACTGAAACCTGGGTTGCAGCGACCGGACTCCAAATAAAGAAAGGAAATAGATGGATGATTATAACAGCTCTATATGTTTAATTGTTACATAATGGGTCCACTATCAGGCAAAACGCTCCTTCATATTTTACACTCACACGAAATCAGTAATTTATGTTATTTTTCTTTTTATTTCACGTACCATTAAAGGAGCAGTATGTAAAAATCTGACCAAAAGTGGCACTGCACTCTCCCTGACTCAGGTTGCCAGATATGCAGACGAATCCAGCTGGGACCATAATATCTCAATAAAGAGTTTTGTCAACAACAAATCTACAACCAACACCTTTTTCAGAAAGGCCCCGATAGAAATTCTTGTTTTGTCATTAATGATTTGAGAATCATAACACGACGCCAAATGTAACTTTACCAGTGAGATTAGCTCGACACTGTGAGTTCAGGCAAACCGGATCACTGAGTTTATGATTGGTAAAATGACAAGAATTAGGGGCTGTAAAACTAATTTTGAAATCCAAATATCTCTGAATACTGTTATCAGTTAAAGAAGTATGCAAAACGTGCATGGTTCATTAATGCCTTTTGACAGATTAGAGCCATTTAATGATACTCGACATGAAAATCTTACATTTTGCTTCTTTAATTCATGTGAAAGTCCTTTTTTACACTTTGCCAATGCACCAGGTTAAAATCTCGATGTTGTAATATCTCAAAAATGTTGCCGCTGTCCTCAGATAACCTCAGTCTATGCACACAGTAATTGGTTTTGGTTTTGTTCAGCTCAGTGCTGTCCCGTCCTGTGGGGGCAGAGGGTCTTCGTCAGTCTGGTGCCGGGGAAGATGATCTCCCAGTTTGACAGCGTGAAGGCCGTAGTTGATGGCTGTACTGTCGGTCCAGCTCCAGGCTCCTGTGATTGGATTGTAAAGCATTCCTTTGACAGACTGCACGGAGAAGCCGTCTGAGGAGAGAAAAGTTTATTCTTACAGACATGGACACGGTTGTCGACTTTAAAGAGTGCACAGTGGAGCGTTATTGACTCACTGGACTCTAGAAGGCGCTCCAGCTCCTCCGGGCAGATGAACTTCTCCCACTCGTGAGTCCCTTGAGGCACAATCCGAAGCACATTTTCCGCCACCACAATCCCCAGTAACCAGGACAGGTTGGTTTTGTTCAGTGTGGTGATGAAGAGTGAACCCCCAGGCTGCAAATATAGACATAATTAAAATGTAAATATAAAGTCAAATATAAAGATGGGCTATCCAGCTTTCAAACCATGTAGTACAATCCACTGCAGGTCCTCAATCTCAAAACATTTTGTTCTATCACTAGTTACCGCTACATCTTTTGAACCGCTGCAGGTTTTTTTCCTCAAACAGAAAAGTGAGAAAGAGGATCACCCACCCTCGCGAGGCTCTTTCTTACTCGTACGGATTAGATAGATTCATAATACCCATGAAGACCACATTTTTGTCCCCAAAATGATACAACAAATCAGAAATATGGTTTTTGGATTCTGTTATTACACACCAGCCAACACTTTGATTATCCTACATGCTAAGATAAATAAACCACCAACTATTAAAATAAACGTCACCCTATTTAGACCTGGTTGTTAAGATGTAATCCATTGGGCTGAGACTTGCATGGTCTTGACACAATTCCTCTGTTCAACTCCTCTGCCCCACTGACCTAGGAGATTATGATCATCAGGCTTCATCAGTGACCCATTGGAGGCTCTCACATCATGGAGGTTTTGATCCCAGTGAAATATCATTAAATTAAGCAACAAAAGAAACTATAGATCTCTCCCTATTACTTTGCATTGTCGGGTCTCCTCTTGAACATGTTTCCTAAAGCCTTAGGAGTTGGATAGCTGCAGGTAGATGCTGATAGAAACGGCATCATGGAAAGTAGGGCTGCACGATATATCAAAAAAATATCGATATCGCGATATTGGTGCCGTGCAATATCCATATCGAAAATATGCGTGATAAAAAAATATATATACAGTATATATATTTTTTCCTTTATTAAAGCTGCACTAACTGATTTTGAGACATTTTCAAAGCGATGGCTTCGCTCTCTCTGCTCGCCCTCCCCGCACCCACGGAGCTTTCGCCCCCCACTACCCCCCTCAGCCTGTGTTCTGTGCTGTTAGCTTCAGAGCTAGCGTCTCACAATATGGAACAATATGGCACTTTTGCACGTGGATGGCGTGTCTATAGAATGACAGAACCGGGAAGCGCGGAGAGGACGAGACTTTCTTTTGGATGGCTGTTTCGCTGTGTAAGCAGTAACAAAGACACAGGAAGTTTCAGGTTAGCCTCTGCCGCTTGTTGTGCTAACTCAGCTGTTGGTGCTAACCAGAGACCTGTGTCTTTTCTCAATAAAGCGGGGGCCAGAGGTCCGTTGTGATTGGTCACAATCTGAGACCCGAAAACACTTTTTCTTCCTTGTTTCACCAAAACTCGATCTAAAATATAATGTCAGCCAGCACAAACCTGCGCTACCTATTCTTCAAAAAGACGTATATTCCAATGCACTGCATGGATATGGATTGCATTTTCGTAATGAATACGAAAATAAAGTCAGTTAGTGCGGCTTTAAAGTCAACAAAACAGACAGACACATCAACATTCAACAAAAACAACAAACAAACAAAAAGTATATAAATATATGCATTTGAATGTCATTGATGTTTTTGTTTTTTGTCTTCTGCGTTTCAAGGCAGATTGCAATTTTAGGTGACAGAAAAAAATAGTATCGCAATAATATTGTTATCGCAATACTAAACACTCATATCAAATATTGCACTAATTTTCAATATTGTACAGCCCTAATGGAAAGTACCTTAATCACGTCGCTGCAGCAGTAAACAAATGTTTCCAGGTCGGCCAGATGTTCAACCACCTCCGATGCAACTACGGCGTCAAACCTGCCCTGAGCCTCGGGATCGGCCTCTGCTCCCTCAGAGGTGAGCTCCTCCAGGGTGCAGGCCCGGTAGCGGACGCTGTGGCGGAGGTCTGGGTCGAAGGATGAGTGGAGTTGGGCAGTGCCGATGCTGTCTTCCACCGGATCGATACCAAGGACAGAAGCACCCAGGCGACCAAGGGGCTGGGAAACAAAATCACTGTCAAAAAACTTAGGTTCAATGGAAAATTATTATCTGAAAAAGAAAGTGTATATGATGATAATAGCAATATATGAAAGGAAGAAAAAGTGAAACTAAAAGACATTCCACAAAAAGATAACTTGAAATGTCTCACTGTATCCATACAACAATTGAATTAAAGCTGGGGGTATCTAACTTTCCTGTAACTACTCGCTCAAAACTGATTATAATACAATCCTTGTTCTATCACAGGTTTTCACATACATGTATTTTTTGCCTGAGTCACACCTTCAGATCAAGGTTTTCAGACATAAAATTGAAAAGGAGAGGACCACTTATAAGTACTGGCATGTATAAGATAACAGCCTATTGTGAAATGTTGTGAACAAATTAAACTACTTTTAGAAGAATCTTTCTATGTCTACCCCAGCCATCTATACACGCATACAAAATGATTCCTCTTCAAAAACAGTGCAAAAAAGTTAATTACTGTAAATTAATGCCTTTCAGCAGCTAACATTTCATTTTGGCGCCACCGTGTGGACATGCACAGGACACGCACTCGGTGCTTGTTCACCAAAGGGCCATTGCTCTTTTACAGTTGATCTCCTGTGAAGGCAAGTGTCTTGGTGACGAGACACGCAGAGGCACTTTCACCCTGGGAACGATGGCTGACTTTATTTTGGGTGTCTGTTTAGAGAATGACAACCTGTGTTCTAGGGCATCAAACCATACAGGACTTGATTTTGTCTCCCCACATAACAAAACAAAGCTGGTCAGGCCTCACTTTAAATGAGACCGAAGACAGGAGCTATGTGCGTTCAGTCGCTCCTTTTAGACACTAACAAACAGATAAACAACTATAAATGACCAACTGTCTGTTCCACCACACAATGACCAGTCAAATCTGCAAGCGACATGGAGTGGAGTGACGTCCAAGCGTGCTTCTATACACTGGTATGCACAACAGAAACCACCGAGGAGACAAGCCATCACATCTGCTCTGAGGTCACTGGAACTCAATTGTTCAAAAACATGTTAGACCTACGTGTAGAGGCCTTTTTCAATTACCTCTGTTAGCAGGCCACCGCCACACCCGACATCCAATATTTTGAGACCGGCAAGGGGTTTTCCAGTTTGACGTCCTTCGTGAACATTCAGCAAATTGTCTCTTAGAAGATAAAAAAGGGTGTTTACTTTAAATTGACCATTTATCGTGAAATAAAGCACTGCGGAAATACAATGAAATGCAACGAGTGGGCCAGATATAGAGGATAATACAATGTAAGTTAACAAAATTGCATAAGAGAATGGAGAAAGGTGATAACGGGACAACATGGAAACTCAATAATAGATTGATGTTAACACTTTTAAAAGCCTTTTTCCAGAATCTGCTTTAATTGTCTAATCTTGTCCCCTTCCTTTGCCCATTTTGCTTAGAGTCTCCATATGAGTGTTTGTGACTCTATAGTTACTCAATAGCAGAGACAGGGTTATTTTCATACAACTCATCAACTGTGCCAAAATACAACAAAAAAAAAATGTTAATGTACTAAATTAAATTACATTACAGTAAGGTTTGATATAAAATGTTGTTTGACATCTCAGTATTATAATGACAAGATAGAAAACAGCAAAACAGCAGTGTTCAACTAATATTTTTTAGTAAAAGCCTGAGGGCACAAAAGCATCAAGTAACATAGCGACACAGACACTGGCGGCCTTTCGGATCTGTGGAGCTGTCACCATCAAGATATGTCAAGATTACAGGCACCAACCGCAAAGGGGGAAGGGCAGAGACAATAGATATTTGGTTGTATAAGTAAGTAAGTGTGTAAGTAAGTAAGTAATGTTTATTTATATACCGCCTTTCACAGACAAGGGTCACAAAGCGGTTTACAATTGTTATTTTTTTTTTTTTTTTGGGCACTTGTCTCTCACTCCACACAGAGATGGGAGCAGGGTCGCCGAACAGGAGGCGCATGCCAGACCTATTGTACATATTTTTAGTGGTAGGGGAAACCGGAGTACCCGGAGGAAACCTACGCAGACACGGGGAGAACATGCAAACTCCACTCAGAAAGGCCCTGGTCCGACCGGGATTTGAACCCAGGACCTTCTTGCTGAGAGGCGAGAGTGCTATCCACTCAGCCACCGTGCCGCCCAGTCAGTAACACTGATTTGATAAAAATATAAAAAGAAGGTACAACCAATGTTTATGTCCAGTATCAGACTAAATTGACTGACTGTACTGACATGTCAAGTGACCTGCCAACTTTTAATGTATTAAGGAGGTTTCCCTGTTCATCAGTCTGCACACCGTATAAAGGGCACCCGCAGGTCATTCATGGCATGTAAAGCTGCAAACTCTCCCTCCTCATCCCACCATTTACTGGCCAGAGACCGGAACCTCTTCACCTCATTCGGGTCCACCGTTGACTGCGACACAGAAGCAACACTGAGGGGAAGAAACACAATGTTAAGCTGCTACTGTCAAACTCCTTGCCCCAACTATTGATGGTCCTAACCCACAATATTCAACACACTGCTTAAAACTCTCCCACATCGTGACAAGTAAACAGGATATCAAAACAAAAACAAAACTGTGATAAAAGCAGTCATAAAACACACTGAAGACCAGTTTGGTATACACTTACCTGGAGGAATTAAAGCAAGGTAAATTGTGAGGAGTGTCATGTCAATGTTCTTCAATCAGGAGTACCTAACTTTTTTTTTACCCTTATACATTTGAACAGCTGAGGTCACATTTGTGCCCAATTCAGACCACCGTCAACATCTAATTAGAAACAATTAGATCTATAGTTGTGATAGCGATAACATTCTTAAACGTGGAAAGTGATGGAAAAAAGCCGTTTTGATTCCATATTTGATTGGTTAATATTTGTATTGGTTGAAAATGTAGTCTTTAGAGCCAGTTGCATGGTCATTTTCCCAACACGATCATGGTGTCCTCTAGTGGGCTATAATATGCTTGTGCCACTTTTACAGTAGAAATACGTGACGCTGGACAATGGAGACTGATACATTTCACATATACAGTTTAAAGTCTGCGGCTCACCTGGTTAGAAAGGGTAAAGCATGTCGATTTTTCTCCGTAAGAGCGCCTCTCCGCAGCCACAGTGACCGACGCTCACGTACTGATGCCCAGCTGAGCTCTGACAGAGGGCCCCCACGGACACGGGTGGATTTTAAACATACTCCCAACACTAAACGACTGAGTTTATTAGAGAACATAGTCTTAAAATTGCCGATGTCATTCAAAGGACACGCGTTCCCCTCATACCAGCGGGATTGTGGGGTGAAATGTTTGGTGCGCTATTTTATTAAGTCCGGCTAGAAATGTAACCGCTTCAACAGTTCCTACACAAAGTGAATGCCGTAAATGCAACTCTCTAATAAAATTTCACAGTAAAATCTCATTAGCCATATCCAAAGTCTGTATATTCTTCAGACCAAATTCACATAATGAAAATGCACTTATTATAGATCCGGTGAGAAAGTATTGAGACCTTTGAATATATAAAACTAATCCGGATGAAATACTTCTATACAGTAATTGTGTATCCACAGGGATGTCCCTTCATACTTAGGCTAAATAATGGGGAGGGATTGGGCATTTAAAAATAAAAAACACAAACCAATGGACAAACAGTTTATTGGACAATTTACAATAACATCTTGAGTTTCCCGTTATGACTTAAAATTACACAGTAGTGACTTCCTTGGGGTTTTGTCCTAGTCCTTGCATAATGACATTTGATAATCCTACCATTCAAAATTATTTTTTTAGTCACTCTTAAAAAATACTATATTTACAACAAAGAAATGTTTGAGAGGGGTTCACCTACAACTTTGCCTCCATAATGAGACAAGGCTACTCAACTCATAGAATTAAAGCAGCGAAGTGCACCAATCCACGCGTATCTGTGCTTCTCAGCGCCTGCTACGACGAACAGGGGATATTGACCTGAAAAACATACAAACAAGACATTAAATATACATTAATATTTGAACTCTAACAGCATACTCCTCCTGAAAAATAAATCCTGTGGAGATTAGAATTAGAAAATTTTAGTAGGTTTTAGATAGGCTGAAATGACGGATTGAGTTAATCAAGTTAAATCTAACATTTAATCAACAAAAGCAAGCCAATTTCCAGAATTTCTTTAAATCATGTGACTCTACATGCAGCTCTGAAACTGATTTTTTAATATATGAAAAAACATTCACAAAAATACTAAAACTATACTTTTTCTAAAACCTGTATACACTTTGCATTTGAGGTTTAGTGGGAAAAAGCTTCAATTAAATCAAGTAATCAATAGAATATTCTACTAAATCCTTTTAAAGAATAACTGGAGTTAACAAGTTTAACACTAAATAGGCATTACGATGGGTCAAACTTCAGATGTAAATAAACAATACCAGCATCTGTGTATAAAGATCAACAGGCATTTACACTAGTACCATTAATTAGCATGTCATGTCAAATTTGTGATTTGCTCAAACATGCCAGTTAGTGACAGACACATTACAGGACAGTAAAAACAAACAGTATACTATAAAGAAATAAAAACGAATACTACCTTGAGTGAGACTTAGACTTGTGTTTGCGGCTTGCCTTCTTACCAGACTTGTGAGATTTTTCCGTAGACCTTGAACGACTACGTTTTGATTTCTTAGATTTCTTTTCTTTGCTAACCACAGGAGAAGGGGACCTACTAGAGTCTGAATCAGAGCGCCTTCTGCTAGATTTAATGGAGCCCTTTTTGCTGCTTTTACTGTCCTGCTTAGAGCGCCGATCACTGTGAGAGTCTGTGGAGGAGTCAGAGTCTTTCTTTTTCTTGGACTTGCCATTTTCTTCTGAACCTACAGAGCTGTACTTGTCCTTCTCTCTCTCCTTTTCTTTACCCTTAGTTTTATCCCTTTTTCTATCTGACTCCTTTTCTCTGTCTTTGTCTTTTTTCTTCTTGTCTTTCTCATGACTATGGCTTCTCTCTCTTCTCCTCTCCCTCTCTTTGCTGGAGGCCTTCTTGTGTTTGCTGCTCCGGCTGTGGCTGCGGTCCCTATGCTCCCTGCTCCGTTTCCTGTCCTTGTCTCTATCCTTGTCCTTGTCTCGACTGCGCTCCCTGCTTCTGTGTCGGGCCCTGTCTCTGGACCTGGATCTGCTCCTACGACTTCTCCTGTCTCTAGAATTACTGCGGTCTCGTTTATCCCGGGACCGTTCTACGCTTGACCTCTTTCGGTCTCTGCCTTTGTTGTTGCGCTCACTGCGGTGTCTGTGGGAGCTGTGGCTGCGACTGCGTCTATGTGACTTATGCGAAGGGGACCGGCTGCGCCGCCTCTTTCGACGAGGAGAGGAAGACCTTGACGAACTACGGGAAGATGCCGACGAAGATGATGAGGATGAAGAGGAGCGGCTGCTGCTCGAGGAGGAGCGGGAGGAGCTGCTGCGCCCATTCGCTGGAGACTCACTGCGGCCACGACCTGAACTTTCCTTCCCTCGACTCAAAGGTTTACTCTCACTACCCTCCTTCTCACTACGGGACCTACGCCTCTCAGATACAGCCTCTGCCTCACTTTGTTTTGCTGAGTGTGCATAAGCATCCTCTAATTCAGCTTCCTCATAATCGAGTTTTTGTTTTCTCTCGGTGTCCTCTGTGAAAAAAAAACACATTTATATTACAGCCACAAAAAGCAAAATTATGCAAGTCGTAGACTGTTGAACACCTCGTGCTTGTCGGGCTTCTTGCGCTTGTTTTTCGAACTGTAGCTCCCGCTCTTTTCGATGGAAGGCCTCCTGTTTCTCACGGATGCGGTGACGCAACTCCTCCTCGTCAGTGTCAGACGACTCAGACCCATGGACACTGTGCTCCTCGTCCTCACTTTCGTCAGAGCCATAGTCACCAAGCCCACCTGCACAGCAGATCCCCCAAGTTGTTCAGTTTAAGAAAGCAGTGTTTCTTTAAATACCGGCATATTGTTATGCCTGTAAACAAACCAGACTGACAACAATTACAAATGGCAGCGGTTTCAAAGCATGCTTAGAATAAAAATAGGTTGAATGTATAGTCTAAAAAGCTTGATGCATTGATCCTGTGACGCTCCATTCCCCATTTTATCCATAGTGCCCATAAGCCTTCCTGATATACCATCCCCCTCCCCCCACAGCAAAAGAAAATGGGATACTCACTGAGACCAGTCAGAGAAGCCAGTGCACTTGACTGTGCCAGCTGTTTTGCAGGAGCTTTGATTCACATCAACAACAGGAACAACATGTTAAAAACATACAGCCATTTCTCAAGAGATGCTAGAGAAAGGGTCATAAAACACTAGCTGTGGTGTCATCAATAAGAAATAAAAATAAATAGAAGAAAGATGGAAAAAAGAGAGAGCATTAATACACTTCCAAGTCAAACAGAAAATCAACAAAGGGACTACGTTAACTATGCATTAAACTGTTGCCCTGATACTAGGCCTAAGGTTCACCCACGCATCTTTGGACATTTTGCTTTTCATGTACTAAGTGATGAATTAGCTGTTACCATCAAAGAAATGTACATAAAATCAGCTCAAATAAAGCAACATGTATAATACTAATTCTTCAGATAAAATGTGTATTAAAGACAGACCTCTAGTTGCCTTCCGGTGAGTCTCTTTAGCCACTTGCACAATCTCTTCATTTGTAACTTCGAGAAGGATCTCTGTCAGAAGTGTTTTTGTGATAACCATCTACAAAGAACAGGCACAAACTTCAGCCAGTGAGGGCAGGCAGTCCTGGACAGTTAATTTAATGGCAAATACTGACCAATTGGAACTCCTTTTCCTCCTCTGTCATTTCAGGTTCACTATCTTCCGCTGCAGGTGATGGGCTGTGGCTTAAAAATTCCTTTTTTGTCGTAATTCTTTCCACTGAATTATCATCGTTACCCTCATCATCACTATCCTAAAGAGGCATTAAATCATGTTCATATTATACACCAAGTAAAGTACATGTCAACATTTGCTTAATATAAATAAAACGCACAAATTTGCTTTTTCGAGGAACACGAGGTCCACCATTCCCATCATCTGGCTCGACGTCCTCAACTTCATTATTTGCCATTTCTGCACGCTCTTTTTCAATTCTTTCATGTTCAAGTTTTTTTTGCTTTTCTCTGTCCATCTTCTCCAAGCCCTCTCGTATCCATGCAGGAAGCTTGCGCCTTTTTAAGGCATCTATAATATTAAAGTGATAACAAAAATCAATGCATTTAGTTGAGTAGCAGTTAATACTTCAATTATTTTTGCCTTACCCAGAGGTGTTACTGGCGCCTTTTGTTTTATTGGAAGCTGTATTGGTGAGCGTGGTCGTTCTCGGAACTCTGGAGGCCTAGGGTCTCGTCTGTTCTGTGGTGGGCCTGGCCAGTACGGGGGCATGCCAGAAGAAGTTGGGCCGAAGGTGGATGCTGCACCATGCTGTTGAGAGAATGCAGACCAAATTATTATTAATTAGAGCTTAACATTCCAAAGAGGGGTTCCTGTCATCCTCCTTAAAGTGCAAAGGGGGAATTGGCTGAATCCTTAACATCATCTCCTCACAGCAAAAAGCACTGCATCTGAAAAGGGTTTTCCCCCGATACATCCCACCAAACCACCAACGCAAGTTGAACCTTAATGTCAGAAACGAAGGTAGTAGCTTCTTGTTTTACTTGGTTGTCACACTAATACCAATATTCTTTTTTAACTGTAGCTTCTGCATACCTGGTAATCAAACTGGTTTATGGCCAAGGGGGCCATGGCGTAGTTGTCGGGCTGTGCCCCATACCCATGGCTGTTTTGAGAGTAAACCCTGTGGTGGGCTTCGGTGTTGAACTCTCCGCTGTCCTGACTATTGCCATCTTCACTGAGATTCACCACGTCCATCGGTCCAGACCCTGGGGGCATCCAGGAAGGGTCATGCTGCGGCGGCGGAGGAGGAGGAGGGGGCTGTCCATGCATTCCCCATTCTGTGTAAAAAATACAAACATGATTTGTACTGTGTCCAGTGTCCATAAAGGTGCCCTTTAATAAAATGTAATTTTTATATCATTATAATTTCCATTCCATTATATTTAACTGTGCGTTCATGAAAGAGAAAATGAAATTGTTAAAAAGCGGAAGAAGTTGAACACAAGCCCATATTTAGAGGTACCTGGCTGCCACATCCGTCCAAATGCTGGGTCACCCTGGAAGGCACCATGGTTGCCTGGCGCAACAGGCTCCAGGCCAGGGAGGTCCTGTCCATTGGGCTGAATATTTGGGGGCTCTGGTCCTGTTGATTCTTTCTGTGCTATCCACGCCTGCGCCAGAGCAGCCCAGTCCACTTGACCTGAGGAGTCAATGAAAAATCACCATTCAGTACTAAAGAAAATCTCCAAAATTAAGTTACCTGGATCGTGTTGGTGTTGAAACGATTGCATCCATTGCTGCTGACTCAAAGGCCACTGCGGCCAGGACTGTCCCCCCTGGTCCCACATCACACGTTCCAGTAGAAACACTCCTAAAACATTTGAGTTCGCATTATATATCAGGTAGCTCAGCATTGACCACCAACCAGTCTAACATCTTCAAACACGTAATATACACAGACTTCCAAATGGCAGACATCATTTTTTTAATGACCACTGCAGAAAAAAATGCCTAGTAAAACCAATATCGTAACTGAGGTGCCTTGAGTAAAAAGATCGGTAGAAATGCTACCTAGCTTAGCATTGCCAATCTCAGGGTAGGGCCAGTGTATACACCATATGAAGTCCATAGGTATTGTGCTGTGGTATTCACATGATGAAAGCAACTACTTACTCTATTGTTTTGGGGAACAAAATACACACCTTCACAAAATATTTTTGCAGCCCTGTTGTTGTAAAATAAGATGGCTGCATGAGCAAGCCGCTGGAGGAAGTGGTGCACGAGAGAGGAAGTGACGACACTCACTCCGCGCTGCGTTTACGGTCAACGGAATTTTTATACTTTTGCCAAGTTTAGGCTTTTTTCTGTTCGTTAGGTTACCTCACTGCCACATTGTCATTCCTTTATAGTCATTATCACTCTTAAGCCATTACAGTATTTTATTTATGATATAGCTTCTTTAGTGTGTTGTTAGAAGAAGAGTGTTCTTAGAAGATAGAGGTTGCTGGAATCATGGAACGCTGTACGACTGTATTAGAAAGTGTCAAAAGCATTAATACATACAGTCTATGGCATTACCCAACGCTTTTATGGTGAAGGATCAAGCAAGTTTTAAGAAAGGACCGAGGCACTCATGGGATTGGATAATAAAAGTCATGGCTTGTTACATTTAACAAATGCAAACACTGTTCACTTCTCTTCAGGCCATAGGTATTACAAAGTAATATGATAGCTACTCAACTAAACCATGATTTGAAATAGTAATATATAGTATGGTTGAAAGCTGCTGCTCAGGCTACTGGTTAATAGATCTATGGTTCATTCTATGCATACCAGCGCTGGTGTTAAATTAGCTATAATAACTGTATTATGACATTGGAACCATAGAAAGCTAAAAGAAAGGCTCATTCTTCTTTGCGATTGGACACTTGAGCGTTTACATGCCCATGACCACAGTAACCATCATGGTCATTGTTTTTGAAAATCAAAACCCAGTACAGACATTTCCTCTAAATCTATAATAAAATAATAAGCAACACACCCTTAAGTCAAACAGCTAGTTTACTCTACAAGAAATTAATTCAACATTAATTCAATATTTTTTTAATGATGTGATCTTTTGTAGGTGGCTGCTTGACAACTTGTTTTAAAATGTCAGCAACATGGCTTGGATGTCATTATGTGTGAGAGCACAACGACGGGTGAAATAATTTTTTTAGACATTGCCCTTTCCCTTGCTCCACACCCACCTCCTCTTTACCAGCCTGCGACATGTACTCAGCACTAGGGCAATACATCCATCAGTCTGCATTACAAGTACACAAATATGAAATAGAAGCAGATCAGGCCAATGGATCAAACAGTGAGGATGATAATACATGAAAGCTAAAGATGGCAAAAAAAAAAAGCAAAGATATATTATAATTCTCACGCTAAGATTTATTTGTTTTTCATACAATATTTCTGACATCTTGCATAATATTTTCTAAAAGAACAATTATGACAAGTCCTGCATAATGTACACACATTAGTGCTTTTATATACAGTACATTTAGTACTGTACCCTTGATTTATATTCTGCAAAATTATTTTGTCTTTAGCTGTGCACAAGTTACCTAATTCCCTTAATGTTTGGCAAATTACAAAAAACAAAATACTGAAAAGGGCAATACATTCAAACACCCCATGCACATAATGACCAACATATTAGAGATGGTCTTTCTTATACTTTGTCAAATGAACAACAGTAAATACGATGAAGGCAAATATGGTGATATAAGCATTTTGTTGAGTTACAATGTAACATTGACCGCAAATACATAATAGTTAGGTAAGGTCTTTGGCAATGACGTTATCATAACATTTGTGCTACTCTGAATATGCTCTGTACAACTTAGAGAAAAAAAACACAATAAATGAGTTGATTTGGTTGTTAATGAGGAATCCTGAAACACCCAGCATCTTATTCTACAATCTTGTGTCTCTCATTCATTCTTCTTATTACACACAAAAGACATCAATTAGCTAGCACTGAGCGCAGTAGTGAGGCAACGCTTGATTCATAGTAAATTTCATACAATTTAGGCTTATAGGAAGCACAATTTTAAACCCACTTTTTATCTTTTTAAGTAGTAGTTAAAATGCAGATACAATTCATTTTTGTACAGACTACTCAAAACGATTAATGTCCCAGTGGTCTGTTCCCTTTTGAGATACCATATTATTATAAACCTACATCAAAGAAAAATGTTCCCAAGAAATTAAAACAGTTCCTCATAAAAAAGCAGGTAGGCCTGAGAGTTGAGCACCCGAGACTCTGGGACAGTCTGAACCGTGGTGTCGCTGACGTAAACCCACTGACTGCTGCTGGACTCCTTCAGACCTGAAACCACAGGAAACACTCTCAGCTCAGAATCAGAATTATTTTTATGGCCATTGTAAGTAACCGGAAGTCACAAAGTAGTGCTTTGGCTCAAATTGCATAGTGCAAGTTACAAGGATGGAGGCCGAGCGCATCACAAGGCCCAGTGTCTCTCAATAGCCGCTTTGTGCAGTCTCACATATATGCACAAAAACAGTATTTATCTGTGTTGTAAATATTCTCCTATACTACTGCACTACTGCTTAGATGCTAAACTGCATTTCGTTGCATTGTTGACTTTGTATAGACATTCAAGTTGAATCTAATCTAATCTATAAAAGTAAAAACAATAGAAATAAGGTCATAAATCTATAGTGTCTCTTTAGTTTATGATTTATGCTATAAAGAACAGTTTAAACAAAAAGACAAATAGCTTTAGCTGAATGTTGTGAATAAGACCATCATATCATTGTATACTACATATTGTTGTCCCTAGTAAATAAGTTTTTGAAACTATGGTGTGTTCGATATTATGTTTTACTTTCCTCATTAAAAAATGTTAAATGTATATATGATCTTTGAAAACATGTAACCTGAGATCTAATGTACATATTGGCCAAAGAAAAAAAAACTGCTACTACTATGAAAAACAATTGCCATAATATCAACAACGTTATTGAACATCAAGTATCAAAATAGATTGTGATATGTGTGATATGTACAGTATATAACTCTACTACATATACACTACCGTTCAAAAGTTTGGGGTCACCCAAGTGTTTTCCATGAAAAGTCATACTTATTCACCACCATACTTTGTGAAATGAATAGAAAATAGAGTCAAGACATTGACAAGGTTAGAAATAATGATTTGTATTTGAAATAAGATTTGTTTTACATCCATCTTTGCTTTCGTCAAAGAATCCTCCATTTGCAGCAATTACAACATTGCACCAAAAACCAGACATTTGCAGCTAGAATAGTCATTTACCACATAAGCAATGTACAGAGTGTATTTCTTTACAGTTAAGACTTGTTTAAAGTTATCTACAGTGCTTTTCCTTCAAAAATAAGGACATTTCAATGTGACCCCAAACTTTTGAACGGTAGTGTGTACAGTATATACACTGCCCCCTGTATTCGTGACCCTTTCAACATTTCGCCACATTTCAGGCTTCAAACATAAAGATATAAAAAAATTATTTTTTGTCATGAATCAACAAGTGGGACACAATCGTGAAGTGGAACGAAATTTATTGGATAATTTAAACTTTTTTAACTAATAAAAAACTGAAAAGTGGGGCGTGCAATATTATTCGGCCCCTTTACTTTCAGTGCAGCAAACTCACTCCAGAAGTTCAGTGAGGATCTTTGAATGATCCAATGTTGTCCTAAATGACTGATGATGATAAATAGAATGCACCTGTGTGTAATCAAGTCTCCGTATAAATGCACCTGCTCTTTGATAGTCTCAGGGTTCTGTTTAAAGCACAGAGATTACCATGAAGACAAAGGAACACACCAGGCAGGTCCGAGATACTGTTGTGGAGAAGTTTAAAGCCGGATTTGGATACAAAAAGATTTCCCAAGTTTTAAACATCTCAAGGAGCACTGTGCAAGCAATTATATTGAAATGGAAGGAGTATCAGACCACTGCAAATCTACCAAGACCCGGCCGTCCCTCCAAACTTTCATCTCAAACAAGGAGAAGACTGATCAGAGATGCAGCCAAGAGGCCCATGATCACTCTGGATGAACTGCAGATAACTACAGCTGAGGTGGGAGAGTCTGTCCATAGGACAACAATCAGTCGTGCACTGCACAAATCTGGCCTTCATGGAAGAGTGGCAAGAAGAAAGCCATTTCTCAAAATTATCCATACAAAGTCTTGTTTAAAGTTTGCCACAAGCCACCTGGGAGACACACCAAACTTGTGGAAGAAGGTGCTCTGGTCAGATGAAACCAAAATCGAACTTTTTGGCCACAATGAAAAACGATATGTTTGTCGTAAAAGCAACACAGCTCATCACCCTGAACACACCATCCCCACTGTCAAACATGGTGGTGGCAGCATCATGGGTTGGGCCTGCTTTTCTTCAGCAAGGACAGGGACGATGGCTAAAATTGATGGGAAGATGGATGGAGCCAAATACAGGACCATTCTGGAAGAAAACCTGTTGGAGTCTGCAAAAGACCTGAGACTGGGACGGAGATTTATCTTCCAACAGGACAATGATCCAAAACATAAAGCCAAATCTACAATGGAATGGTTCACAAATAGACGTATCCAGGTGTTAGAATGGCCAAGTCAAAGTCCAGACCTGAATCCAATCGAGAATCTGTGGAAAGAGCTGAAGACTGCTGTTCACAAACGCTCTCCATCCAACCTCACTGAGCTCGAGCTGTTTTGCAAGGTAGAAGGGGCAAGAATTCCAGTCTCTCGATGTGCAAAACTGATAGAGACATACCCCAAGCGACTTGCAGCTGTAATTGCAGCAAAAGGTGGCGCTACAAAGTATTAGCGCAAGGGGGCCGAATAATATTGCATGCCCCACTTTTCAGTTTTTTATTTGTTAAAAAAGTTTAAATTATCCAATAAATTTTGTTCCACTTCACGATTGTGTCCCACTTGTTGTTGATTCTTGACAAAAATATATTTTTATATCTTCATGTTTGAATCCTGAAATGTGGCAAAATGTTGAAAGGTTCAAGGGGGCCGAATACTTTCGCAAGGCACTGAAGCTACTACTTATTTTGTGTGCTCCCTGTGTGCTCTGTTACTTCTGTCCTGTATGTGCGCTGCAACATCAACATTTCCCCACTGTGGGACGCATAAAGGAACTCTTATCTTATTGATATTTTGTAATGTGATACTAAAAACGTCTTAGTTATAGTCAACAGATTAGAGAATCAAACAATTATAAAACATAGGCGGACCAAATGTAAATCTCAAGAAAATGGTCTTTGTATACGCCACAAGAAGTGATTTCCTATTGAACATACAGCCACCATGATGGACTTGACGATGGATGAACAAAAACATGAATATCACAAAGGTTTGTAAAGTGATGTGAACTCTGACCTGACAGGTTACGATGATGCTCCGTTTTCTTCTGCGGACTGCGGACTTTTACATAAGCAGTGTAATGGCCTCCACGCATTGAGCCGCTGTGCTCAACGATCCCATACAAACTGTAAAGCACCCGCTCACTTGCGGCTAGGTTCTGAAATATACAGCAGACAACAATTATAAACATAAAAAAGGAAAAAAATATTAAACCAAAATGTAGTATTTGTCCTACTTTGCTGGAGGCTGAGCAAAATGGAGCCAAATCCAAAATGAGGGGAAAGTCCACATGCCGATTGACTTTTCTAAGGTTCATTCCTGCCTTTAGAAATACATAATTTATAGTTTTATTATTACTATGGAAATTTCAAAACATAATGAACATTTGAGAAGCAGCTAACCTGATGAAAGCGTTTCAGGTGCAAAGTGATGACAGGTGGCAGGGAAGATATTAGCATTTGCTTTCTTGCACTGGTGTAAATCTTCTCAAATTTTTTGTCTGTGAAGGTAAATACAATAAAAAAAACTACATAACCACCGAGATGGTAAGAAGCCTAAAATACGCAGCTTAGGTATGGTGTTGAGGCAGACTGCAGGCCTTTTTAAAGCGTTTTGACTTCTACAAAACAGCTTTAGTTAACATTTTGATCAGAAACGGTCAAATATGAGTACAATATGTTGACCTTGTGGCTGGGGAAACTGATAATATGAAAAGTTTACTGCCCTTTTAAATTATAACTATAACTACCATTTTACTTTCATTTTCATTCTAGATAATGATTCATACAAGACCAGGTACAATCAAATACCAAGCTCTGTGTCATAATGTGTGCCTCGGCTACACATGCCTGAATGTTTGTGTACTATAGAATTACCATTGACAAAGTGTGTGCGCATTACCTGAGGCTCCAGTCTTGCGCAGCTGCTTCTGCCTCCTGTCGGTGCAGCTCTCACACAGCAGTTTGTTGTTGCCCATGAGCAGCTCCACAGAGGTGAACTGATGGAGGCAGGACTGAACAGAGCACTCTTTAGAGCTGGGCGTGTAACTGTGAGACAGCGCTTGGAACGCCCCCTGCTGGTGAGGGTGCTGGGCATTATCGTCTGCATCAGGGGCCTCATCAGGGCAACCGTGTGTGGAGCTGGAACCGTCCCCAGAAGCTAAACCCATGTTGATTTTGGACACTGCAGATACAAGTTGGTCGACAGCGGCTCCAGTTCGACTATTGAGTGGCATGGAGGAGTTCCCAGTGGGAGATGGCGTGAGGGTGGTGCTGGAGGACGAGGTGTGTGCATGACAAGCGGAGGGTGGACGTGGGGTCCATTCACTTTCCGATGCTTCACTGTCTGCGTCATTACTGCTGTCCTGAGCCCCCGAGTCCCTCTCACTGCCATCGGAAAGACTTCCAGCAGATGCCATTTTGCAAACGGACACTCCCCGACAGGATCCGCCAGCTACTCCCTCTTCCTCTGACCGCACTACTCCACAAACTGCTCCTTTATCTTCAACAGGCACAGAACTTCTCTTACCTTGTAGTTTCTGTACACATAAAAAACAGACATTATTCAAATCTACACCATATAACTGTATTGGAGAATTAACAATTATTCACTCAAACAATAGACTTTTAGCTGATTGATATACCCTCATTTTTCTTTTAACTACAAACATAAAAACTGGTCATATCAGCACGTGAAAGCCAGATCAGATCAGATCAGATCTCGGAAGCAAAGTACTGGGAGACTGCTGGATCACAAGGTACCACAGGGGGATGGCTAAAGCCGGTAAAGTGCTGTAACCTTGTTCTTACTTCACCAATCATTCAGTCAGACACACCAGACTCCTACTAGGCAATGTGGGTGGTGGTCAGAATAGTCAATGGGTCTGATTGGAACAATGTGAAGTCACTTTGAAGGTCATAAACAGTGCTTTGCGTATGATGCATCATTACTAAATACATGGTAACTATAGTTTAGTTTCAGAGTATTTAATAATATCAAAACTACTTTATGCCACTGAATAAAGATGTAAAATCCCAGAATTGGAATTAAGATTTAGTCATTCTGCATCCTTTACAGCCAAAACCTTATCATTACAGTTTTGCAAACAAATGTACAGACGCTAATGTTTTATCAGTTATTGGATGATTGATTGACAAAGTTAATGCAGTAGTTATTGTGTCAGGTTCCTTTTATGTTGACTGCACAAAGCACATTATTATATTCAATAATCATTGATTAATATAATCTTTAAGCAACTACAGCTCCATGTGTGAACAGCACCTGTGCACTTAGTCTTCTGTTCTTGTTGTGAGCTGCAGAGTGAAGTTGCTCGTTGTGCATAATGTGGCTGTCCTGTTCTCGCACTACTTTTCCCAGTCGTCCAGGGTTTGATGGTTTTGAAGTCTGAGTAAGAAACATGACAGTCACAAGCTGTAGCTGCATGTGTAGAGTAACTAATTTCCCATAACTCAACTTACCCGCTCCTCTATGATGGGTAATGAAATATCTATAAAGGCCTCTTTAACGGTTGATATCTGTAACATAAGAAGCCATTGTAAAAGCTTGTGCAATGAACAACAGTCTGAATGGTTTTGAAGCAGACGTGGGAAAATGTATATCTCAAACTAAAGTAAGTTGTTAAAATACTATTTTCATATTGTTATCGAGACAACGTGAAATATAGAGTTATTCATTTTGGTCAGTAGCACCCACCCCTATGTAGTAAGAGACTTACATGTTCACATTCTTCACACATGATTGTGTTTGTAAGTTCACCAACAAAAATGCGATCAACAAAGTTCATCCTCACACCTTCTTTGCCATAAGCTATGAGAGAGAGAATAGAGCTTATTAAAACAAAACAAGTCATGTACACAACATACAGCAGTATACTGCTATTCTTCTGTGGGGCAGCCCTATTATGGCAATTTCTCTTAAAAGGCCACTGGGGGGAGCTATTGCTCTGTGACAATCTCCAATAGCTTGATTTCTCACCTTTGACATTACGTTTTGTCTCTTCATCAGCTGTCTTTTCAGTTGGATTATTGAAAGCCTTTAAAATGGCTGCTTTTACCCTCTGTAAAACAAGACAATCTTTTATCATTAAAAACAGAAAACTCAACACAAATTGTACAAATGATTACAAATATGTCTTGCAACCTCATTCTTTTATATCCATTAATGTAATATCTAAATCTGGGCTGACGCTCAGAGTGACAGCTTTATCTATAGAAAGCATCATTAGTGTAAAATAATTATTGTGCTTGTCGAGAGACATTAAAATGTGTATCACAATTAGCAGTGCATGTTTGCGTTGGGTGCGTAAGGCTTCAGAGGACCATCTTATTGGAGGTGACATGGTCAGTCAGAGAGCTGTGAAGAGACACCGCCGCAGTAAAGCACCAATCAATAGATAATTGGCTGCGGTCTGTGTCTGTGGCCGAGACCAGTCGACCCCCATTGTCCTGGGACCCACGCACTGGACTGGCTATTTAGGTCAAAAAACCCAGTAATCCGAGACAGACTGGCTTGCACCCCACTCACCGGACTCAAACCAGGCTGGGACTCCTGACTAATTAATTACCAGTAACCCCCCCATCCCAAAAAGACTCTCCTCTGTCCCGGAGATGATGGGCAGAATGAGGGGGGCAAAAGGCATGACTGGTATGTTGTGCAGGGGTAGAAACTGCAGCCTTAAGATGAGGTGAAGAAAGACAGTCCATGCCCCGAGAGTAAAAGCTACTGCCTCTACTAATTGGTGATAATCAACTGAAGCCAAATTAGCATATTGAGATCAGTGATACTAATGGCCAATCAACACAAACATTTAGGGGCATTTAGTCAGACTCCCCTAAAGTGAATACCCTTACATTAGAGAATGTGTGAAAATATATGCCTTTATCTTATTGTTGTTCTTTATTAGTTCCACTGAGATTCAAAAATAAATTTTTCAGAGGACAGGAGTCACGTTTAGTGGTAGGTGGAACTGGAGTGCCTGGAGAAAACTCATGCTGACACAGGGAGAACATGCAAAGGCCACTCAGAAAGGCCCTGTTCTGACCAGTCACTTGCTGAGAAGCGAGAGCACTAACCTCTACATAGTGCCATTCATAGTGTCATTCATAAAAATCTTTTGACAAGGCATCATTTGTCAATCAACATGGGCCTGAATTATGATTTGAAGATCCCACCACAAACCTTAAAAAGGATTATTCCAATACCAATAGAGTAACCCCTCAGGAGCAGTGGTCGCTATAGTGTAGGACACAAGGAGTCCAGACACTTGGTCAGAAATTTTGCTGTATGTTTTGAGATTCCCTGAAAGGCAGACATCCAGGCACAGAGAGAAAACACCACTGAAAAGCCTGAGTTGGCAGGGGAGTTGAACCCTCGACCTTCTTGCTGTGAGGCATTAGTACTAGTATACACTCTGCCACTGTGTTGTCCCAGATGTTAAAAAAACAAAACCTATAATTTATATTATTTGGGTCATAAAAATCCTTGACTATTCAACTCATGTAACATTTAGCCAGACTTTAAAATAAGACTACCTTTTTTTTTTAAGTAGTTTGGTCAAAGACCCACAACTTTGATGATGGTGGTGGTAGCAATTACCAACCCAAACCCTATGACTAGCTGAGCCTGCCCCCCTCACGCTCACAGTCTTGATTAGATTGGGACATGGGTTGATGAGTGTGTGTGTATTTTTGGGTGGGGGCTCTGGGTGACCCTCATCCACAATAGGACAGCCCCGGAGCTCATTCAGCAGCTGTGGTTTTCCCAAGATCACACAATGAGGCCGGTCGTGCCACTTGCAAGTCCCTTAAATGGCACAACTGCGAGCGTTCACAAGTTTAAATAGGAGCTGCACAACCCGGCTGCAGCCCCTCCTGGGCCTGAGGCTGACCACTAACACACCCGCTAACTTCTCCTACACGGTTCACACAGTCACTGGTGGGGCCACAAGGACCACTTGGAAATGCTGTGAGGTTTTCCAATTACAAAATATAAGAAATAGAGTGAACACAGCTCCCAAAACAAGACACCAAGAGACTGTCATAGACCAGCAGATCTAACAGACACCTCTCTAAGTGGATCAAAAAATCTTTATCTGCCTGACTAAATTATTCAAATAATCAAAATGTACATTAAAAAAGGTCCTTGTTGAGTGCTTGCCATGGAGTGATGGATTTTAACTCACCTTTGTTTCTTCTACTCGTATGGAGTCCAGTAAATAGTGAAGAAGCTCCTGGCTGTCTTGCTGTTGGTAACCTTTAAAGCGTGGTGCCCTGGAAAGATAAAATACAATGAAATTTCTCCAAAATAGTTATACAATCCTACAATGTATTATCTTTTTTTAATAATATTCTAACAAAATTGTTGCACACTGGGATGTGACTGCGCTTGCATTTGCAGGTAAATTACATTTATTAGCGAACAGAATGCTTGAGCTCCATCTTGTGAACTGGGATGATAGGTTCTCTGGCTGTATGATCACACAGATGTGTGGGCAGATGCTAGGGGCAGATGGGCAGCTGAGGCTGAAGCCACAGAAACCTGTTGGACTGTGCAACATAACCACCAGATTTTAGGATCAAGTTGTATTTGAAAGACAATAGTTGTTACCCTTGTAGGAGGTACATTCCAAGTTTGTGATTCCAAGTTTCCAAGTCAAGTCAATCTTACATGTTATGCACAAATAATGAACAGTGATTAATGCATATACAATCTAAAATTGGGTTACGTATTAAATCATTGAATTGATAGAAATCTGAGAAAAGGCCCTAAGGAGTGAACCCCTGTTTACAGCACAGGTCAACAGCATGAGTTGGACATTCCCTGGGATGTTATTTGGGAACACATCCGGTGAGAAAAGTATAGAGGTTAGCTTACAGAACACCTTGCGTCTTCTCTTTTGTGTCATCTAACTAATTTCCACAAAGAAACTACGTGAAATGAAAAAGACAGTGCGACAGACGGAAGCAGAGCGATGTGCTGGAATCAGGATAAACAAAATGAAGCTTGTAGGAATCAGTGGAAAGCAGGAAGCTCGTCCCTGTGGAGGAAGCAGAAGGGCCCTGTAGCACTGCTCCCAATCTGGCCAATACAAACATCTGCGCTGCTAACACAATTAATAACCGGATGAGTTAGTACCAGACGCAAAGCCACACAAGCCCCCCACCACCAATGACATACACATACATTTAAGGGCTCCAACATACTGTCTCACAGTTAGTCTAATCGTCTAAAACTGTTACAATTAACCTGCTTCAAAGTATTCCGTTTTAGAAATAAATAAATATATAAATGGGTCGACGACTTGTTGCTGAGACCCAGTCAACACTAAGTGGTGAATCTGTCCCTGGCACTGAACTGCGATGTGCTTTGCTGACCACTCAACCAACCTCACTGGCAGAGCTCAATAGAAGATCACATCGCTTCGGCTGGCGCTACGGACTATGCGGTACTCAGCTGGTTGGAATAAATGCTTGCTGACATATACAAGCAAACACACACAATTGTGAAAAGCTGGATTGAATAGATATACAGTGTTTCAAATCAAATAAGCTGTGTTCCTGATGCAATAAAGACATATTCTCCTACCTATTAACGAACAAACTGAGAAAAGGTCAAGGGTAGTCCAAGTTGTCTTGTGTTAACAAATGCTTGGTGACAAGTAAGGACAACGACATTCTTTCACACTGTGCTCCCATCATATAAATGAAAAAAAATGTCCCATAAACAGGAGTCAGTATTGGCCATGTAAACCAAAAGCTTTATCCCACATTGAACAGAGCAGTAGCTTTTAGGGCTAGCCAGTCTAAACTTTTTGCCAGAGGGAGGTATTTAACAATCATCTGTTTATTAGTGCACAGTATGCATTTACAGGAGTTGTAGCCATGTGAATTACATTTGGATTTGGAATATTCAGCAGATGATTATTTCTAATTTGGAATTAGGAACTTTCCTCCCTAAGGAATTAGGAATTTTCCTCCCTAAGCAGGTGTCTGAGCAGTGAAGAGGCATACTTAAAAAGCATACACATAATAGTTTTTTATCATTTACTGAAGCAAAGATGTTTTGGGGGTAAAAACGTATGGGTTTAAAACAAATACCTCTACCTTTAGGTAATAGTTAAAAACAGTAAACTTCTCACACACAAAGACATTTCTTAACCTATTTATGCGTAGCGTGCTATTAATGCCAATCAACAATGGTGAAACTTATGTGGGCGCAGTGCTCATAAAAATGGACTTTGTGGCCTTCACTTGGGTTCAAGTGGAGTATGCAGGTAATTTGCTCTGATTCTTGCCGTCATATTATAATAGTCCAATGTATTCAGTGAAATAACCAAGCGAGGCGTAGTCTTAATCAGACATATGCGAGTGCAGAGGTGCAATGCTCAGTGTGTGAATGCACATTTGAGCAATGCCTATTGTGGTTGAGGATGGTACCAGGTGAGCTTGTCACTAAAGCCAGTACCAGAAACATGGTCAAAGCCATCTCAGAGGTGTACCTATTCATTTGCAGTTAAATGCCCTAGCTCCCCACCTGCACGAGTTAACAGCACAAGACACAATGCATTCACAGAAACAAGCAGTTAATGTGGAACCAACCAGCAGTGTACCGCCCATGCACCAACTGGGAGCCAACCAACCAGACAAACATGTTCTGTCTCTTCAAAGAGATGAAAAAAATCAGTGCCCTATTTTTGTGGAAAAACATGTCAAATTATTACTTCGACCTGAACTAAATATGACACAGGTGGCACAAGCTACAGAAGCTTCAAATAGCTTAGGTCCCATCAACCATGTAACAAGTAACAATGCCTTAAGAGTGTTTACTCAAGAAATAATGGAGCAGGTATCACCTGGGTATTCCATAATAAAGCAGTGATAAAAGGCGGTGGAAAATCATCTTCCTCTTGTGTCAAAATAATGTTAAGTAGTGTAATAATGATTTTGAGGAAACTTCTCACATATTTGATCCAGAGGATAACATTTTACTAAATCTGAGTAATTAATGCCTCTTCCTTTCATATGATAATATTAAAATAAGAAAAATAAGAAAGCAGGTGGAATATAACAGTACTCAGATGGGTTAAAACTAGAGGTGCACGGATCGATCGGTAGCCGATTATAATCGGCTACCGATCACGGCTTAATTTGCGCGATCGGTGATCGGTGAAATTTGCCGATCACAAAGACCGATCCGATGACATGAGGATTCATGCGCACAATCTACGTTCTCTCGTCAAAACTGCGTAAACAAGCAACTCATGCAGCTATCAGTAACGGAGATTCTACATCGGCAACAACCACACAGTAATGACGCAAGAAAGAACACGAAATATGCGCGAAAGTTATGGAATTTATTCCCCTCTGTCCCCAGCCCTTGTCTGTTGCGGAAAGCGCTGGGTTATATACAGTCTATGGTTCAAACAGCTCATGTCCACTGCTTCAATCTGCCATCGCGGAGATATCTGACTCATGTCTGCCTGTCGCAGCTTTACCAAACTGTATATTCTCACATTGACACTCCAGAGCATGGATCTATTATAATAACAGACAGAGTCACACCGGGCAGGCACAGCACACACACCGAACACACTCAGCAGCGAGGCGCTGCCGTCAGGCAGAAACACCCCGTGTCAGGAGTTTGCATGTTATGTTCACAGAAATATTGAATTAAGATGAGTGTAGTGGTAGTACAGACAGACGGTGTCTGTACAGACAGTACGGTGTCTGTACAGACAGTACGGTGTCTGTACAGACAGTACAGACACCGTGCGGGCGGCACGGTGGCTGAGTGGATAGCACTCTCGCCTCTCAGCAAGAAGGTCCTGGGTTCGAATCCCGGTCGGACCAGGGCCTTTCTGAGTGGAGTTTGCATGTTCTCCCCGTGTCTGCGTAGGTTTCCTCCGGGTACTCCGGTTTCCCCTACCACTAAAAATGTGTCCAATAGTTCTGGCATGCGCCTCCTGTACTGGCGACCCCACTCCCATCTCTGTGTGGAGTGAGAGACAAATGCCCAAAATTAACAATTGTAAACCGCTTTGAGACTCAGATCTGCAGTGAAAAGGCGGTATATAAATAAAAACTTACTTACTTACTTACTTACAGTCCTACAGTGTCGCAGATAGCGTCACTTACTACGTAGTTGCGCATCGGAGCAGACAGCCGCTTGTTTATTGGAAGGAAAATAAAAGGCGCTTCCCTCCTTTGGCCTTAAAGCGTCTTTCCTCTGCGCTCCATGCACAAGTGCAGACAGTGAGAGTTTAGCGCAGCGGGACTATTCAGGATGATAAACGTAATAAACCCCTGCAAATGCTGAGATGCTAATATTACTGAAGAAAAAACATTGCCTTAACTATCTCTTCTTAATCAGTTTAGAAATGCAGCATATACAGTATTGCTGTATTTCATTGCTTTTTTAATGTATCTCAATGCTCTGTAACCTTGATGGTTTTGAAAGATTAGTTATAAAGTGAATAACTAGTCCTATTCATTTATCACTAATATTTTCAATATTTGATCGGATCGGCAATGATCGGTATCGGCCGATCAAAATTTTAATGATCGGTCAAAAAAATCCTGATCGGTGCACCTCTAGTTAAAACCACACTATAATATTGTATAACTCCAACTTTTGTATAACACCTACTTTTGACACAGTTGGTTAAAAAGAATCTTGGGATTCACAGGGCCTTTTCCTGACTCTTTCATTGTCTGAAGGAAGAGAAACATTGCTGATGTCAGAGGTTCAGGCCCAGTCAGTGTCACGGAGAGCGGATTCTGTGAAAAATATATGTTGTAAAAACAGTGTAAATATACAAGTATGGAAAGGAAGTGCAATCAGAACAAATAAAAACTTACTAGATTTGCCTCAGCAGGCGGGCAGATTCGCAGTCTGTATCCCTTTTCCTTCACTTCCTGCATTAGATCTATCAGCATGTGAGTCTGTGACAGATTCTAGAGTGTGTCAAAGGAGATCCATGTTACTTAGTTATTCCTGTATTTAAGTCTCACAATAGACTGTAGATGGACAGTGCTAAACCACAAAGCTCTAAAGCCTAATATGATGCTCCAATACGTTTTTTATTTTGATATGTATAGCAAATCCATATATACACCCTAACAACTGACAAATCAGACACCTTCCATCTTAGATTTGGCTATAGCTAGTTAGTAGCTCCAGCCTTGTTCCGCTCGTGATTCGCCCTTTGGTTGCTTGTTTGATGCTGTCCACAATCTTGGCTGCAAATTCCTGCCCAGGGAGCCTGCTGGAGTTAGCTATGAACGGCTTCTTCCACAATAAGACAAATACTATGGGTGATTTTCCCTCCTTCTACAGTTGATAAGTCTTACTCAAGGTCTAACCTGTTTGTTACAGTAACATGTGTTGAGGTAAATGTGCACACAAGCCTGTTGTTTTTCAGATAATTGTTAATTATTTTCATATAGTATGATTTTCATAACTTCTGTAGAGTTTATGTTTAAGGATCCATCCAAACAGTGTTAGAAAATCCTCTTTTCCTTCTTTTCATGGGGTATTTGTTTTGTCACATACTGGCCATGAAGACAGTTGCTATGGAAAACACACAATGGAGCTGGCATTGTGAGCACAGACATGGCTCATCCTTTTAAAATTATGTGTTTTCACCAGAAAAATTGCAATTTTCAAGGAGACAATACAAACAGATAGGGAGAGGGATGGAAAAGCATGTAAAGCACACTCACTCGAATTTCAATCACTGAGGGAGGCCCTGGGGGTGATTAACAAAATGGCGGAAAAAAACAGCTTCATTGTTGGAGAAACATGTCAGTTTACAGTCACCATGACATGACAATGGAAGGACTGGGAAGGCTCACTGTTGTGTTGTATAGCGAACGTGCTCCACACCAACTGTGCACCAATTGTGTGTGCACAGGTAAGCAAGATCAAACCTTTTTGCTTCGGTGAATATGTGGCAGGCCTGTTTACGGTCACCACCACTATACACATGCAGACTATGCGGACTTTACATTGTCCTAAACAAACCCCAAACAAATTATTTAGGTAGGAATAACCAATTAAACGGAACAAGGAAAAAGGCCAAGTCAAGGGCTGTTAATTCTATTTATATAAATTTGCCATTAGTCAAATGAGTCTCCAAGTCAAAGCATCCCACAGAGTCAAAATAGGATTATATCTACACCAGATTTCAATAGCATTGTCAGAAGAATTTTCATTCAGAAATTAGGGCTGTCAAAATTATTGCGTTAACGCACGTTAATTAATTTTTTTCATTAATCGCGTTAAAAGAATTAACGCATTTGACGCATGCCCATGCGTCCCATAATAACACTCAGAATGCCGCGGACACATGCACGTGTGTAAGATGGGGACAGAGCAGGTAGGCCCTCTGGGAATTCAAGTTTCTAAAGAATACACGCGTGACTGCGGGGCACTTGTTGTTTCCTGTATGAACTCTGCATGATGAGCTGCGGGCGCCACAGCGCTCTGGACAGCAGCACCACTTCCAGCGGCTGTGATCACGGCGAGCGGCGCTGCGTAATGGGATCATATCCAAGACTACGCACAGAACTATTACAGAACTATTCTCTAGTGTGCGTACGTGTCTTTGCGTAACCGATGCACACAATATGTACAGCGCTGAAGCTGGACTGCGGAGCCTCAGTCTCCTCCGTGTCTTCTCCCGAAGCGCACTCGCTAAATTAAAGCTGAGGTACCTAATTTTCCTTTCGACTACCAGTTCATGTTAGTTTTGCCAAAAAAAGTAATGGTGTGAGCAAATCAAACAGATTTAATGACATTCTGCATTTCAGACTATTTTGAAATGTCCCTCATCTGTAACAAACAATGGTTTTGGTCTGAGTCTAAATAGAAAGACAGAATGTTAATAATGTTAATTACATTTTAAATGGATTTATTGTTATAACAAACAAATGCAGTACATATGTTCACTAAGCTGTCATTTATCTTTCCATTCAAACAACAATTTACAGAAAAATATGGCATAATTTTGCCAATAGTTTGAAATGCAATTAATTACGATTAATTAATTTTTAAGCTGTAATTAACTCAATTAAAAAAATTAATCGTTTGACAGCCCTATCAGAAATATATATAATAGTCAAAATTAAGATGAGCTGAAAATTAAACTAAAGTGGCCAAGAGGATACCATTGGGTTGTGCCTAAAATCAAAAAGATCATAATCTAAAATTGATAATGAATGATCTTGATTATTGACACACGTTGATTAAAAGTTGTCAGGGACTACAGCCAGTTTTTGCTCCTTCTTGTGTGTGGCGCCATCAGACCAGTGTTTGATCAGAATGTTAGAGATCGATAAAGAAGTCTTTAATATTTTATTCCCCCAGATTGCCCAGCTCTAGGATAACAGCTTCTATTCAGACAAATGTTGCTTATACTGTGTTTAGAAGCTCACAGATACCCAAACAAGTATATAGATGCTCTCTGACAGAAGTGAGAAAAAGCGATGCAACCAGAGTTTATCATAATCTGTGCTCACACGTAATCTATAAACCTTTTATCACAAAGTAATCCAGGAGTAGTTACGGTATGTAGGATTGAATTCATAAACAAGGGTTGGTTGACATAAAGAATCACATTCAGAGCTTGCCAAATGCTAATCCATATTTATCCATGAGTCTCAACATGGTACTTTTTAATAGAACTTGAACATTATAAAGAAGTAATTTACATCGGAGCCTCTTACGTTTAGTATATACACTATATCTGACCTACGTGAATAGCACTGTACAACAGATGTTAATAAATGAGGCCAACCTGCATGACGGCGTTGAAGAAGCATGTATTGCCCAGATTAGTAATGCCTTTCACGGGAACCAAGGTACTGTTAATTGCAGGATTTTTACTTCTTGATGAATCTGAAAAATCTGACGTTTCATCTCGTAGTTTGATTGTCTTGGGTGAAACTGCTGAAAAAACAGAATTCCAAATGTAACTCTTATAGTTCCAGTTTACACAGCAGTTAATTGCTTCCATAAACATATCACATTTAAATATCTACAATATTAGTTTGTTCTAACAGGTTTAATCTTAAAAACCCATGTCTGGGAGCTGGCTATATGCTGGCAGCTGGATGGAAGGATGGGTCAGAACATATGACATCTGGAGAAGATACAGAGACGTGGGGGCAGGGGGTAACGCAGCAGCTGTTCCTTTTCATCATCAATAAAAAACTAACTTGAAAAAACAGTAATATTGATAGTAATAAACACTGCAACATGTTTTGGCTACTAAAGCAATCTTTTGTTTGCATCAAAAGAAACGTTGTCAAAGGAACATTCTGTGCATTTGTTTACAAATATCAAAATAGCAAAAAAACAAGTGTGGCTTGCTGGCTTTCAGACATCTGAAAATAAACTGGCAGCATTCTTGCACAGGCCTTCAGACAGAAAAGAAACTCCGCAACACAAAATGTGTTTGGTCCATGAGCACTTCACCTTTTTGACCGTTAAGAGAGCAGGCTGACAGCGGGGTCACTGTTTTGAAGATGTTCCTATTCCAAACCAAGAAAATTCAATTGAACTATACACTTTTATAATCATCGCATCAACCCGCACATATTCTGCCTGTCCCTCTCTTCAGCACACGATTGGCCTTGCCTTCACACAATTTCAATGCACAGAACCTCCTCATGCACATCACACTGATAAGCTATTCAATTCAGCAGTCGTGAGGGCAGCGCTGGCCATTCATTTGTAGCTTCTCATTTTTTAGGTCAAGGATGCGAATACATTTCAGAAAATTAAGTCAAATCTATTCACATTGTGTTTTATACACAAATAAAATATTTTAAGGATATATATGGGGGGTATTTTAATGGTTAACTGAACTGCACCCAGAGTTCCCCTTTTGCAGGCAGAGCAGTACCTAGTTAAAAACTAGTAAAGATCTGATTATAGTTTTCAATAATACAATACAATACAATACAATACAATTTATTCTTGTATAGCCCTAAATCACAACTGTAGTCATCTCGGGGGACAAAACAAAACCATTTATATCACCAACACAGATGAGAGAATCAGCAGAAAAGACACAAAAATAATACAGAACACATGTTGATAAATGTCCATACATGTTGTAGAATGTTTAAAGTGTCCTAACTGTCCGACAGACCCCCCTGCATCGACAAGGAAAAACTAATAATATCTGATTGTCGGGTGGCTCAAATTCATCTGTCAAATCAAAAATCATGAATGCGTTCTAAACAACTAATTGATTCATTGAGAGAATATCAAAATAATTGCATAGGCCTAGTTTGGGAACTTTTTACTACTTTGGTTCTAATTGAAAATAAAAATAAGAAAGTTCTGAATAACTAAGTAGCCAACATTTTTATTGGGCCTGACCTTTCAATAGAAGCCTAAGGAGTAAAAACCTACATCCTTCGGTTTGACAAAAATCAAAAAGTTTGCAAAAAAGTCTTACCAAATACAGAAAAAAATGTTTGTTCTGAATCTGACTCTGAATGTTACAGTGTATATGAACTTTCAGTGTAGGTCTTACCTAAATAGTTTTATATTATATATATTATATTGAGAGAGCTAAACTATGAAGAACCATGGACTCTACATCTGGGGCCGCTATCCAAGGTAAACAATGTTCAGGAACCATCTGGTTGAGAGACTGGAGAAAGGGGGCTGAAGAGGACAGTTGGAGGGGGACAGTGGGTATAGGAAAGGTTTGCAGCATGCACTAACATATGGAAAAACAGATTTTTCCTCTCCCTGCAGCAGTCAGTGAAGGCAAATGTTAGCATGCTCTGTGCCCACGCTTGAGTGTGCTGCAGTCAGCACAACCACCTGGCCCTTTCTGTTCAGCCACCGAGTGTTGGCTGCACTGACACTGTGGAGCCAATCCCCAGGGCAGAGCGGAGCGAAGGCACATACACCAACCATTCAGCATCTGCACCCAGGCTGTTTTGACCACAGCTGGGAAAAAAATACTGTTTATTTTTTCTTTACAAGATCTTACTTTTAAGCAACATGCAGTTGCATTATCCTTTGGACTTCATGCCTACTTATGCTCACTTACTCTGCACGGCAGCGTGCGGTACCAAGGCCAGCTCCTTTCATGCAGAGCAGTCAGTGAAGGGGAAGGCCAAGCAACACCAAATGTCTTATTAATTTGCTAATTTGTTGTGACTGTAGGGCATAAAAGCCAGTTTCTCTGCCATCTGAGGCCAAAAGTGCCACTGCCATGTTACACACACACACACACACACTCACACTAACAGACGCAAGCTTTGCTACCCACTATCTGGCCTAGTTTCATGTGCGATGGTGGAATAAAGACAGGATCACCCTTGATTACCCCTGTGAAAGCACCACCAGGGGACAAGCCTCTTATAATGGCCACTCACTCGGGAAAACAAGAATGACAGCTAACTATAGAGGAGGTGTAAGAATTTTTGTGACTTAACACTTTCTGTGCGTTCCTTCTGGTAGACTTGAAGTAATTAGTTAAAGGAAAATAGAAGCAAAAATAATAACAATAGTTCTGAACTCCATTTGTAAAATAAACATTTTAACTAAAACAGCCACCATAAAAAAATGAGCTTTTTACTGAGACTCTGGTACTCGAGCTAAAGGCCTTGATGCTGAGAAAGCATGATTAACAGACTGTCTTTCTTAACAAAGCTGTTGTACACAGTTATTATAGATTCATGGGGCAAACTCTTTGTTGTGGGTCTTTTGTATTTTAGGTCTATAGAAGACAACAGTGTAACAGCAGCCTTCTTTTTAGACCTGGCCTTCACACCAAAATGCAATTTCACAAGCTCCTCAACAAACCACAATAGCCCGTTTTCCTGCAACAATAGCAGCCAGCATCAATACTCTTATAGCCACCGGTGTGACAACGGTAAAGGTAACAGGTTATTTTATGGACTGTGTCCATGTAGGTGCGGGTCAGTCTGACTGTCTGCTTTTCAACAGGCTTCAATACACAAAGATGAGAAAACTTAAAACATTTGGGTCAGCACTGATGATATGTTTTATTGAAAATGGGACTGGAGGAATACAAAAAACATAAAATGAATCCTGTCTGCCACTTTGCTCAAAGCACCATTTCACAGGTATGTCATGTACTTGGCAAAGGCTCGAGAATAAGTAATTCAGATCCTTGAAACATTAGATTTCAGAACAAATTGTGAAAAAAATATAATTCAAATATGGCAGTCACAGGACTTTTTTATGAAGTTAAAGATTTCAGGTATAGAAAGAGAAAACTGGATGGAACAATGACGCTCTACATATGGAAGCATCCTTTTGTCATGTGTTTGTTGGGTCATGTACCTGGGGAATGCATGATGTCAAGGTGGATTCTCAACGGAATTTGAAATAAATGTTTATTTGTGTGTGTGTCTACAGAGAGTAAGTGCGCTCCAGCTGTGAAGATCCCACTGCTCTGACTTGTGGAGGACCCTGGCTCCCACTAGTGCAGCGCACAGGCCCAGAGGTGGTGAGACACGCGGCACAGTAACAAGAAACACGACAGAGCGCAGAGACAAAGAGTGACAGGGCAGAGGCTGAACCCTCCACAGCTGCTCTTGTTCTTTAGGGAACCCAGCTGGGAAACAGTGCTCAGGCGCCTAATTCCTCTAATGTGTGCATTCATGCAATAGACAGGGTTAGGGAATGGGAGGGGAAATTTTAAAACAACTCTCCTACAAGTCTCCATCCACAACTGTGGAGTGACTATTGAGGAACCAGCCAGATTGGATGAATTGGCTATGAACACTTTCTGAATGAATCTTAGAATACAAACTACAGTGCGTTCAGAAAGTATTAAAATACCTTAACTTTTTCAAAATGTTAGGTTGAATCTTCATTCCAAAATTGATTATATTTTCAATAATTCTTGTCAATTTACGTGCGATAACCCAAAATGACAAAGTGAAAAACATTCTTTAGATGCATTTTGATTAATAAAACACAAAAATACGACATGTTCATTTAGAATTCACAGTTATTTTACTTATTGAATAACATGATAAATTATCTTCAATTGATCGAGTAACACGTTACTGGTAAATGTTTCTATATTGTTAACAGCATATTTAATACAAAAAGTATTATTCAATTAAAAAGCCGAAAGAATTATTGTACATAGAAACTAATTATTATTATTGCTAAATCAGTCGCCTTCAGAGCAGGTTTCCATCTAGATGTCTCTGTACATTCCTGCATTCATCTTTCCCTGTATCCAGACTAGTCCACCTGTCCCTGCTGCTGAAAAACCATCCCCATAACATGATGCTGCCACCACCATGCTTCACTGTGTATTTCCTGTGTATTTCCTGAATTTCTCCTACGGGGATCAATAATCAATGATCTAACTATCTATTTGTCGGGTTCCTTCCAAACATGACACTTGGTATTCAGGCCAAATAGATATTTGGTATTTGGTATTTGTTTCATCGGGCCGTAGAATCCTGTTAGTAATGTTCTGAGGGTCATTTCCAGGTACTGTATATCCATAGACATTCAAATATTTTATTTGCCTTTCTATTGATGTTTAATGTGTCCCCCAACATTTTTGAGCTGTGATACATTTGTGATAATTTTTTCATTGGAAACAATCCTATGGCAAACCACCAGCTGAAACTGAAACCACAATTCAATTTATTCTTGTGGACAATGAAACTGTGCAGTCTTAATTAAGAATGCAGTCAATCTCATCAACGAGTATTATAATGAAAACCAAACACAACAAACATTATTTTCTTTTGACATTATTTTGACCAATGAGGGGACATTGGATCATTTTCAAAAGGCACACCAAGCAACTTCTCAAGGCACACTAAAGTGCCACAGCACACTGGCTGAAAAACACTAGTTTATTGTAAAAACATGTTTGGAGTGAAGCTCACGTCTCACAAATAATTAATAATCAATTCAAATCAACCATAAAACTCAGAATTAAATGTGATCATACAACCTTTTCACACCATGTTTATGTATGTCTGTGTCTGAAGAATACTCATTAAATGCAGAAATTTAAATTAATAGTTTAATTAAATCAATCTATCTATTCAAATTCCATTTATTTGCCAGAGAGTTATTTTTAACTAAAAAGGGAAAATAAAACATCAAAATTGACTCTAGACCACAGAGCCGTACTTTAAAGGGACCTGTAGGTGTTTCTGTGGGGCACAAACTAATCCTATTTGAAGACAACAGCAGCCTTATTTTTATATATCATTTTGGCCAAAAAAAAAACTTGCTATGTAACTGGCAGAAAGTAGTAACATATCTTTGTCTACCAACAGAAACATGTGATGAAACCTATGTTCTCTGGAGACATCTATGGTGTTGCAAATTAACTTACTCTGTAACTTGTTCTAGGAAAACTCTGTAAGAAGTTCCAGGAACGCATAACTAGCAGGGGGGTGCTTGATGATAATAATAATAATAATGTAAATACAATAATACAGGGTAAAATAAGGGGTTTTACCTGATGCCTTTGCAGACTGTTTTTGAAGAAAGTCCAGAGTCTGAGCCAAAGCCTTCTTGTTGCAGTGAGTGGATAGTTCCTCATTGCATTCAAAACACCTGTGCACAGTTGCAAATCATTATCAGAATATTTTTGGTTTTCACAACAGTTTGGATCATACTGTATAATTAATAAGGCAGAAAATTTGGGATTTAATGTAAAACACACAATGTAACAAATACATAATTCATATATTTTTTCCCATTATTCCACAATTATTTCCAGCTCACCAGGCCTTCCATGTGCTTAGACTTATTGTTATGCAGTGGGACTCATGATGAAATGCTTGGTGGTGTTTCTCAGCATGTTGAATTTCTGACTTATTACAACCCTGTAACCAAAAGGAAATAACAACCAAATTTGTTTACGTAAAATCATTGTTAAAAATTATGATTTGTTTCTTATGACTGCCAACAAAATCCTGACCTGGAATCCACACTTGAGACAGACGAGGATTTCATGTGATCCCATTGACTCTCCCTCAGTCAGGGTCCTTTCTTTTAGACACTCCGAGCACACCAAGCACACACTCAACAGCACAGACTTCTTCACAGAGTTCAGGTCCACAGCTTTACTAACATGCTGACATGTTAATCCTGAAGACAAAAAGGTGTAACACAGAAATAAATTATTAACAAGTATACAAGTAATAATGTACTGTACTAATTAAAAGTTCACTTACCACTGACTTCATCTGATGACTCCTCATCTCGAGGCTTCCTTTGTTTGTTTGTCCGCTTAGTCATTTCTGCGGCTTTTAAAGAAAAAGGGTCCTTGAGCCGCATCTGGAAAGCTGAATGTAAAAATTGGAATAAAAATCCATTGATATGATTTAAACAAATAGACACAAATAAATATAACAAACAATCACTAAAGAAAAAAGAAACACAAGTTTTTTCTAAAAACAAGGAAGATTTCTGGTTACAGATAACACATGGACTGACGAGTAATGCTTCAAAAGTACCGTTGAGTTTGAAGTCTAACAAATTTGTATAATATGAATTATCACAAAATATTAAACTACCTTACATCATCCATTGAGTAGATTTGTGTAGCTAGTTAACCAACCTGTTCCCAGAGCAGAACCATCATTGTTGACAAAAAGCTAGCACAATTATCACAACAACGTTGACCAATGTGAGGTAGAACATAATCATTATCAATGTTCGACCTCACATTGACAAATATAACATTACTTCTGGAATGACAAAACAAAACAGATTACTCAACTCACCTTAATTCTATATCCTATGACTGTGTTAACTAGCTTCGAGTTAGCAGTAAGAGCCAGCTGTTCCTCGATAGAACATTTCACAAGCTACATTCCCCCGTATGAACCTTGTGTCAATGTAGTTTTCCATGAAAATATCGGGCTCAGATTTAAAGCAAAAGGATAATCATTAGAGTAGTTATTTTAGGAAATAACTTTAGGTTCTTGATTTGTCTGGCTAACGCTAACGCTAGCCTCGAACAACAACACGCCGTGACGCACGTGTGACGCGCTGGTGTGATGCATTTAGAGCGCATCGAAAATACTCGTAAGGAACAGTTCTAGAGAACAAGAATAAGTAACAGTCTATGTAAGTAACACAAACTTACACATCACATGTCGATGTGTATGTCTATTTGTTCTTCGCTAAAGACACTATATAAATATCGTTTTATTTATTTCGATTCCAGTTGGTAGACTAACTACAACAGGCTCATACATACTTAACGTGTATAATCCTTCTTCAATAAAAATGCTATTGCTAATCATCCAATATCATTATAACCTTATGTTTCCTTTTCCCAATTGTTTCTTGTGAAACAATTTATGTATTTCTGTATTTAGGTTATTTATTAAAGCAACACGCTTTGACCGTATGCGCATGCGTAGAGTGGTTTGAGGACAACAGTCAGGAGGACCGTGTACTTCTACGTATGTTAGCTGCATATTCAATGTTCATGATACAATAAGTGTCGATTATTCTTTCTGCACATGGCTCAAGCTCACAGAATATGTTGGAGAGTCGCGGCTGTCACTGCTCGCCTGTTATGGAGGAGTCCAGTACCTCCTCATTATTGTTTTCCGAGAGGTCAAATCTTGCCGAGTGTTGTCAACAGTCACGGGCTATTCACGAGTGAGTTTAAACCTCCAAACCGCCACACTTATAACCTGCAGAAAATGAATGCTTTTCTTATGCATCTTATTCATATTTTAGGTACAAGGTTGATTGTGAACAGGTTCAGTACAACACCACCGAACACAGATGTGAGCTATGAGGAGCTAATGCAAATCGTGCAGGGTCAAAACAAAGCTGTGATCATAGATGTTCGGGAGCCATGGGAGCTCAGGGAGTATGGCTCTATCCCAGGATCCATCAACGTGCCCTGTAAGCATGTTCTCACCAACCTTGCCAACATAATGCTGCTCGTTAGTTTATAGCAGTGTCTTTTATATAGTAGTGTGTTTGCAGGAAGCTGTTAGATGATAATGTTGAGACTCACTTTTATCTTGCCTTCCAGACTAGTCTTGTCAATTTCAAACTCAATTCCGATACTGGAAAAAAGACTCCATACCACAACAATTATTTATAAATACTCTTTTTGTAAAATTAACTAATTTAAAACCCCAAAAAAGATTTTAAATAGATTATTCTGATATAGTTTAATGTAACATAGACATTTTAAATTTAGTCCTGATTGTGTAATTGTATTCAACTTCTCAAATTATTATATATTTGTTACGACCCGCAGTTTTACTTTTGATTTATATCTATTCTTTGATACAGTTTGACAACCGTACTTCAGACTACAATTCATTCCCCAAGACCTGACTGAAACATTTTAAGGGAAAAAGTTATTAATGTATATGTAATACATATGTATTATATTAAATGTTAAAACTTGTTAACAGGAATAGGATAATTAAAAACAAGTAGTTTCACACCCATCAAGCATTGTTTATCCTTCTGTCATGTAGAGATGATTGTCTAGTTCAAGTTATAATTTAAATCCTTGACATGGTCTTATCTTTATTATTTTACAGCAAGTTTAAGTCCATATTTTTATTTAAGTAACTGTCATGTGAAGTATTTTTTGCACTTTCAAAAACTGTTCAAGACTTATTTTACACAGTTTAATTGGTGCGTACTTATTGTTGTAGTGGGTCAGATAAACACTGCTCTTCGGCTGGATGCAGACGAGTTCAAGGAGAAGTACGGAGAGGAAATGCCATTGCCAACGGACAGCATAGTGTTCACCTGTTTGGCAGGAGTGCGGAGCAAGACCGCACTGGACACCGCCGTCTCTCTGGGATACGAGAGGTGAGCTTATAAAGATGTATAGTGAATTTAATTAAATAAGATAATTAGATACTTTTCTATCTACATGTATTTAGATTAACCCTAACCCAGCTGACCATTATAATTCCCTTTTTCCCCAGTGTTCAACATTTTCCTGGGGGATGGCAAGAGTGGGTAACACACGAGCCAAAGAAAACGCCATAATTTACTAATGGATCATGTTTCTAATTATTCATGTCATCATTCACTATGGAAATTCCTTACGTATTTTGAACCAAAGATGGGCTGATATAACATTTTAGATGATCATGTAATAATAAGAAAATGCTACTCTTTAATAATGTGAATGTGCTAAATATACTTTGTCTCACTTTGTCTAACTATGCACATTGGTGCTTTGACCCCCAGTGCCTCTCCCTTAGTTCTTGATTTAGTTTTTCTGAACATGTTCATGGCTCTATTATCTCCTGAATCTGTGAACAGGGCCATAGAATACTCCATTCAAATTTCAATATTTTGTACAGATTATGACGAATTGCTGTTCATGGCTAGTTTTGGCTACATTAAATAAATGTTGTCTTCAAACAAAATATTTGTTTTGGTCTTATTTTATGTGGTTTATACACAATGAGACAATATATTAGATTATATGGTCTCTTCAATATGTTGCTTGGTTGTAAATTAACAGAGATTTGTCGTGTCCTGTTTTGGCCTTGAACCTTTCCCCCAATGATGCATGCGGAAAGTATCTACAGTGCCTTGCGAAAGTATTCGGTCCCCTTGAACCTTTCAACATTTCGCCACATTTCAGGCTTCAAACATAAAGATACAAAAATTAAATTTGTTGTCAAGAATCAACAAGTGGGACACAATCGTGAAGTGGAACGAAATTTATTGGATAATTTAAACTTTTTTAACAAATAAAAAACTGAAAAGTGGGGCGTGCAATATTGTTTGGCCCCCTTGAGCTAATACTTACTAATAAACAGCAGTCTTCAGCTCTTTCCACAGATTCTCTATTGGATTCAGGTCTGGACTTTCTAACACCTGGATACGTCTATTTGTGAACCATTCCATTGTAGATTTGGCTTTATGTTTTGGATCATTGTCCTGTTGGAAGATAAATCTCTGTCCCAGTCTCAGGTCTTTTGCAGACTCCAACAGGTTTTCTTCCAGAATGGTCCTGTATTTGGCTCCATCCATCTTCCCATCGATTTGAGCCATCTTCCCTGTCCCTGCTGAAGAAAAGCAGGCCCAAACCATGATGCTGCCACCACCATGTTTGACAGTGGGGATGGTGTGTTCAGGGTGATGAGCTGTGTTGCTTTTACGCCAAACATATCGTTTTGCATTGTGGCCAAAAAGTTTGATTTTGGTTTCATCTGACCAGAGCACCTTCTTCCACATGTTTGGTGTGTCTCCCAGGTGGCTTGTGGCAAACTTTAAACAAGACTTTTTATGGATATCTTTGAGAAATGGCTTTCTTCTTGCCACTCTTCCATAAAGGCCAGATTTGTGCAGTGCACGACTGATTGTTGTCCCATGGACAGACTCTCCCACCTCAGCTGTAGTTATCTGCAGTTCATCCAGAGTGATCATGGGCCTCTTGGCTGCATCTCTGATCAGTCTTCTCCCTGTTTGAGATTAAAGTTTGGAGGGACGGCCGGGTCTTGGTAGATTTGCAGTGGTCTGATACTGCTTCCATTTCAATATAATTGCTTGCACAGTGCTCCTTGAGATGTTTAAAACTTGGGAAATCTTTTTGTATCCAAATCCGGCGTTAAACTTCTCCACAACAGTATCTCGGACCTGCCTGGTGTGTTTCTTTGTCTTCATGGTTCTCTCTGCGCTTTAAACAGAACCCTGAGACTATCAAAGAGCAGGTGCATTTATACGGAGACTTGATTACACACAGGTGCATTCTATTTATCATCATCAGTCATTTAGGACAACATTGGATCATTCAAAGATCCTCACTGAACTTCTGGAGTGAGTTTGCTGCACTGAAAGTAAAGGGGCCGAATAATATTGCACGCCCAACTTTTCAGTTTTTTATTAGTTAAAAAAGTTTAAATTATCCAATAAATTTCGTTCCACTTCACGATTGTGTCCCACTTGTTGTTGATTCATGACAAAAAATTAAAATTTTATATCTTTATGTTTGAAGCCTGAAATGTGGCAAAAAGGTTCAAGGGGGCCGAATACTTTCTCAAGGCACTGTACTACAGTTCGGCCGGTGTAGGAATTGACATTTAATAGAAAATGTAGCTGTTGCAGAATGTGCATAACATAAAACAATATAAAAATATTCCACATCATTGACTGGAACTTGTAACAGAATTACAGTATTCATTCCATCACTGTCAATTTGCATACATTTGGACTTGCTTAACTATGCTCATGAAACTGCGTGTTAATAAAACTGTCACCACTTAGGATAATTACTTGAATATCACTCTTCATAAAAATCACTTCAAGGATCTCTTCTTTTTCTTTGTTTCATAAAAAGAGCGTGTGACAGGAGAACACGTGTCTACCTGTTAAAACACCAAATCCACTTAATCAATTTAGTCATAATGCTAAGTGAGCCTTTCGATGGCATCTGAAGTGAGAGCTTTGTAAATGCCATATGAGTGATGTTTTTTCATTAGAGGATTGAAAGAGCTATGAGAGATGAGCCCAATTGTACATGTGACTGAATAAAACTATTCCACCAAACATCCCAGGCAGCTGCAAAGTGTGAGGTCAATGGAAAGAATAGACACCAGGTTATAACTCATCAAGGCTGGGAAATATCATGGGCCTTGACATGAAGCAGAGAAAAAACAAGCTGCTCATTTTGGTAGCTTAATATCTTTTTATATTTTACTATCATTTGATTGTATCTAATGCTCTGGGTGTACCGCTTTGGACGTTTTTTCAATAATCAACAATTTAAGTAAGCTATTGATCATCAGCTGCTCTTCACATTTATTTGAACACACATACAGGGGTATTAGCATAGAAAGTGTTGAAAATATCATTGCATTGGTCTGTTCTTGGTCAAACTGTCATAAAATATATAGTATCTGCATTCTGAACAGCTGCTGTAATAGATGATCAAACTACCTTGATACATACAGTACAGGGTCAACACAGCAACAAGAACACCTTTCATTTGTATGATGGTGTTTGCTTGTGTATGAATACCATTTCAATCACACTTGAATGTGAAACCAATCCTTAAGGCTTTTGCCTCTTTTTAAAATCAATTTCAGTCGGTCACCTGATGTTATATTGCCCCACAGAGTACTTCAAATACCTTTTACAATACACACAATTTTCTATTTTGTTCCCATCTTCAACACTGTCAAGTGATGCTATATTTATTCAATTTCTTTATTCACAAGCTGTTGACAGATGGGAGCAGCAGGTCAACTTTTGATTGGTACAACCGCTCGAGATTCCACAGAAGACGGTTCATGAACCAGGCATCCTCTATGAGAGTATAAAACCAGTCCGTGAGCTCAAAATCAAACAGTGTAAAGAGAGGAGCTGTCGCAGTTTGGTTTAGTTTGGTAAAGCACATTCTGTCCTTGTTTAGCAATCATGAGTCGCAGTCCAGAAAGAATTTCCTCCTATCGCCGGCATTTTGAGGAGGGGGTGAGCTCATGCTACCAGGTGCGAATGTCCAGTCCATCCCCCGTCCGGAGAGCAGGCTCTGCGCGCATGGAGTCAGCGGGACGTGCCATGTCCTCTGCCCGCAGGCCCCGTATGACTGGAACCGGGTAAGACCTCTGACACCACAGAGACCAAGAGAAATGGTTCCAGTAAAAGTAGGCTTGAGAGCATTTTTAGATCATGTATGTATAGTCTAGTATAACAATTAATGTATATGTTTAAGAAAAGGCAAATTAACTTCTTAAATTGTACACAGAGAGAAAGATTCTGATTGTATTTACTGGCATGTCTTTCCATTGACTTTTCTCTTTTCCTCTAGCAAATCTTACTGGTGATGGTTTTTCCAAAGGGAAGAAGTGGGACTGTTTAGAACATATTTTGTTTTTACACGTTTTTACACACAGACAAATTCAGATGGTCAAACCTTATAAATAAAAATACAATTGCAGTTACTTAATCATCTTTAAGTCGAAATACTAGTGATTATTAATTGTATGCTCTTGAAGTTAACTGGTGGTTCTCTTTTTACTTCTTTAGTGTGGGTGGTGGAGCCCTTGTTTGTTTGGGGCCAAATGGACAGCCTCCAATGGATTTGGATGTAGCTGCCATTGAAAACCAGGAGTTCAAAGACACCCGCAACAATGAGAGACAGGAGATGATTGTGCTGAATGACCGACTGGCTGTCTATATAGATAAGGTAATCAAAATTGAAATTATTATTGGCATAATTTGTTGCAGTTTTTTCACACTGTAAACTTGTGCTTGCAGGTCCGATCCCTGGAGCAGCAAAATAAACTCCTGGAAGCCGAGATAGAAGCCTATCAGAACCGCTTTGTGAAGCCATCTGGTCTGCGACTGATGTATGAAGAACAATTGAGAGAGCTGAAAAAAATTGCTGACCAAATGAAAGCTCAAAGGGTAAATCGTGTTAAAACTACTCAAACCTGAAGAAGAACTCTTTTAAACACAAAGGCACTTTTGAGAACTTGTAGCCTCAGGTAAAAGTCTATTTCACACAAGAAATGTCCCAGCAGAATACAAGACGTCAACTTGGTGTTTTTAAGGTTACTTACCTGGTAGACTGTGCTTGTTTCTGACAGGCAAATGCAAAGATAGAGCACACTTTATGCACACTCGAGGGGACATGCTTATGCTTCTTAGTCACAGACAAATTCACACAGACACAAAGACAAAAGCTGTATATTCTACCATTTTCCAGACGCTCTTGTGCATGTACCTCCAAATCAATTCTGCCTCTGGCTTCTGGGTGTCTAGGCCATTGCTTTTGCAGCCAAGGATTCCACAGCTGAGCAGCTGGCAGCAATGAAAGTAAAATACGAGGAAGCCATTGAGTTAAGGAGGAAAGCTGAAGCAGAAATTGAAGCCTTCCGCCCTGTATGTACACTGAAATGTCATCATGTCAAGTGAAAAATTGTACTACATGTTTTTAAAAATATAAATATTTTGAAGGATGTTGATCAAGCCACCTCCTCACGCATTGCATTAGAGAAGAGACTTGAGCAGTTGGAAGTGGAAATTGAGTTCCTAAAACGTGTTCATCAACAGGTGATTTATTGTATATAAAATACAATAAATTATTTATGATACATAATTAATCACTTATTTTTCACAGGAAATTGAAGAGCTGATGAAGCAAATTTATGCTGCTCAAGTGTCAGCCGAGACTGCATTCTCTCTTCCGGATTTGGCTGGAGCTTTAAAACAAATCCAGACCCAATATGATGACATTGCTGCAAAAAATCTGCAGGTAAAAAAAAAAAAAAATGTTATCTAGAAATGTGGTATTCCATGTTACTTACGTGTTTTTTTTAATTCTTGTTCCTTCCTCAAGGAGATGGATTCTTGGTATAAAAATAAGTTTGAGGATATCACCAAAAAGACATCCCGACATGTGGATCATGTTCGAAGCTTTAGAGAGGGGATAGGGAGCGCCAAAAAAGATGTGGGTATACAATTCAGAAAAAATATAACATTTGTTAAACAAACATGTTTTTGTTTTAAGATTCAAAATAAAGAACGTGACTTGGAAGCACTCAAAACCAAAAATGAAGCTCTTGAAGCCAAAATTCGTGAGATGCAAGCAAAGTACAGGGAGGAACTGGAAGCACTGCAGGTATGCAAAATAGTCCACAAAATAAAAATATATTAAAAGTACACAATTAACTTCATGTCAATGTTTAGGCCCGAATTGAGGCTTTGCAGATTGAGTTAAAAACCACTAAAGAGAAGATTGCTCTGCACCTTCGCGAGTACCAGGACCTGCTAAATGCTAAAATGTCTTTGGAGATTGAAATTACAACTTACAGGTAAATACAAGTTTGCAACAAAAAAATTATACTGTTTATGTGCTTTTCTATTGCAATTATAGTAACAACCACAACTGTCTTCTCCCCCAGGAAACTGATTGAGGGAGAGGATCTGCGTCTGGCTGGCATGATGCAAACTTTGTCTCTTTCCGGCTGTAGCATGAGTGCCATTGGTTCTGGGATGAGCTTCGGCGAAGGAGGCATAGGCGGCGTAGGTGGAACTGGTGGAGGTGTTGGAGTTAGCTATGGAAGCTATGGTGGTGGAGCCTTGATAGGTGGCGGGGCCAGTTCTGGGGCGAGAATGGGCGTCACAGGTGCTGAGGTGGGTGTATCCAATCAGGGAGGAGCTCAAGATGCACCTGGGGTTGTAGGCGGAGTTGGTGCAGGGGGATTAAGTGCTGGGAGGGGTAGTACAATGACAGGAGCTCATGTTGCAAGATCTGGCACTATAGCAGGCGGAGTTGGTGGTTTGAGAAGAGGTGAAGAGGCAACTGGTACAGGCAAAGCATCTTCAGAAGCCAGGCTTGACGGTAGTAGCGTTGGTCTTAGCAGTACTGGTCTTAGCAGTACTGGTCTTGGCAGCACTGGTCTTGGCAGCACTGGTCTCGGCGTCTCTGAAAGGCATCGTGACTCTAACCTCTTAGAAGGAATGGATGCCAATGTCCGTGCTGCTGGGGTTGGAGAGGCCTACCCTGGTGGAATCAGGACAGAAGGTCTTACCACTGGTAGAGGTCTTGGCACAACTGAAGCAAGCTTGGATGGTAGAGAACCTGGTTTGAGTGGTCCACACTCTAGGGATAGCATGAATACTACCTCTGTTATGACCAGCATTGCAGGTGCAGGGAAAGTGGGCATGAGTACAGAAACTATCTCTGAAGGCAGACGTCTGAGTGGAGGTAGTTCATACACCGGTGTGGTTATTACAGATATCACAGATACTGGGGCTGGTTCTGAGGGTGCTTCTGGTGGTGTTGTCGGGGCAGGTGCTGGTTCATCTGCAGATACTCATGTCGGAGGAGTTGGTGTATTTATCTCTGGAGCTAGGGCCGCAGTTTCTGTAGGTGAGGACAGGTCCAGCTTGGAGGCCAGTAAGCTTGGAAGAACAGGTGCCAGTGGTCCGTCAATTCTCGGTGGCAAAGCTGGCTCAGGAGGAAGAGCAGAGGCGACTGGAACAAGGACTAGTGCTGATGGCGGAGTGCACAGTGGACTGGATGCTGCCTTTAAAGGGTTTGAGGGACCAACACATTTAGTGGGATCAGTAAAGGGGACCAGTGGATCTGGAGTGAGTTTTGGATCTGATCAATTTGGCAGGAGCATTGAGCCCTATGCCGAGCAGGCTGTGGAGGTGACAGAGAGAAGGACAGTTCTTATTAGGTAAAGGGTACCATAGGGTGTCTTTTTTTAAATACAAATGTTATAATCTATATTTATTCCCATGGTGCATGAAATAATGATTGCAAAGCCAAGACTGTGTAATAATCTAAAATATAACACATAAAATGTTGTGAGAAAGGACAAAAACAGCCTATTAGAAGTATTTTTTTTATTTTTCACATTTTTGAAGTGAATCTTGAAAAAAAAATGGTTGTACAGTAGATTAGCACTAACACTTCTGAAAGGTGTTGCAATTGTTTACTAGGTAATTGCTTCATACAGCATTACACTTTTTTTTCAAATTATTATTATATATGAGTTTTATTATTTCTGAACATTACACCGTCTTGTAAAATGTATTGCAATCACAATGTTGGTCCAAAAAATTGTAATTGCAACCCTATTGAAAAAGTTCCTATTCTACTAACTGCTTTTTTCTGCATTTTTCATGTGTCATCGTGCCAATCACATTTTCTCTGATTGCATTACAGAACAGTTAAGCATGCCAATGAAGTGCTGGAGATGGATCATCAGGAACAGACCTACACCATCAGCGGTGCAGCCGACTCTGACAATGAATAAGAATCAACAGCCCCTTTGTGACCTGCGTGCACCCTTTTAACCTCTGCACCCCTTTGAGCTCCCACCATCACCAAGGCCCATGTCTGGACACTGACCTCCACCTCTGCCCCGGACAAGAACACCATCGATGAATGCTGGCCACTGCTTATAGACCGCTGTGAAGGCTGACTTTTAACTTTAACACCTCTGCAATATGCGCCCCACAGCTTAGTAAATGTATGCCACCCCTTTTGTCCTTTCAATGCCAATAAATGTATCAGCATTTGATTTCTGTTGCTCATTCTGAAAAAAAACAAAAAAACATAATTGCACCAACAGTCAAAATGCAGTGTGGAAAGTGTTTTAAAAAAGATAGGAGAGATGAGCAAAATGAGGAGAGATTTGGAGTCACCTGAGGGTTTGTGGGCGACTGCTGACACGTTCTGGAGGGCGAAAGCCTTCATCAGTCAAACTTTTCTGCTGGAGCGTGGTGACAGCACACAGACGCTTTCTGTCCTCATTCCATCCACACCCACACCTTCTCCTACCTCGTCTTATTGGGAGTGATTGGATTAGGGTATGACGCCAAACAGGCTCAGTGTCCAAGCGAGCAGCAAAAACATACAGGCCAATAATATAATAACAACTCTCATGCTCGTATTCAATTTTGACCTTGAATATTTCCATATGTGCTAATTTTTGTATTCAGTTAAACCAGAAAATACTTATTGTCCAGGGATTTCAAGATGACAACTGTTGCCATAGCAATTAACAAAAAATATATGGGGAATGTCCTCAAAATGTAGAAAAATTTTCTTCTTGGATGCAACTTCTAAAAATAATAGACGGATGTTTGTTTATTTATTTTTTGGAGAAAGTTTAACTTGAAACAATGACATGTGTAATCATCATCTCTGCTTTGAAAACAAGTTCAATTTTATGTTGTTGATGTTTCAAAATTGTCCAGACATAAGGCTTGACATAAGGTTATTATTAAGGTTCTTAAAATAATTAATTCTTTAAAATAATTTCAAAATGGTCACCGCCGGAGCCGATCAGCAATTAGTTTGAACCTAGAACTGTCAGTTCTGCAGCAGTAATGAGGACGGCGGAGACTGGCATATCATTAGTTTGCATTTTGTTACAGCGAATTATTTACGTGCGTCTGAACGCCCGCAATTGTTTGCATGTGGGAGGGAGTTTGAAGTGATTGTCAAAAATAAAATGAGACCTGATGGCATCATATACGCCTAAAAATTATAGCCTGTCAGTGTCGTATAGAAATGATAATTATAATCCAGTCGTATAGGCGATCTACAGGCCTATACTACTGCGTATTTGCTATTGGAAATATTATTCCACTCGCTTTTCATCTCCAAAAGATGTAGTGGTCTTGACTTATACGCACAGGAATGATCAAGGTTACATCCTGCTCTTTGCCACGGAGTTGTTTTTCTTGCACTTTTATTCTGAGAAAACAGACCTAAAGCCGATTGGGTCACTACCTCAATGCCGCGGGCTACATGCTGCTCTTATGCGGCGAGGGAAAAGGCTCCTTGCATTCTTGTTGAAGGGCAAAAGTTCCAACTCCCTTTGAAACTTCCAATTCTCTGGCACTTTGTGCATATGCTTTGGGTGGCTAAATCCCAATTAGGGTCGGCTGACACCCCGCTCTATTCACACTCAGTCCGGGCTGAATGCATTTGCCTCGGAATGAACAGATTAAATAGATCTCCTGCTAAATGCGTTGGACAGCAAAGAAAATCGGGCTGAGTGATACTTTCTTTTTGAGGCGCTGCAGTGAGAAAAGGTATGAATTTATAAGGTACACCGAAACATATCAATTCTCACAACTTAGCATGCTTTTATCCAAGTCTCCTCATGCGAGACAATGTGTTAGGGAAATGCGGCTGGAGAGAGAACTTTAGAAAGACTTTGAATACCGAAAAGGTGCAGCCCACTTCGAGGCGTAAAAAGGCGAATGAGCGCACGCATGAGCAGCGCTGAATCAGGTGCCGTTTATTCGCTTCTTCTCTAATGCGATTTTGAATATTAGTCTGGGTTAAAATCCCAATCATGTCATCTGGTGGGAGTCCCATACAAGCATAATTACTATTCAAACGCGTTGCTAATGTCCCACCCGCATCAAGGCAGCTGGTCTGCCCTGGGCACAGCCTGCAACTTTCCCCACATTTATATGCACAAAAGTCAAGTCTAAGGGAAAGAAAAAACATGAATATTATCAGTTATTAACAAACATCACCATTCTTTAAAAAAATAATCATGAAATATAATACGCCTTTTATAATACATTTTACTGGTGAAGAAAATATTGATTAAGCTTGAGACATAGTTTAACAACAGAAGTCTTTGTTTTACACTAAAATATGTGACCAGACAAAAGTGAAAGGTGAAGGAAATATATTCATTATTGAGACGTGGGAATGTGTGAGAAATAGACCACAGTGGATAATTGCTAAATAGGACAATGATGGCGTGCGGTGAATGGAGGCAAACAACATTTATAGGTCGACATAAAAAATGTGTTTTCTTCTTTGCTCTAGAGGCCCTCAATGGTGGGTCATTGAGAGCCGTCCAGAGAGGAGCTGGTGAACCCATGGCATCCCTGAAGTATGGCCGAGCCGCCTGAATGGAGATCCCTGGTGGGGCATTGCTCCCTGCATTTACCGCTTTCCTTTGCAGACAGGTTGTTCCTCTATATTCATGGCTCATTAATGCCCAACCAGCTCAATCAGAGTCCATGACTTAAACAGTAAGTCCAAAAGGGGCTGGCAGGAGTCAGTCCAAGCGAGCCATAAAGCCTCTGCCCCAAGAAGCGCTGATTATGTTCAGGTCGTTCTTTAAGTTCATTAAGACATCACACTTACGGGCAGTTGTTGATGAACGTCGCAATAATGTCCCCGAATAAAGATCCTAGCATGTAATTAATGTCTTTTCTGGAGAAAGGGGAACAGGGACAATACCGATGGTCGAGGCGTTTAATTTCATTTAATTTTCTATCCCATTTGCTCCATACACTGGACTCATTCTGACCGAGGGTTTTAAAGCGCAGACTCACCAGGGCAAAACTATTCTCTAAACCAAAAATAACTCTTTTATGCAGAGAGGCTGGGTTATGCAGAGCACCAGTGGATGGGAACCAGTCACAAATGCGGAGTTAATAAATAACGGGATCCAACAGCCAGACACCAACGTGCGCTATTGAGGAGATTGTTCGCGTGTCTCCGCTTTGCACAAGAGCGCATCTCCGCAGGACTCCTACAGCGAGGAGGAGGTGATGGGGGCTCATGTCATGAATAAACCAAGACATAGACTTAGAGGGCATTATCATAGGCCACACAAAAATAAACTCTATGTGAGATATGTATACTTTTTGAAACAGGTGGTCTGTGCATGAACTCATCACCAAAAACGCATAGAGCATTATTATTGTCATAATAATTATTAATAATGATAATGGTGGTATTATTATTATTATTATCATCATCATCATCATCATAGTAGTATTATTAATATGAACATAATGATCATTATTGTTATTATTGTGATAATTGTTTTTATTATTATTAATTATTATTATTATTATAATATTAATTAATATAATCTGTTGCACTCTTAATTTTCATGGAGGCATACAGAAAAAAAACTATTTTGGGGTATGCTCCATGGCTGGTGGTTGAGCCCTGCACTGCCTGGTCCCAGCCCGGCACACGCCGAGAGTCAATAGAAGTTAACAAGTTCTCTAAACTTTGCTGCTCCTTTTGTCCATCTACAACACAAAGGAGGTGAAAAAGAAGTGCTTTGAAGTATATGAACCCCGAAAGAATAGCTGGCCAAGTAGATTTAAAGTAGTCACTGATTTCCAAAAGCTGGCTGAATAGGGAGAATGGAAAGGGTGAGGATTTATGGAGAAATTATACAGTGGATTTGTCAGTTCAAATATCGGAACTGTCCCTGGAACAAAGCCACATGCTGAGGATTAATGGCTCCTCTGGACCTTTGATTCTGCACCCTCTTTTCTCTGCCCTTGACAAATTGGATTTTGGGGATGGGAAGGTCGCTGGGACCTTTGTGTCTCTTGACCGTTTTGGAGCAATTCATTATGCGCCAGAGTGAGGGAAAGTCTCCATGTGACCACAAGACTGGGCCCGTTCTGAGCCCCGCGCACAGCTGCTGGGAGAAGCAACTCTCTCACACTCACGCTCCTCCGCAGCTTCTCTGTGGAGCATCTAGCAGCGCAGAGGAAGGAGGGGTGGTGGTGGTGGTGGTGGGTGTGAGGAGGGAGGGAGGGAGGGGGGTAACATTTGACCCGCACCGTCACTAGAAAAGCCGGAGAGGTGCAAGCAGCGCGTCACTCGAGGGCGGACATCAGCCAGTCCTCTTCCTCCTCTTCTCCATCCTTCTCCCCACAGTCACCCTCTCGGTGTTCAGCAGGCTTCATGGTTTTGATCTCACCCCATGCCATGCAAGCCAGCAGGGCGTCCTCCACGCTCAGTGTGTTCGCGGACTGCAGCATCCCGGCCGGCCTGCGGATAGGTCCGGTACCGGGACTCTTCAAACTTGGGAAGTACACGTCAGACCGCAAAGAAGTGGGACTCAAGAAGAAGGTTGGTGTTGAACAACTTTTTCACTTTTGAATAAAATGTATATCTAGATGATGTTATGTGTTATAGTTTAGCCTGCATGGCTTTATATGGACATTAATGTAAATAACATACTTTGACGTGCCGTTGTTTACTTTTCATAAACTGACTGACAAATATTTTATGTTTAATGTATACCATTTCATTTTCAAATGATTTGTTATGATTTCAAAATATTTATGTCAAACTTAATCAGGCTATATCCTTTTCCTTGGCCTGTCGCGTTGAGAATAATTGCGCTCTATTAGCAGCAGTCACGTCAGTCGGTGCTTTTCCTTCACCGGCCTAATAGGACTTCCAGCCTCTGTCATCCCGATGAGCCGATAAATGTTAATGAAATCTGGCCATAGAAAGATGTCTACACGCACACTGCTCCAGGCTGCTGAAATGTCACAATTAACACCAATGGCATAAGGGGTTTCACACATTTTCATCCGAGTATTTATTTTGTTTTATGATTGAGTTATTTTTTTTAAATAAAATATATCCTGTGAAATTTTCCTTCTCATATAAAACATATCTGGGCCTATAATAATTATTGAAGCCTAGATAGAACAAATAAAATGTTGAGAAAGTGAAACTATGATTGAGCTTACCTAATGTGTAAATAAACAGCAGTAAACACTTTTAAGTGCGCCCGTGGCCGCGCCCTGTTATTGTTGAAGCTGTCGTCGCCTGTGATTGATGCGTCTAAATGCGTGGCCGCGGGGCTCTGGGCGATCATCAGGTGCAATCTCTGTGTCAAATGTCACGCTTCTATCTTTAATGTCCTTGAACAGTTTAGAACGCTTTGACACTCCTCAAATTCGTTTCCCATATCAAGTCAATTAGGCCCGTCTCCAGAGGACATTATCATCAGCAGAGCGGATAAAGACGCATTATGCGCGTTGTGCTCATACTCGTCTCCAACACCTTCAGATGCCGAGAAAGGAGCACGAGCCGTAAATAATGACGACATGTTTCATCAAATACATTTTTTAATTTATATTATTCCCACATATAAGGGGGGTAATTGGCACTTGCCCCTTCAGGGAAACTTTCCCGTTGACAAAATCTACCCTGCATATAGGCCAAAAGTTGTGAGGTGTGATGTGTAACAACAACACTTGTTTAATCCTTCATAGATTCGCTTGGTTCGTGGGGAGTTCGTGGATGAGTTGGGCTGTCCTGTGGCAGACTGGATCGGCCTTATTCGAGCAGCCAGGAGCAGCCAAGAACAAAACTTAGAAGCGGTGTCGGAGCTCCCCGGAGGCCAGGTGAATATAAGAAAATACACAATGGGATATTATGCACGATAAAACTTTCTGCAAACACATTTCAGTAAAACATGTAAGCATCATTTCATTTAATCACACATGTCACCCCTTTATTGCTTCCTTTTTCATTGTCACATTTGTAGTGGACCCCAAACCTCCACCACGTTAGACTCGAAAAAAGACCATAATCCCATGCAGTAAAATAAAACCCATGAATTCTCTCTAATAGATTTTCTATCGTGTGCTGAGAGACGTCTCCGCTGGAGAGGAACTGACTGTGTGGTACTCCAACGCTCTGGCACAGTGGTACGACATCCCCACTACGGCTACACCCACGCACGACGAAAAAGGTATGAACAAATACATGGTGCTATAATGCATGTGATCGAAGCAAATGATCAGACACACGAGAGAAGCAGCGCTGAAGGTTCTGTCGAAAAGTTCACGACCGATTGACGATTGGATGGAGTCATTTTCATTTTTTTTGTCACACATAAAATCCCATTTATTCATTTCTAAAAATCCAATGGAAAATCATAAAAATCTGCAGCAGGCCAATCACACTTTAGATTGAATGTGAATATTCTGAATGTCAGGGGTTTGTAATATTGGACCACAAACTAAACTCAAACTATTAATTGACTTTATTACGGGGAGTTTGTTCTTGTTGAGCTCTTAATCTTAATCCATGATTTTTAATCCAATTGTTGGAGCTTTGGTTTGATTGTTTGGCGCTTGAGTTTAAACGCTTTAATCTCCACCAAACACCAGCTCATCACAAACTAATCCGATTACAAACAGGGTATAACATTAAGCCTTCATGGCCATTTCTTCAAAACATTGTGATCTAATTATAGCTCAAGGATAATAAGAGGGATCAAGCGAAATTGGATAAGCAGTTGATGCAGCCCACGAAAAAAGTTGTGAATAAACAAACAATTTGAAAGTCAGATTTTTTTTTTCTTTGAAGAGGATGCGCAAATGTCAGTGCACTCTTAATATTCATTCATGTATTCAAAGGCAACTAAATTCAAAAACAAGAGCTTCACGGTGGATTAGGTGGGTGCGCAGAGGTATTGTGGCCTAATGAATGCGAACTTTTATGTGGGGTGTATATTGCCCTGATTCTCCGACCTCAACACATCATGAGCGCTCTTGGACATACGCTGGCTTCCATTAAAACGCGTCAACAGATGGGCCACCGCCATTGTTTCCGAAGACTTGCGATTTCAAGCCGCAGCTGCTGTCACTTCCACGGGATAGAGCATCTCCGCAGACAAACCGGGGCGAGACAGAACTGCAACGAATTCTACGGAGCGCCAGATTGGACTGGGCGTTTGTTCCTTTGACGCGCAATCATATACAATGGCCCCCGTATAAGAATTACCAAATCATTACAGCTGTATTAACTCCTGAATGATCCGCTGGGAGTCATTACGCAGACCCCTGTTGTCTCGGGCCAGTTGGCAGGAGAACAATCCACGTGTCCAAGAGGGGCATAAAACTTGTAGGAGCTATTGAAATCTAATTGTTTGATTGAACCTTTTAGTACTGTTTTTTTTACAGTAATATATTATACTGATTATATTCCTTTTGTCTTTTGAAATGGTGAAACTTCAAGACAATTAGCTCTATTCTAAAATCAAAAGCATACATTTTTTTTCCCCAAAGATGGTTGGCTAAGATAAATATGGGAAAATATTCTTGATTTGGGAGCTCAATATGGGTTAACAACGTGAATCTTGTTTATATGGTTTCATTATTACTATCATTATTACTATCATTATTATTATTATTATTATTATTATTATTATTATTATTATTGATAAAGTCTTTATCCAAAATGTGAACTTTTACTCACGGTATATATGATTTGACTTCTTTCATTTGTGCCACTTTATATCCCTGGAACCCGGGTCACTTAACTATGTCATAATTCTGTGTACTTTTTAATTGTATAACCTGCAATGTTATATGTCTATCTGGTGTATTTATTAGACGTTTATTAGGAAATGTTTTAACGTATGCCTTTTTATAAATCCTTGACTATTGTATCATGTTTTGTTATTGCACAAATTGTTATTGTTGGTTCACTGACAAAGGCAATACAAATAATTCTGATTCTGAAAATAACATCTTCCTCTTTCTCCTCTTGCAGGTGAGGAGCGTTACATCTGCTGGTACTGCTGGAGAATCTTCAAATACCCAAACACGCTCAAGGCCCACGTCCACTTCCACTGCGCTCTCAGCAACGGGAGGGGCTTCAGCAGCGAGCAGCAGCAACAGGCCAGAGGCTCAGAGACTTTCAGCAAGTCTGGAGACATCCCAAACACAACCACATCCCCGCGTAACCACGGCGCCATCAGCTCGGGCTCTGACTCCAACAGACGCTCGCTCGCCTCTTCCCCGTTCCTCACCGCAAAGGCAAAGAAACTCAACGCTGAAGATCAAGACAGAGCTCTGGACATGAGTGTGACATCGGCCAGAAATCACTCGGGCCATCTGTTCGGTTTGGGGGCGTCAATGTTGAGCAACATGGGGTTCCATCCGGGTGTGCGCTCCGCGTTTAAACCGACCGGTGTCTCCAAAGTGACCGAGGCGACGCGAGAGGACGTGAAACTGAGCGGCCTCGGACTAGGTAAACTCATAAGCAACGCAAAGCCAATTCGTAATCCAGGAGAGAGTATAGGCAGCGCGAATCATCCCCCTAAATGCACACCCTCACTCATGGACCCCACTTCCACAATGGTCCCAAATCCACTTAGAGGTTTCCCCTTGTTGCCACACGTAGAAGAGGCATCAGCTTTTAAGCACGTGGAGAGCCGCTTACACTCCGGCCTGTCCCCCTCCAGATACCCTCAAATGCCCCCCGGATTGCACTTTGAAAGGTTTTCGCTCTCACAGCTTGATGGCGTAAAACCATACCCGGGCGCAGACTGCAACATCCCTCTCATGCCGTTCACGGTGTACAACGGGGAACTTCTGTACAGCTCGCCCTATTATCCACTCAAGTTCCACTTCAGCAACCTGCTCAAGTATCCAGAGAACATGCCGTATTTTGGCGCGCCCGCTTTGAACCAAGACCTGGGCTCCATCACCAACATAGACCGGGAGATCGCAATGCACACCCAGCAGCTGTCTGAAATCGCAGCGGAGAAGAATAGGACAAGACTTGACGCCATGCCAAGCGCGAACACGAGCAACGCAACGCCCGGTAAGCCCAAAAAAGGCCACTTGTGTCTCTACTGCGGGAAGTTGTACTCTAGAAAATACGGTCTGAAAATCCATATGAGGACTCACACGGGATACAAGCCGCTTAAGTGTAAAGTGTGCTTCAGGCCCTTCGGAGACCCCAGTAACCTGAACAAACACATCCGCCTGCACGCAGAGGGCAACACGCCGTACAGGTGCGACTTCTGCGGGAAGGTGCTGGTGAGGAGGCGGGATTTGGAGAGGCATGTGAAGTCCAGGCACCCGGGCCAGAGCGTGAAGAAGCTGGATGACAAACCAGGAGGCCTGTTCGAGGACGCGGAGCAGAAGAGCGACAACGACAGCGACGTTGACGTGTGCTTCACAGACGATCAAAGCGACCAAGAGATGAGTAAAAACACTGACTGAGAGCGCAGGACTGGCCTCGTTCACGAAGAATACACGCAGACAATAAAAACATGTATTATAATCATTTTGAGAGAGGTTTCACGCACAGGCCTCAACTGACTTTACAGGCAAAAATTACAAACGACTGCCAAATTGTGGGACTTCCATTGTCTACGATCCCAGCTGCATACATGTGAACGTACATTATAGGGCTAAGAGTGCGTTTTTACTATATTACCACGATTCAAAACAATCAAAGTCTAGTTTTGGCTTCTTCTTTTGTGGGTCTACTTCAAAGAGGCTGGAGCAGACTGCATTCCCACACATCGCGCGCTACACGCTTTAATCGATATTGTACGCATAACATTGAAAAGAGATGCAAGTGTAGTTTATTTTACGGCCTCTCATTTAAATAGGCCAGTTGCACTTTAAAAAAAATTGCAAGGGCATTTTTATATGTTCTACCCTCCATATGTGATAATTTTGTGTTTCATGTATTTTTGTTCCCTATAGCCTCTGATTTATTCTGGACTTTAAAACGTGCACTTTTCGAGGCGCGAGCTGTTCTTAAAGCGACAGCTACAAACTCTATTGTTTTAAAGAGGGAATTATTTCCAGAGAAAATATGTAAAATGTACAGTATGCTATTTCTCATACATTGAATGGAGACGTGTTTTTTTGTTTATATGTCACATTATGTCTATTATTGAGTCGTTGTTTTTCGAATAAATTATTCAAACAAAAAACTCTCGTATCTTGTATTTCTGTCTGAAATTGTGTGGTTTTGTTGTGTGCAATAATTTATATGTGTCCATAACATAAGCCTGCATATGGAGACCTAAAATAATAATACAAATCAAGAAAACCAAGTCATAAGGTTATAAACATATATTACGTGCATATTAACACAGTATATTTTTCCTAAAATGGGGGAAACTCTAAATAATAATCATAATAAAAAATCTGTTGGCTTAGCTTTAACCAACAGGAACAAACACGGAATCGAAATAAACATAATTAGAGACATTAATTCTCCATTTGTCAGTGCTAATAGGATGCCCTGAATTTATAGAGATAACGCTGTCATTAAATAATCAAATAAAATAAATAGTCTGTCTTTATTCTTTCTTCTTTGACCTCCACCTGTCACTGGATTTGGATGCGAGTCTGAAGCAAAGACGTCCTGATCTTTAGTCACAGGAAGAAGCACCGCCGTTCATTCAAAACCAAATATTAACATTCAAGTTCATATTGTTGTATTGTATTATTTTTATGCACATAGGATTATTAAACGATTTATTACATTGATATATTATTAAAATATGACTAATTATGACCACATAAATATGACTTATGGTGACTAATCTTCACCATGCTAACTTCTTATATAGGCTACATATATCCTTTTATAGTTCTCAGTTTGTTGCATTTCATATATTAGTGGATTATAACTTTGTCTAAATAAAAAACTGATAAATGTTCTCTCTAAAAAACACTCTTCATGAATACACATCGTTTTGGAAAAAATCCAATTGCCTTTGTATTTCAACCCTCTCTCCCTCTCCTCCCCCCTCCCACCAGCATTTACAATCAATTAGTCCTGTTCATTAGTAAAAACACTGGAAAAAAGGCTTTGATTGAGAGAGTTTGACTCTCGGCCTAGAACCACATCCAAAAGCAGACTCCACATGCAGCAGGAGCACTTCACGCTGTGCTTCCACCTCTTCCAAAACCTGGTGCAATTATCCTTGATCATGCAACAATACCAGTTTTCAACTTGTTTCACCAAACAGACAGATAGAAGTTCAAACCAAGGTCTTGATATGTGTGTGTGTGTGTTTTTGTGTGTGTGTGTGTGTTTGTGTTTGTGTGTTTTTGTGTGCATGCATGTGTGTGTGTGTGTGTTTGTGTGTTTGTGTGTGCGTGTTTATGTGTGTGTGTTTGTGTGTTTATGTGCATGTGTGCGCGTGTGCGTGTGTGTGTGTTTTTAAATGTTGCAGACTTGCCACATGAGCTCCTGAATCCAGGACACTTTCATACAGCAACCTGGCTTCCCACAAACACTTCTCTACTCTTTTATTCTATTTTTTATGGTATTGATTTGAGTTGTCCTCTAGCTCTTATTCAGGGCTCCACCTTATATCTGCTTCACAAAACAGTTCTGTAAAAATGGTGCCTATAGGTTTTTACATTTGGCATAACTCAGTATACATACACCACAGAGAGGAAAGAAAAAATAATTAAATTTGAGATTTTTATTAGATTTACAATGTCCTTTATCCTTCTACACCATTCCACTCTGTACTGTGGATTTAATTGAATATCTTAATGAAAAGAATGTGTCCTGACATTGAATTCCTTATGCTCAAAGGTCCTTTTATAACTGCACTTTTTGTTTATTGTAAAAGGACAACAGTTTGGTATTTTTATGTCCCTCAAATGATCATGCTGCATCAAACACCTCTATTAAACCAACTGCGGATACAATGTAACAATTTCTCTGAATGGAAATAGTTCTTTAAAGTAGAGGCTTCAGAATGGTACTGTGTTCATCTGGCCTGTCCAGGACTAATCATTTCAGACAATTGTGTGCAGTTTTATGTATGAACGAAGAATTAATCAGGGTTAGGCAGAATAAATGTTATCCTCATTTAGTGGATTTCAAACAAGTATACAAACTGTACCAAAAACCATGAAAATTAGTCACCACCCATACCAGCAAGTACATTCCAAGGAAGTCGGAGATTATTCATATAGTTATAAGGCACCTTTAAACATACTCTACACATACACATATACTCATTTATATACTTTTCTATACATTTTGCATTTTAGTTGTGACAATTTGAGCCTCCAAGTGTTTGCATGTGCCAGTGGCCAAAATGCATGTTAACAATGAACATATTAATGAATGTAATCCATGTTACTCATGAACTATGCCCGGCACATGTGAGTAAAACCAATGTTCTCCAGAAGAGAAACTATCTGTTAACAAACACTTTCTCTGCATCAACATCAGCATCTCTGCAGACAGGGAGACATTTCGATCCGATGTAGATTTGATCTGATGCTTTGTCTCTTCTGCTGGCGGCCCACTCTCCCAGAGCAGGTAAACCAGGCAGAGTCAACACACAGCTGGTCACTGCCTGAGAGACATGGGACAAATGTGGGCACATGAACACAAGCCTTAAACCCAGAGTGACCTTGGACCGTCCCAACACTCGCCTCATGCAGCAGCTCTGACACAGTGGAAGTGACAGGGCTCCTGCAGGTGAACCAGGTAAACATGCTCAGCTGGTCACTTGGAGCAAAGAGAGAGGACATCACTCTTGACATTTAAGATAAGATAAGAGATCCTTTATTCGTCCTGCAGTGGGGAAATTTCAATGTTGCTGCACACATATAGGGGACAGTAGTCAGAGCACAGAGGGAGCACACAAACTATACAAAATATATAGTTGCTGTGTTTCTTGGCTAGCTGTAAATGCTTCAATATAAATATAATTCTATTCATCTATATACAGTATAGTGCAAAGTTATATACATATGGGGCAGGATAATAAGTAGATAAAGTGACATTCAGTGTCAATTCTGAACATATGGGTTCATGCTAAATTCTCAATGATACTAAAGCGTTCATTTTTCTTACAGATTCAAATGCTTTAAAACAATTGTGATTGAAACATTGGCCTGCGGTTAAATTGATTATTATTGGATCTATTAAAATTTTATTCAAAATCACTTTCTACCTTGTTATCCATTTTTGTTCATGCAGTCTCTGCAGAGACACCCAGACTTCTCCATACACATAAACTTCAACCAGCTCATTCGGGGGATATCCTGAGGCGTTCCCATGGGCCCTCTGAGAGACATGCCCTGGGTCTTCCCCTCCTGGTGGGACAAAATTCCAGCCTATCCTAGTGAAAAGATATCTTCAGTATTTGATTCAAATTAAACCTTTTTAAGTAAGTAAGTAATCTTTGTTTATATACCGCCTTTCACAGACCAGAGTCACAAAGCGGTTTACATTTGTTATTTTTGGGCATTTGTCCTCTCACTCCACACAGAGATGGGAGCGGGGTCGCCAGTACAGGAGGCGCATGCTAGAAGTATTGTACATGTTTTTAGTGGTAGGGGAAACCGGAGTACCCGGAGGAAACCTACGCAGACACGGGGAGAACATGCAAACTCCACTCCGAAAGGCACTGCTTTGACCGGAATTCGAACCCAGGACCTTCTTGCTGAGAAGCGAGAGTGCTATCAACTCAGCCACCGTGCCGCCCGGTGGCTGAGTTGATAGCACTGTGCGTTTTAAGGCAATTCTAAAAATTACAGACACAATCTGCGTAAACATACTGTACATCAACTACATTTGCACCATAAACAGATTAAAAAACAAATGCCATTGTGGTCAATAAAGTCAACAATTGGAATGAAAAACAAACAAAATACAGGATGCCACTTTTGGTGGAGCTGACACCGTGGACTTGTGATGAAGATCTCAAAGGCTACTTCAGGTTTGCAATGATGAGGGCCACAAGAAAGACACAGGCTGCGATAGTTTGCTCTGCTCTAACTTGCTTTGTGTGTTCCGCTCCGCAGTCGCACTTTAACTGTACATCTGTGTAGACTGAGGTGTTCATGGTTCAAGTCTGACCAGCAGCAGGTAGCAGGTTGTGCATTACACACCAGTTGTGTCCTGCTGCCTCCACTCCACACCTCAACACCACAAACAAATGCAAAACAGTCCGAGCCTGCCCAGCCTCGACATTCAGCTGCAAATGAGTGTGTGCGGCCCCAGATCTGTTTGATGTGCACAATAGTGACGATGAATTTTCATTTGTACAGGTTTGTCAAAGCCATAATGGCCATTGTGCTTTCCATATAAAGTAGACTGATCATGAATGAAAGTAAAATTCTAAACATATTAAGCACTCACAACTAGATTTGATTCATGAATGTGATATTTGAGTCATTGTCAAGTGAACCAAGAAATATATTACTATGTACCTTTGTTAAAT